CAGTTGTATGCTGCCTGTAAGGAAAAGTTACACCATATGTCGTCATCTCTACGTAAAAAAAGCGTCGCCTTCTGCACGATACCCCTACGGCAGAATATACCAGCAACTAAAAATGTTTTTGAAAAATGAGCGGTGCCTGCCATATCAGCTCGATTGGCGCACCTGTTGACGTGATCATCAGTCGTAAGGTAGGCATAACATCGTATCTCCTCGAATATCGTGGACTATGACCGAGGAGGGTGGTGCCGCTATCCTGTGGGCTATGGTGGGCTGTCTGTGTGCGATGCTGATGGCGGGGGGATGTCTTCTTTGGAAAAAGAGAATGAGGTAAACTGAAATATTTTGAAGACACGACACTTTATATACAGTATTTCTTTTGTCACTCTTAAAGTCTCCTGTTATTGATTTAATTCTGTCGCTATATACATATACCTTGCTGTTCTATGGGGATTTATAACATGTCGTTGACTGTCATATATAGAATGAATATATATGAATTTATGTGGGTGAGAAATAAAGAGAGAGAAACGTGGATTCCTTATGAATCTTTACGTTTTTCTACTCCATAAACTGAGGGTTATCAACGTAGATATGACAGCGAAAGAATAGCGTTTATCTTTTTTTCGTAGAATATAAGTACGTAAAAGGATCAATTTCATTTTAAAAACATATTTTAATGTTTTGATAAAATCTCAAAATTCACGAATCTGTTAAATTATGCTTCAACATACATTGAATTTAAACATTTAGAGACAGGGTCGTTTTTTAATCATATGCAGAATTTAAAAAAATCACGAAAATTTTTTTTCTGGAAATAAGCTTCCCATTGATCTAAAGCATGCTGCGCGTGGAATAGCTTGGGTTGTGGCTCATCGTCCCCAGTTTTAACAAAAATTGATACACATACAGCTCTCTGCTTCGAATGCTACGAATAATTTGAATGTGTTTAAAAAAAACAAGATAAATCATATTGTAGACCTGACACTAAAACCAATACCAAGACGGAAGGACATCGCCCAGGAACCATCTCCACCATTTGTTCTGACCAACTTCCGGTTGAAGCCCGCTATCAAGAACTCATAGGCGCCTCCCTGCACAGAGAGAATGGGGACAGGAAACACAGGTGAAATAAAGAATTGCTTCTTCGGGTAGTCACTTCCATGATTCCTGAACCAAATTATTATTTAAAGGGACGTCCTTAAAAGGACAAAGCGACAATAAAAAAATCATGAGCGTCCTATAAAGTTATTCACTTAATTTCCTTTTGCATTATAAAAATAATTACTTGTTGAATTGTAGTTCCGAGAGTCTCCTTATCTCTCTTTTTGTTATATCGCAGGACGAAATATCGCCCAATGCACGAAGAATTCAAGATAAAGGAACAGGTGAACAGTAGTCAGTCGTCGGCAGAGCTGGCAGGCCAGTACAGAGTCCTCCCAAGTGTTACCTCGGACATGCACGAACCGGCACGCTGTTGGTAAGAACACTGGCGCTTGGCACAGGGCTGATTTTATTTAGAATCTCCATCAAATATTGTCTGGATTCGACTTATTTTCCCAATTCCTTATCTAAAGTTAATGTGTTTGGCGATGTCATATCTTAACGGTGGGAGTGAAGTTGATATTATGTACATGTTATCTCAATGAGAATCTGGTAAGTAGTCCGTGTGTTGGTAAAGTAAAAGTAATGTGAGTCAATCCCGTTTAGGATGGAAATACATCCATTGTAAGTACCTAATGAATATAGTAGAATATATGTATCTTTCTCATATTTCAGCAGCATTGAAGAGGAAGGGGAACCCTGATATTCACATATAGTCAACCATACTCCTAGTCCTGAAATAATTTACAAGAATGCACCAATCTCCCGGTGTGCGTTGTTTCTACATCTGCTTCATGCGTATGCCTATATTTTGACGTTGCACATGCATTTGTTAACATGTCATTCAATTCTGCATGGGTGTATGTATGATAGAAATATTTCAAAAATTTTATCCCCACAAAAAATATGTATTTATTATGTTTGAGTTCAGAAAAAAAATTAAAGATACAAGCAGCAAGTTCGAATAAACTGAATTTTTAATTTTTTTAAAGAAAGAGAAGGATTTTTGATTCAAGCACATTTTTTTTACAAAAAAAAAAAAAAAAAAAAAAGGTTATAAATTCACAGGAGGATCATTTCACAGAAAAATGGACATTTCAGTCAAGTCAGTTTTCATGTAATATTTACATAACTTTTTTACATTAACATATGAGAAGGTACTGTAGTATCAAGTAGAGAAAATCATGGGGTGGGTCAGAATTTTAAAAAAATACGTACGTCTGTAGAAACTGTGTATCAAAAGCGTGACTCGAAGGTTCATTTTTTTATGGAATGACCCGATACAATAGTGATATATGCTAATCTATGACAAATGCCTGTACATCCATACTACAGATAGAAAAAAGATTTTTAATATCGAAGACTGTCACACACTTGATACTAAAATTCTGTTTCGGTGAAATTTATTACACTCATCGGTCAACGCTAACAGTGTTCCGGTGTAACGTGACAGAGAGTCCCCCATGATAGAGTGTCCGCTTCCCATTCATTTGCACAGGTATAGATTTTGACCCGGTTAGGTCAGGCTAACCTTGACTATTATAACTAAATGGAGGGCTGACTTTCTGTTACACGGACACTCATTTTCATAACACCGACACACGGAACCCAGCACCATAACAAACCGTTGGCTGATGGCATGTCAAGAAGCGTTTCATGTATCCTATATGATAAATTTCTGTTTTTTTTATTCTTCTTCCAAAATTACATTGAATGATTTATTAAATATCCCATTGTCAATGAGCTGTCCATTATGGCTACTGTAGAATCATGGGTATTACATAATAATAATTAGTATTATTTAGTTATATTTTACTAATACAATTCTAACTATATACAAAACATTTTGTTAATGCATAGCATCAATAATTATCTAGCTATTTATGTATTAATTGTTATTCTATTTATTTCCAATATATAACATACATAGATCTATATAGCCATTGCATGACGAAGTGGAGTGCCAATCAACATTTAACACTATACAGTACAAGAAGAATAAAAGCATGTGTAATACTTTGTACATGTATCTTGGGTTCTGCCTTACTTTGTCAACTAGTGGAAATATTACTGCTGTTCACGGTAAACTGAACATTCAATATCGTGTTCATACAAGTATGTTGTGTATGTAGAACAAGCAGCAGGCTTTATTTCCTCGTTTGAAATAGATTATCTCAGCGAAAAAGTGTTGCTTGGGGTGTCTTTTAATGTATTTTAATTTGGATAAATTTGTAATTGATGCGTTAATCAGGTTTTGAAATAAGAGTTTAGACGATTTAACGTGACCGAGCCAATGGCTAGTAACGGCTCAAGTATTACTGTAAGGAAGACGTCGTACAATGATGGGAAGCTTAAATGAAAGAGAGCGTCGAACATTAAAAAAACCGTAAAGAACTAAAATTAAGTATATTGGTCAAAATGTTTGTTGGACATCAGCAAGTAGCCTGTCCCCAAAGGTACGTCAGTATAGCAGCAATGGATTGCCTGATAATTATGCAAACTGCTGAAGTAAATTCGAAGAAATGGAATTCAGTTACCAGAAGGCAGCAATTACTCTGCCAAAGGAAAAAAAGGTGGAAAAGGAATATAATGAAATTAAATAAACGGATTAGAATCCAACCCACATAGAATTTTCATTACTTGCATAATATGTATGATTATACCATATACAGTACATATAACAGGTCTTGTCTTCTTGCAATTGTTTAAAATTGATGGTTAGGTTGTGTCACATTACGATAGTTCAAGTAAAATGTTCCAAACTTAAAATGTTTATTTCCTAAACCTTTCCAGTGTATTTCAACGAAATCTCACTTCACACAACAGTTATTGTTTCTATTACACTTAGAAATCTTTAACACTGTAGCAGCCATGCTGTTTTAGACTAAAACGATGGTCCGTTCTTTACTGTCCTGGATTACTGTATTGCCATATTCCAGCAGCCTACATGAAGTTGTCAACCACATTTCATAATTTGGAAAATATGGAGATCCAAATGTCGCTTTTAATGGTTGTTATATGAAGATTATACACGAAATAGGTGGGTGATTATGCATACAAGCGTTCATTAGACCTCTTTTGACAAGTGGGACGATGCGGTTCCGCCTTCAGTTTATGGTTCTCTGTCCCTACAGGATGGATTATTTTTTCTTTGGACACCGGAACAGCGTCTATACAGTACATGATATGGACAGCAGTTCCTCGTGGGTCAACCAAAATTAAACCCACGTTGCAATTAACTCGGAGATTCCAGAATATCAAGTATAAAGCATCTTTCCTCACTTTGCACGCAGGCCAGCGCATACCCGTCAGGGTGGGAATTGCACAGGTTATGAATGGCACCCAAATGTTTGCCAAAACACTGGTGTCTGCTGCAGAGGTGTCTGCTCTACCCAATGTGACAGGCTCTAAAGGCAGACGGTTCGAATTCAAAAACATTTTTGTAGCCATGTTCGAATTGCATTTTTGCTAACAGTAATGTATTTCGTTACATATCCAATTCGGAAATAAGTCAACAATTTTTTTCTTTTTATAAAAGATTTTATTACAAATGACTATTGGCGCAGCGAATACAAAATAGTTGTCAATAAATACATTTTCACCACTGAAGCCTCACTAATTTAAGTTTATCAGTTACCTAGAATTATGCATTATCAAAGTGCACATTTTTGTACATCCAACTGCAGTTTTAATAAAAATGTAAGGAAATTAAACCTACACAAGCCATTCAGCCTACTCACGAGAATTGATCTCTTGATATCATATGATTTTTTTTTCGCCAATATATTCTTGATTGCAGATTTACGCACTTGCCATGTTCATTTTCTATTAAACATAAAAAATCTGACACAAAGAATGCAACGTTAATCCTCCAATCAGTTGGTCTCATGAAATCCTCATTAAGGCTTAAACGTCAAAAAACAAAAGTAACAATGGCGTTTGCTCTCAGCATGAAGAATTTTAAAAAATCTGCCACTCAATACTTTTGATTTTGTTCAAACTGATTTGAAATTATGCCATATCTTGCAAACTTTGATTCCCAAAGTGTTTCTCTTAGAAGCAATTTACATCGATGGAAGATGTCACTGTTGAGGCGATTAACACATGCGACGTTTACGTCGTACGATAACTACTCATATCTGTACGTTTTTCACAAGTATGAGAACACACACTATCACAACATAGAAACCCAGATGCACATGCACCCGGGACGCTTTCGAATCCAGAACAGTTCCCACCGGGCCGGACCGTAGACACACAGCGGTATGTTCTCACATCACAAAACAAATACCGCGAGTTACACGTAGGCTGTTTAACGGAGCATGTCGGCCTAGGGGCACATTTATAGTACTTTTCCGTGTAATCATTTCTTAATCCATCTTTATTAAGAAATCCCTTCTCAAAAGGTAGCATACGTGCGTCACCTCGGGCAAAGTCGGCCAGGTTCGGAGAGTCATGAAGTTCGCCATCTTCTGTGACGTAATCAATCTCTGGATCACCTTCTTGAAACTTTTCCCGCCATTCTTCCCACAGACAATCTACGAATGCGTGGTGTAGCCAGAAAACGGGATCGAAAGCAACACTCAAAAGATATCGCATATGACCACCGACCCAGTTGTGTATCCGTCCATGCACTGCTTCAAAGAGGATATTAACTGGCCACACCAACTCGCGGAACCTCCTGGCTTCAAATATGGCGTCAATAGATCGCGGGGTGAAAAATCCAGGAGATTCTGAGGTGCTCCTGAAAAGGATATCTCTGAATTGGGTGGAAAATATTGGTACATTATTTTGAACCTCTTCCGGTATTGACCAGTTCGAGAAAGGACCCGAATCAACGGGACCATCGCCGTTGCCCATATATTTATCCGTCCACAAAATAGAGTCTCTTCCATCAGGCAGTGCATAGTCCAAGGTGCTGTCCCAATAGGGCAATGTAACAAAACAGTCAATTTCTTTCAAAGCGTTTTCAAACCTGGAGAGAAAGTGAGTCAGTTTTGATAAGATTGTAGCCGACAGACTTTGAGTGTGGGCGAACTATTTTACAAATCAATAAGAAATAGAATATGTCCAAGAAATAAAACCCTGCAGAACTGTTAAACCTGCGCAAGGTAAATTATGAACCAATAAAACTGACGTTGGGAAACCTGGAAAAAATTCGTCATGGCAAATTAAATCTTGGCGTCTTGAATGCTGCTTTTCAAGTAAAAATATAAATTAACGTCTGCTGATTTAACAAGGAAGTAATTGACTTCTAGAAACCTGAAGACATTCTGTTAAAGAAGATGGCGGTATGGCATCAACAAGATATCTATATAGCAGGTAAGTTAATAACATTTCAAACTGATGCAGGAAAAAAAAAAAACAACGGACTGTTTCTAACGTAAGCAAATGAAAAAAAGTACAACATATCATGTCAGTAAAAATATTTTCTTTTCATTACGACAGCTTCGAAAAGGATATGTGCAAAGGTTTACAAAGGTTTAGTTCCGAAGGAGAGTCAAGAAGATAAGACATCTACACCCCCATCCCCGCCATTTATACTCTACTAAAGGAAGACCATGTCTGGTCAGAAGTTTCTGTTTTAAAAAGGTCTCCTATTCATGCTGGCAATGAGGGAGGTGAAATTATCTGTTCAGAAGGCAAAAGTTAAAAGGCAACAATAAGATGTTAGATCAAATAAATGGTAGAGGCACCTTTACAAGGGACCAGCTATTTTAATCACAATTAACTGGAAATTGCTTCATATTCTTGAAGTCAAATTGGCATGATAAATGTGAAACTCCCCTGAACATTCGAGTTTTGCATTTCACCTCTTTTAATATTAAAAGTGAACATTTGGTACACATTTGGTGTGATATTCACATAACTGTTGTATATCACTTTTTTAAAAAAAGTTAAAACTTTTGATTTCTTTCGATACTGCAAAATACCATACAATTATGCAAGTTTTGTCAAAATATGTGCGTCAGTGTCGTGACTCAGAAGTTCACTTTTTTTGAGGAATGAAGATCCCCCCTTACCTGAGAATATACTCTCTGTGCCACGGCAGGAACGCTGCACTAAAATGCGCTTGCGGAGCTATGGTCGGGTCGTGGAGTCTTGCGATGATATCATAGCGGCTAACATTCCCAACAAATGTATTTTTGAGTTTCTGTACTGCTTTGAGAAATCTTCTTCGCTCTGAGTATGTGAGTGATCGTATTTCTTTGCGTAATGTGGGTCCTTTCGGGCATTTCTTGTAGTAGGCACTTCTCTTTACGTCCCGTCTTGCCGCACCCTGTATCCCGCTTATGTCGCAGTCCAGAGACCGCGAAGATCCCAGTCTACACAGCCATATGTCTTGCGCTTGGAAGAGTTCGATCACACCCGTGTGACCCTGTGTAGCATAATCGTTCCATGAAGAGCATGCTTCCTCAAGGAATTTTTCATCTCCGTCTGACAAGAACTTTGATATATCTTTCCCGGTGATACGACAAGAAGGTCGGACATATTTGCAGCAGGTAAGAAATGCAATTGCTTGCAAAAACATTAATGCGCTTTGAAGCATCCTTGAGCTATGTCAGAGAATGATGAAGAAAGTGTAATAAGTTGAGCCTGAGAGAAATGAAGGTATCGTTTTCAGAGGAATGGAAAGGTAATTGGACTGTGTGCCCCTAAATACTGTAGTCTACAATGTAATGAACGTCATGCAAGGACCTTAAAACGCCTTGCACCAGCTGGATTTGTGACATTCACAATTTGGAACTATTTAGACAATTACGCGTGACATTTGGCGACCCCAGCTGGTGCGAAATATCTTCCAGAGATAGCATGCCAACCGACCAGTATCGTAATTGCAAAAATAATTGGAACGCCATTTGTCATTATGTTGAACGCTGGTGGTCTTGTTTTCCTGCTCTGTGTGACGTGCACCTGTGATACGTAAGCCACAATTCTTTGCGTTTTTAAATATTAATAAAACGCAGGTTCCAATTAATGATGAGAAAATGAAACTCATAACTCCATTGCCTAAGAGGACTCCATTATCAGTTTGTTCGTTACGTGAAACTGTCGGTTTGACATTCCCAGTTACTTGTACATTTTATATGATGTTAATTTTCTTCCCCATTAATATCTTAATAAAGAGACAGTAACAAAAACCAGGGGCTGCTTGCTTTAATTAAAGAGGCTTAAATGTTCAGAAAGAAGAGATTTGATTTTTCGCATTCGAAACATGCCTTAAACCTATGGCGTTAGTTAAATCAGTCTTCATATACATTGTATGTCTGATATTATCAAGGTTAATAAGCGCGGACTACAAGTTCCATTCTGCCATGTTTGAAAGTTAAATGCTCTACGCATGTTTTCCCTGTATATCATTTATGAACAGGTAAGTATAGTGGTTGAATGCAGAAAACAGCTTGACATGTGGTATCGATCGACACTGTGTGGTCTTCTCATTTAATGAAGGTGAGACAAAATTGTCTTCCGTTGCCATGGTAACCTGTCTAGGAAAGGCCCCATATTTTTCTGTGAACGCTGTCACATTTATTCTGCTTTGTCGACGCGAGTAGGTCGTTACATGCTTTATCTCCATCATATCTAATTGATATCGCCATACCAGATACTAACTCACTTACCGATAGTCGATGTTTCAAATTAACGTTTTCTGATTTAACAAGGAAGTAATTGACTTCTAGAAACCAGGAGACATTCTGTTTAAGAAGATGGCGGTATGTCATCAACAAACTATCTATACAGCAGGTAAGTTATAGTATTTCAAACTGACGCAGGAAAAAACAACAAACTATTTCTAACGTAAGCAAAAAAAATGTACAACATATAATATCATAGCTTAACCATAAAATACAGTATATTACTATGGGATTAATGTTTTTTTATCTATTACCAGCCAAACAATATGAGAGGAAAAGTGCTACATTTTTATTAACAGAGTTTCATTTGTCACTAGCTAGAAAAAATGAACTGAGATTTATCAGCCAACATTTCGCCTGCTGACAGAATTCATCAGTGAAATGAAGGCTGTGCTAGGTAATACTTCCTATCACTCCTTAGGTGTGCTGTGTCAGACAGGTGCCCCCCTTCCTATGCTCGCCCCCCTCCCTGAGGAATAGCAGGTAAAGGTTGGATAACTCAGTCCCATCATTTTTACAGCTAGTAACAAATAGAACTCTGTTTATATAAAACACGGCTAATGAAACTGCTCGACATAGATTTTTTTTCAGTGACAATGGAGCAGCGTTATGTGAAATACATTTATTTTCGTAACTTCTGCATCATCATGTGGTGATGGAATGTACACACAATGTAGTAAAGTTAGATCACGCAGAGTACACTTCTGTATTTTTTAATCACTTCAGCAAAAATATACGTGACAAATCGTTAACAAAACTAAGTAGCAATAGCTGTAGCACATATGCGAGCTACATTCACTGAGCTGCTATTGTATATATACAGACTTGACATTTAATATGGAATATTTCAGTTTCGAAGGTATGCCTAGGTGAAAATGCGTTCTTTTTTCACAAACTCCGATCTCATATAAGATATGTGAATGGAGAAGTGTGTAGTCAGGTGTGTCGCTACCAATTAACTGAATACCAGGTTTGTTGCGCTGCTGCATTATGTAATATGCAGTGATTTAATTTGGTAGTGCTCCTTTGGGCAGGTCAAGGCTTGGTTTTGGCAAAGCATGGTTCTGTCAAAAAACTATCCATATGTCGGCAACTACTGCATAGAAGAATTTGAAATTTTGCATGCAGGTGGTCGGGTTTGCAGTGTGTAAAATGAGCTATGCAGTGCTTTACAAATTTGTTAATCTGTGGCAGAATGGCGCGAAAAAGACAGGCATTGCCAGACAGATAATTGTGCCAAACGAAACGGTCCGCACAGTTTTATAGAGTAATGCCCAGACTGATGTACCTACACAGAGGCCACACCCTATGTATTGAAATCTTACCACCAGGGTAAGGACCCACTGTCTTTCGGGATATGCTGTTGCAACTAAACAAAAAACAACCAGTCTGTTCAGAATGAGGGGTAAATTGCCACCAAAACGCATTTTTCAAGGCCCTAAGCGAACACCAAACTGGTTTTAGCAGGTTAGAATACCAGACGACCTCCGAGGAACCCACTGTAAACAGCAAAACATCGTTGTATGTTTCTCTAATGAATTGGAGACCTTGACTGTTTCTGGGTTGAACCCTGAAATCTCGTGGCTTTCTTTGTTGAGGTCAGATTTCACCTGTACCGCTCAACAGTCAAAACAGAGTTTACAGCGACCAGAAGAGGCCAATGACGAAGCGTGTGCCGCGTCTGAAATGACTAAAGTCATTAAAAGCGTCAGTATTTGAAGTGGATACCATATTGGTGCCAAAACACCACTGGTAGTCATCAACGAAAACCTGAACCAGATCAAATAAAGAAATAATCTGGGAACCACTTGGCTATCATTTGATAGGGGGCAACTTAGGAACAATTTTAGGTGGCACGGTGAGATTGCCCGTTCACACAGAGCACTTTTAAAAGCAGCTTACTTACAGAACCAAGGGAATGAGCAGCTACCTTGGTCATCAAAATCGCCACATTTGAACCACACAGACAATATGTGGGTAGGCTATTACTGGCCGAATCAATGGCCTACATGTCCTACAACAAAACGGAACCAAATTAGACAGATTTTGACCGGTGCCTGGAATGCTATTCCAGATTGAACTTTAAAAACATATCCCAAGGAATGCCTTGCCACTTGAGAGCGCTGGTAGCAGCCAGAAGAGGACAGGCGTAACAGCGACCACTGCTGTGACTAGACACTGACATGAGGGTCCTTTGTGGAGTGTGTAACTCTTTTACAGACAATAATTTGGAAAATATGGAGGTCCAAAATATCTCTTTTAATGGTTTTCGTATGACATAGAATAGGCAATGTATTTTTGTTTGCTTCTCTGGTGAATTCCATTAATGAACTGATGTCACAATGACATCAAAGAGATAATTAAAAGTTATTAAAACACGATTTTAATCCTTGTTTTCATTTATTAGTCAGCAAAATAGGAAAAAACTGATAAAAAATGATGTGGAAAAAAATATTCCATATTAAATGTCAAGTCTGTATATATCTTCACTACTCATCACAGCAAAAAACGTTTTTTTTTCTTATTAAGGTGTTTAAAGTTATGGGCAAGTGATCAGTGCGAAACATTCCGCTGCTTGGCACGGTTGGGCAAGGTTGGACACGTTTTGTGCACGATTTGGTCAGAGGGCGATCCCATGCGGCCTTCTCCATGAGTTGGCACAATCGCCCTGGTGGCTTTAACACTGATGGTGTTTGTACAAAAATAGTGTTTATACGCCAACCACCCGCAAGAAAATGCAGTAGTATCGAAGTAGCAAAGAAGCGTTAACGCAGTAGTGGTGTGGAGCATATTTGCAGTAGAAATGCAGTATAGCCTACTGCAAATCTACTTCAAAAATTACATAGGGTTGTACAGAAAAGGAGCATTAATGCAGTAGATTAGCAGCATGAAAGAAGCATGTTTCAAATATGCTAATTAGCTCCCACATCGAAGCAGATTTGAAGCATGTTTGCAGTATAATTGCAGTAGTCTACTGCGCTGGAGTATCTACTTCGTTTTCGTGCGGGCAATGCTATCCTATTAGAATATGTACACGTTTATTTTATGTTTTACTTTCTCTTTTTTCATTTGTACTATAGCTTATTGGCCAGTATTTGCCATAGTTCATATGGACCGACTGATTTCCCTTTTGTTAAGGTATAAGATTCAAATACAACAATAAATACATCTTTAACAGCATATAAAAAAGTAATAAATTGCATTTGAACACCAATATTGTTAATTGTAATATCCGGATTTCGCAAGATAGAGAACCCTCATTGATTGCTACCCTCCGTAATAATCTCTAAAGAATCTAAAATCTAAAGAGATTATTACTAAAAACATACTCTTAAAAACAAACGATTAATTATATAACTTTAAATGTCGGAACAGATTCATTAACCATAGGTAACTAAGGGAAAATTGTCGTTTACCCCAGGAAAACTCGTTTTATGGCGTCAAAACGAAGAGCTGCCACCCCTTTAATATATCGACACGTGTTCCCAAAACCATAACCATGTTGCAGTAAAATGAAAGTGGTAATAACAGCATTCTGGAACAATTTCCTGTCAGTTTGATTAACGAGAACTATCATCAATCACAGCGGAAATGCACAACTGATCTGTGTGGTTACAACAGGTTATTTATTGTGGGTATCGGCGTTCATAAGATTGCTTTAATTTCCCAATTCTGAAATGAATGAGCATGATCGGATTATTTTTGATACTTTTTTGACTGGAATGTGCTTGTTTATATATAAATTGGTTTTTATATCTGAAAAGTGCCTGTGTATTTGCCAGCTTTCCTGTCTAGTTCTATAACTTCCTCAAAAATGGCTGAAATGATCTGAATCAAACCATGTGATTGCATGTTGAGATGGTCCAGTTTAAAGGTGGGCCGGATCCTGATCCAGATATTTCAATTTTTGTTTAAATCATGGCCTCTACATATGTAAACTGTTGTGCCTCAAATAGGGGAATCCAAAAATATTTTATTCTATGGTCACATCGAGCAAAATCTATCGACTATCGAGAACTATCGCCATGAAGTACATGTATTTTTATTTTAGGGGTTTCGTAGTTTTTAAGGCCTGAATTGGATGGGGTAAGATTAGTAGCTTTGCAGGATATGTAGTTATAGATAATATGAATTTTGGGGATTTTCAAACACGTACAGTGTACCTTTAATCAAATTCGTTGTAGAATACTGGACCTTTGGGACTATAGTTGAGATAAAAACTAAAACTTGAAATGAAAAAAGTGTGCTTTAACACGGGGCTACTAATTTTTAAAATCATTTTATTATAGTTCGGGTTTTAGTATTTTTCTCACTCTCATATTTGTAAATTTACGGCAATTAGTGCATATTTATTTAAAATAAATAGTTTTTCAATTAGCAAAACTTCCAAACAATATTTCTAATGTACTCTTTACGGGAAGCCAACTCGTTGATGACAATCCCATATATAAATGCTGTTGGGCACAGGAAAGTGTATTGAATAAGCCAGAGAACTGTCAAGAGTGAATTTCTCAGGTGGTGTTAACTTCCCGCCCTGTGATCGGGAGCACTTGATACACGCCAGCCTATTGAGATTAAAGCTCTATAAAGCTAGCTTATTTCTCTGGTGTTCATGCTCTTTGATGAAATCGGATAATGCTGGTGATTATACCCTGGGTTCCAGTTGTCTAAAAAGACAAAACCGTCTACTCATCCATTCAGTGCCTGGCCATCTTTATACATTTTACAGGTTTTCAGGGTTATCTAGGGAAACAAGATTGGCTTTAGCTGGAACGAAACTCAGGGTAGCTGAGTATCATCTACCCACAGAACCTAAGACCCAGAGTCGGGTATTTACGATGTTTAATCGAAGAGATTAGGATAAAGATTAACCTGCTGGGCAGTCGGTGTACATGTATTTGAGATTTATTTTCTTACCGAATGTCGTTCCAAATACTGTTAGTTCAGAGGCCAGGCACGAAAATCCAAATACTTCAAAAGAGACAAATGTGTTTCGTTCTAATTAAACCGGGGTTAGAAGGAATAAATCTGCATCTTGGACGACACACCCAGTTACACACGCTTTCTACAAATAATGGAAAATTTCAACAGAATGTTTTAACTGCGCATTAAATCCAACTAGCTCATTGGTGTTTTATTATAATCCCGTGTTCTAACTTCAAATACAGTATAAAAGGAAACTTTATTTCTGTTTGGGTTCCCTCTGGTGATAGTTCATAAGTCTGACTAATTATCAGCAATTTATAGCGAAAAGCAAATGTCATGTTCAAGGAAGCGAAAATTGGCAAACAGCGCCGGAATCAACCAAAGGTAAAGTCATGACATGAAAACTCTTATGCACTTTGTGCCACTGACTCGACCAGTTGCTGATGTACCTCTGGCTGACATTAGTCCTCTCTTCAGCAAGATCCTGTCTCGACCCATCCAGTGCAGTTGGGTGGACCTCTCTCCTCCTTTGTGCACAGTCTAGAACATGTACAGCGTTCTATGGGAATTCAACCAGGATAATACACAGATCACTCTATTGGCCCAATAGCCTGGTTTTTGAAGAATTGTTGTATTTTGCAAGCACGGTGAAATGCAGCATTGCCACATTGGAAAAGAAACTAACTACCAAATTGACCGTAGCATACGGAGGACATACAAGATACAACATCTACGCTCTCTCATGGGATAACGGCCCAAAGATGGACAGAAGTACAACCGTGGGCAGCAGATCCCATCTCAATCTGCAGCAATCCTCTCTCGAAGATTACATGAAACAAGAAGCAATGACGCATTTGGCGGCAGTGAAGTTGGCGAGCCATTGGTAGCGGCGAATCTTCCTTTGTTTACGACATATCTGGTAGCATTTATGATCCTCCAAGGCTGTAGCCTTACGGGGACGACCAGTACTGATGCCTGGTTGGTTAATTTGCTTTGTGCGCTGTCTCTGGTTGTTCTTATAGACAGTTCCTTGGGCGATTCCAACGCAATCAGCAATACCCTTCTTTTTGCGGTCAGATTTTCTCATCCACAAACTTCCCAAAGTCTCCTTCGGGATTTACAACTGAAAACACCAGTGACTGGGCCATGAATGTACATATTTGACTCAATTCAGACTTGTTCCACAGGGCACATAACTCTAACCACCTATTGTGTATTACTCAAAGATTTTATTTTACTTTTCTCGGCTTGAAATTGGTTATTTGTCATTGCTATAGCTAACTGTATCAAAGGCTTTGCGACAATTTATCACAGTCAATTCTGGAAAAATAACTGACAATATTTACATCTCTGATTTTAGAAATATCTCATCATTTTAGTTAGAGCGCATTATTGTCATTATCCAGGTTTGTTCTTGTCCTTGTTCATCAGTGGAGTTATCTCGGTGGACGTGGCACCCTCAGCTACTGAAATGATCAGCAGAGAAACCATTAGCATCACGACACATGTATTAACAAACTCCGTAACCATGGCAACGTCACATGCTCCAGACGATGATCCAGACGTCACCGTTGTGATAATGAACGCTTCAGAATTCAACAGTACCCATCATTCAACAGAGGGGCCGAGCACGGACGATGGCTCCGGTGACCAAACAGAGATGGAAACGACGCAGACGACACCCCGCAGTGGAAACAATCACACCACTACTACCCCAGCGCCAACATGTAATTGTTCTTTCTGTATAGTTTTTGTTCAGTATCCATCTTTTGCGAAAATTTGAAGATGATTAAATGTGTTTAACCCTCTTGCTTTCATTCACTCTTCTTTTTTCTTTAAATCTACTTTATAATGTCATTGTATTGATATATTAAACAGCAGTAATTGTTCTGGTAAATGGGTTTGCTTATTTTTTCTTCTATATTTGCATTTTCCTCTCAGACGCCACCGTGAGTATGATTTTGTTAAACCTTTATCCTTTGGATAGTAGTTTTTGAGGCAGGAAAAATTACAGCTTTTCGATCGATCTGGAAAGTAAAACAAATTTAAAGATTTTTTATGTAAATGTATCGTTTCAAAACAGTCGTTTGAAGATATATACCTTCCTCTCTCCTTCTTTGGCTTTATTTCTATCGTGCGTTTTCAGGGCCGCATCTGTCAAAACTGCACTCATACTGCATTCAAGATGTGTGACGATACCAGGGAATTCAACACCGTCCAGTGTGCTGATGGGCATTGCTGGGTATGTGTAGTATAGGCCTACAATTAAAATAGAAAACAAACGTAATTTTCTTTTTAATTTTTGTGTGTGTTTCACAAAGTTTAATTATTTCCAAACAGCAACAGTGTATCAACGTTTTGGCTTAAGAACACCCCACCCTGGCTAAGCTATTTTCCTCACTGCCCTTAATTTTTTCTTCAAGAATTCAACTCAGCAGTTTCAAATAACTTACATTAATATTTCACATAAAGTATATATACCTTATTATTCGTTACAGATCTCACGAGAGACCAAAGGCGCCGTGGATTATTACCATCGTGGATGTAAGCCCCATTTGGAGGCCAAAATCGGAACCGAGGCCATGTCGGTGATCAGCTGCAGTGACCACGCACACACCCAGTGTCGCACGGTCAACGACAGGAAGTTCTGTTTTCTCTGCTGCAGCACAGATAACTGCAATGCCCACAGTAGGCTGTCTGCAGCAGCGTCTCTCAACAACAAGCATTACTTTATAGCTCTAGTTGTATGGCAATTTCTCGTGGCAATGCAAGCTGTTTTGCCATAAGAGTTAGAAATTTTATTCGCGATAGGCTGTAGGGAGTTTTGGCATATTGTCAAAACACCCGCCCTTCATCTTTGAATATCTGTAAGTTAGAAATATTTACTTACAATCTGTACGAATAGAGGTGCTTTTGGCATATTGTCAAATTGGGTTTGGGGATTTTTCTGTAAGGACTTACTGTTGATTTTATCAATAACTAGAAAAGCACTCAGAGGGCGCATACCTCCGCCAAGGCAACAAAGTCTCCATCCAATGCCGCTTCACCCCTTAATTTTCGATATTTTTGTTTATCGATTGATTATTGATCCGGATCGCCCACTTCTGACAGTTCCTGAAAATTTCATCAAAATCGGTCCGTAACTTTTTGAGTTATGTTGATGACAGACAGACAGACAGGCAAACAGGGGTGAAAACATAACCTCCTTGGCGGAGGTAAAAATTTAATTTTTAGTCCTATTTGAGTACAGTCTCACCTTAATCTTCTCATGAATAATCGATGGATTTTAAAGTCCAAAGTCATTTTCTTTCTGAGATGTGTTGTAAATGAGTTATTAATTCAAATTAAAAAATAATAATCCATAGTTAATGTTTTTTTATAATTAATTGACTCCAAACATTAACTCAATCTGAAATGCGGTTAGACAACGTTATATTACACAATATCTACCTGGTATATTTTATTAACACAGTTGTCAGTCTGCAAGTGCACTCTTGCTTTTAGCCTAGATTACATTTGCCACGGACGCCATGCAATGAAGTATAGGGTTTTCTGTGCGATTTTTATGACATCGTGAGTACGTTTACATTATGTGTCGCGCCATTTCGCTGACATGACCTTGAAGTCACGAAAGGAAAATACGGTTTGTCGGTTGAAAATGATCTAACGGAGCCTACGTTGTCCATGCAGATTCCTACGATTTTAGCACCAATGTGGTGAGTACGAGAAAACGCACGACTTCAATTTCGTGCAAGTGAATTGCACTTAGTTTGAAACTAATGTCATGCCTCCTATGTCATGCCTACCAAAGGTAGAAGAAAAAGAGACCATTTAAAGGTTCAAATATAAAATCACAATTTCCGCAAGTCCGTCGAACATTGCCCGCACGGGAACTGTCGATGCCATCTACAATAATGCTACGGACTACAGTTTTCAAAATTTGTCATAAGTGTTACCTCGACAAAATCGTAAAGGCCACGGAGACCATAAATTCGTACGATTTCGCACCGTCTGCCTCCGCTCAGCCGCTGCACGAGAAGGGATTCACCGTACAGACATTGCATGGCAAATGTTATCTAGGCTTTAATGATGGAATATTCAATCAGGATAACAATTTTGTGATTCAAATCACGTCTTCTGAGAAAAAATGCATTATTCAAGCAACTTTTCCTTTTAGTGTATAGCACACTGGATTGTACTGGATTGTACATAATGCTAATGGCAGTCAATTAAATATTTCTTTGGTCCCCGTGAAAGCACATTGCCATCTCTCCAAATAAAAAAAACCTGCAGATAATTTCAAATTTTATGAAACTCATGGTGTTTTTATGCATATATTAGCAAAAGACGTTTCAAGTCATGTTATGCTTTTCTATCCTTAAATCTGCTTTATTTTGATATATAAAACGTATCCTTATCTCTTCAAAGTCTGTGAATTGCAGTTTTCAAGATTTATAGTCTATTAAACTTGATGTAAATGTTTCACAATTGCCGTTATATCAATAAGAATAAACACAACACAATATTTAGTCTTCAATTGGTCTTTTTAATTACGTTCCTTTAAATGCCTCCGTCACAGTACAAGATGCAACAACTAGTCTAGGAGAAGATAAACAGCATGGAGTTCACCAGGTCTGGTAACAGATTTATTCTGCTGAGTTTGTGACTGTCAATGCTGGCTAAAATAGTTCCCATGCAACTTGACATACAAGTTGAAATAAAGTCTACTGATCAAGAACATTGATCAAAGCTGTCTCTTTGGTAGCCCACCACCCCTTGAATAAGGAATGAACTCAACTGTTGTCTGGTCCATTCTAAGGGGGAGAAATTAAGAAAATATAAATGAAAAAAAATAGGGGAGGTGGGTTTATATGCTTACTGGATATAATAAACATTTGCACCAACATCTAAGGGTATTTTTCTTTGTACATAACTGCAGTATCTTACAAAGCCATTTAACTCATAAATCTATTCACAAGCTGACAACACTGGTACACAATACACCTATATCTCACAGGCCAAAATTAATAGTATACAGACAGACTGAACAATGCTGGAATTAATACAAAGCAGCCAGTTTAAACAACTTTGTGCACAATCTGTGAGAACTCAAGAGTTCTGCAAAAAAAACGATAAAATAATAATTAAATATTAATACATTCGTGAAAGTCACACTGAATGCTTCAGTTTCAATATATACATCTGCTAAGTCTGGGCTGGACCGGTTTCATGTCGTCTGAATGTGCCTATGGTGGCGCCATCTCTGAGGTATTTCATTTCACATGGAACCATCACAGCCCTCAATATTTGTAGCATACATTCACTAGGGTGTGCTGATTACAACCTTCTGCATAATCCAATAAATAATGTCAGCAATCTCATTGTTAATGCTACTTTTAAAGCCTTTTTTTATAATTTGTTGAAATAAATTTTGATAATAAATAGTTATCTGACTACATTGATCTTTGAATCTAAAAGATTTTCTACCTCTAATAAGTAAAATAATAAACCTGACACATAAAAAAGAAAGAATATAAGGCTTACAAGAAATAAAGCACAGGTTTTTCTGAAAAAGAAAAAGGTGGGAGAAGGGAGTACAGATCTCTTAGACTTAAGGACACCCATATAAATGGTGTTTTTCAACTGTGGGTGCTTGTTCGGTCATTCCAATATACAATAGTAAATAAATCTTGATGACTTTTCTTGATAACTGCCACAATTAACTGTACAAAGAACTACAGAAAAATACAGAAAACTCTTGTTCAGGTCCACTGAATCAGATATGAAACATAACAAACATGAAAGAACAAAATGAGATTTTCATGACCCAGGAAAGCCCCAACCCATAACTACACGTACCTCTCAACATGACCACATTGACGGATTGCTTTTTTATTTTTAATACTCACAGCTACGAATCTAAACAAAATGACTGTACATTAAAAATAAGTTATATATATATAAATAATAAATTTGATTTTGTATTGCAGTAGTCTTAATGGTTCAACTTGCCACACTAGTTCACTTCACATCCAGGACACCTCTACAATACACGTCCTGTTTGCAGACTGTGGTCATTTCACCATCCAGAAACTACAGGTGTCTGCCCTTGACATTTCAACAGCATCTTGATTACAGTTTAAAAATTGTGAAGTTCCAAAGCTTCACTTATTCATCGACCAGGTCCTTGCTGAGTTAGAAGNCTTGACCTGTGTATTATAAATATTCATCAGTTCTGTAAGTTTCAAGCCAAAATGTGAAACAGTTTTTCACTTATCGTGTTATCGGTGTTGGAAAAATGCTGAAAAAAGTGAAAAAACAGCGTAACTTCCCTAAAAGTGACCCGATCATGCTGATTTTCGAACTTGACCTGCGGATTATGAATATTCATCAGTTTTGTAAGTTTCAAGCCCAAAGCAAAAATGGTTTTCCACTTATCGTGTTATCAGTGCTGCATATATGCTGAAAAAAGTGAAAAAACAGCATAACTTCCCTAAAAATGAACCGATAATGCTGATTTTCGAACTTGACCTGCGTATTATGAATATTCATCAGTTCTGTAAGTTTCAAGACAAAAGCAAAAACGGTTTTCCACTTATCGTGTTATCGGTAAAAGTGCACGACGGCGACGACGGCGACGACGGCACCGACGGCGACGACGACAGACGCAGATGATGGCTATATGTACAGACACATCTGTGTCTGTACATAAAAAGTTACTTTCTTCTAGGTCATTAATATGTATATATAAATATATACAACCCCCTCCTTTTTCTAAAAGAATATCTCCCTTTTTCAAACTACTGAACCTGTTTTAATCAGCAGTTCTGTAAAACAGACCAGTTACTACTTACTTTCTAAAAAATATCTTTGAGAGTCCTGCCACTTATTTAATCATGAACCAGAGAGTGTCACACTGCATTTTCCATGTCACCCTCCCCAACAGCCAGACACTAACACGACTGAACAACCCCACAGGTAATGTCACCTATTCAAGTCCTTTTACACTCACTCTGGTTAACAAAGAGTGCCCAAACCTAAAGAGTCTGCTTTACATGAGACCCCTCACACAGACTTCTGCAAAGGATGAGATCATTTCCATTTCTTTATTGTCTCACATCAAAACATTTGTTGAAAGATATTGGAAGAAATTGACTCTGTATCCTGCTTCATAGGTCTCGGTAATATAACAAGGTTCCACAGTCTCTCTCTGTCTCCGTCTCTCTCTAGGTCCTGGCCTGTCACCATTGTAACTGCTTGCTAATTGCCATTCTGTTTGCTGTATGTTCACAGTGTATCACTGGAGTCACATCTCTGTCTCCACTGCCATATGTTATCATAGTCAGCACCAGAGCCCGGCAGTGAAGGGCAGACATGTTCATCTGAGGAGTAATCCATGACATAAATAATATGATTTTGATGAAGTGAGAAGTTCCAGCATGCCATGAGAGGTGTTATTGCATCCCAAAGTAATCAGTGGGATGGTCGGGGCCCGGAGGACCCACGTCTTTTTCAAACCTTTTTGCTTCTTCTTGCATGCTTTCTTTTATGGCTTTAATGGCTGCCGATTCTCCGTGGTCCTGAAAGGAGAATATGGAAAAAATTATTGTAGCCTGTTATATCCCTACTATGTCTATCATTATTGTTACTGTGTGTTTTTCTAGAATATTAGTCATCTCTACTGAAGCTCCAGATACACCAACACTTCTACTGCAAGAGAACAAGTAAGCATGAAAATATGAGAGGAGCCCAAAGAATAGATTGAACCAAAGACATTTTTATTAGTGAATTAGTCAACTATGACTTTTATTGATTCATTTAACTTTACTTCAAAGAAACGCAAAATAAAAGCACACTAACAATAAGAAAATATTCAACAAGTTTGAACTCTTAATTGAAAACAAATTGAAGAGGCCAAACCAAATCCTGTTTCTGAGACTGATAAAATTGCCATTTCAAGATTTTTTATAATTATCCCATCCCTTTCCATCAACCACCAATTTGGGCCTTTGTTACTTGTTAAATGGGTGTCAGGTGTGCCATTTGTCTTCAGACTGACCTCAGTTTTCACCTGTATTTTTTTGGAAAGGACATCAAAAGGTGCAGAGCAAGAGCTCTGTCACACAGATTTAACTTGGATGTTCAAATTTGTTAAATGACGCCAAGTAGGCATTGACCCAGGAAAAGTCTCTAGGAAGGTAGGTAGGTATTTCCATTCTCATGTCTGCAGTGACAACATACATGCAATCAGAGTAAAGGCAGATTTCAGATACTTACTAGTACTCCAGACCTAGATTCCATTCCAAATTGTTTAAACTGGGTAGGGGTGGTGGTTTGTCTTTTCTTTTTTTCTTACAATAAGAAGATATAAAGGGCAAATGTGAGATACTGCTAAAAAGCTGTGTGAATATCTAAAACAACAATTCTAACATGTTTCTTAGGTCTTATGAATGATATGTAATGCCAGATTTGCAGAAGACATATGCAAGCTAATAATTCCAAGAAAGGGAAAAAAGCTTTGTGAAGGTTCAATTCACTTATACAAACAACTGCAACCATTGGGGATACAGGAAAAAAAAGAACATTTGGGCAAATATGCAGAACACAAACAGAATTTTGTGTTGGTTTGGCCTCCTAATAGCTAGATTGTCACTTACATTTCCTACATTGTCTTGGTATGGTAGATTATAGCCTCCCATGTCCCCCGCACTCACAGGTGGCATCTCATCGTGTCGAGGTGTCCCAGGGCCTCCATTGGCAGGAGAGCTCTTCATTCCGTCAAGACCATCCCCTCCTGAAGTGACAGGTATCAGCATCACAAAACAAAAGAACTTACAAAATACCCAGCCTGCATGAATGAGTAATTTTTTTTTAACTTTTCCTTTTTAAATGGCACTTTAGTTGGCATTTACATTTTAATTAGTTCATTTTTTAAAACCAGCATCATTCAACAACCATATTCTCATAAGAAAGCCTCCAGTCTTCAAGACATATATGTTTATTAGTAAATAGTTTGGCAACCTATAAAGAGCTGGATAAGTACAATGACATAATGGCACCATCATATAAAATTACCAACTGATGAGAATGAGGGTACTGATACAACATTCCATAAATTAAAAGAAATTAAATAATAAGTTTTAAAAGTTAGCCAGTCAGCACTGAAGTTTGTAATATACACTTGTGATAAAATCACCCACTGAACATTTGGTCTTGATATTGGATGTTTTATAGCACTTACCATTCATAACTGGGTTCATATCTGGCCCCATAGGCCCCATAGGATTGTCAGGGCCCATACCTGGGAACTGAAAGGAATAGGAACACAATGAAGAACATATGTAAGACACGATGACATGAATAACTTTTTTGCAAGAGCATCACGATGGAGTCTGTCCAAATGCCAGACTCAACAAAAATTCACTCAGTTTTCCTTCACCATGGTAATGATGCTGCCACATGTGCATTACAGGCAGCATAAAGATATCACCTTAACTCTATTTACAGCAAAGTGCTTTTCAAACATGTGCAATGTTACAATGGTGATGACAAATACCACACGACTTACAGGCATTCCCATGTTAGGTTTCATTCCCATATAACCCATCTCTCCAGAACTTGAATCTGTAAAGAGAGAGAGAATATAAAAATAATATTTCCATTTGATTTACCATACAAATCAGGTTATGCTATCATCACTCAAAGTACAATCTCTGGTCCATGGGGGCACATGTAGGAAATCCAGTCCAACTTCATAAATTGCTGCAAGCCTGGAAACATTATATGACAATTTAAATACCAAAAACTTTTCACCAATAGAATTAATCAAAACACCTGTGTTCACTCATTATTCTACGCACTTGTAAAAATACAGATCAGTGGCGTAAATAACTTCAGAAACTGACTTTCATGTAATACTTTTCACAACATTTTCATGATTCAGAATAAGTGTGTCCATGATACATATGACACCCTCTTTCAATGCAAACATGACTGATAATTCTTTGAAGGTCATTGCTACATTTACAGGGACAAGCAGCAGTGACACAAGTACACGTAACTCACTCAAGCATGCACATGATACGTCTTTACAACGACGCAAGCCATACCACTTGGTAGGGTACCAAATAAAGTTGGTAAACAACAAGTATTGTCCTTTTGCCTTTTGTTATTTACCAATTTTAGTTCAGACAGATGACTTACACTGTTAACCAACTAAAGCCTTTTCCAACAACACCTGACCAGGAACTGGCTATGCAGTACACTGGTACACTATCATTAACTTGTGCAATTAATTTAGCTTCTGCAAATATACCCAATGACATGAGAACATAACCTTACCAGGTCTCATGATTGATTTTATTAATTGTTTTTCTGACAGAAGTCTTAAAATGTTATTAAATTCAACAATAAAAGGCAGAAAATGAATAATAATGCCTAACAGACCTGAAGTGTGCTTTTCAAACAACCCAATGGTCTCTCTCTCTCTCTCTCTCTCTCTCACACACACACACACACACACACACACACACACACACACACAGTTAGGCATGAATCTAATGCATTCAGCACATAAGAGTCAGGTACTTATAATTCTGTTCATTGTTTGTTCCTATAATATCATAGTTAGTAATATGTGCTCTACTTTGATTTTTAAACAAGCATCTAAGAAATGGCATTAAGTCAGTCCTAAAATGATGTCACCAATGTTAAATATGACACTGCACTAAGCCCGTGACAACTACTCCCAACTTCACGTGACTTCAGTGAAGCTATCCAATGATTAATGTAAGTGCTATGTTTCCTCTGGAGCATTTATAACAACTAAAAACAACTGTGGGTTAAATCTTGTCATATATGAAAAAAAAAGCATATCTTGTTATTTGGTTAACACCAAAGCAGTCTCAGTGTAGCATGCCTTGTGTACAGCACGTCACATAACATTAGATGTTGTCAGGGAAAAGATGCACATGTAGCATTCAGTACTGTTGACACATTGTAAGCTGGACTCTATAACAAGGCAGCTGAAGCTGACAAATGTACAGACCAATTCAACTATGAAAAATATCCTGAACAGTAAGAAATAATGTTGAGAATCAGTAGACTCTCACAAAGAACAAGGCTGCAATATCATTAACGTGCACGTTAAGACTAACTGTGACTTCAACAGGCTTGAGTAAAACTAACTATTTTATAAGTACTGCAGAAAAATACTTGAAATATATGAAAAAAAAAACTTGAAAAATGGTGTATTTAGGCCCAACTTTTAAACTGATGTGTAGCTTTAGCTCTACGGTAATTCTATAATGGGAAAAAGACGACTAATTTCAAGTTAGCAAAAATAAAAAAAATGGCATATAGAGAAATTTATTGTATGTACAGTCACTGCAGTCTGTACATAAAAAGAAATAAAAACAACCAAATACACAAAGCTACCCCTGTTAAAGTCAAAATGAACTTTTCCATCACATTTACAAAAGAAGAGGTAAAACCCATATGGGAACATACAGGAACTAGAATTTGGATTGTAGACGCACTGTACTGAATGAAATTTGACAAGTGGACAATACATGTTCCCATATCAATTATTGTGGTGTTAGTTGGGTTAATAAAATTCCATCAAACAATCACCTCGTCTTGCAGCAGTAGAGTTCATTCTGTGACTTGCAGGGGAGTAAGGTCCAGTTGATCCTGAATAAAACCAGTTGTAGGTTAACTTAAGTACCCATGGCAGTCATGACATTACAGTGAGTTGAACCAATAAGTAATCAATTGCCTCTTTGAACAATATAAGACATACGGCACATTGTATCAAAGAGACAGAATAAAAAGTTTCATTTCATGAAATAGCATTATGCTGTGTATGGGAGTTATAATACTGTAATGCTTCTTTTACTTATTTCATGTTCACATTGAATCATGACGGGTCTGCAATGGGTACTTTTTATCCTCTGAATACCCTCCATACTAACACAATAATACATGTACCACCAACAGAGTGTATATTGTCTCTTCTGTAAGAACACCCCCACTTCCATGCCAAACTCCACACAGAGAGACATCTGACACAAGATATTTACTTCCTTTCAGAAAAGATCAAAGAAAAAAAAACTCTTTAAAATATGAGGGAGAAAAATGAAAAAATATACAAACCAAAATCATGTATCTAACAAAAACTAACACAACCAAAATAGGTGAGGCAATATCTATCGGAAACAAAAAGACAAACCATAAAATGGACAAAATGAGAGATGTTCGACTGAGAAGTGGCTTACCTTGGGGGCTAGGCATGATGGGAGTTCCTGGAGGTCCGCCTGTTGGTGGGCCCTGAATATAGAGAAGCATAAAATATTGAAATTTACTAACACAGTGGTTAAACTGAACACATAATTTTATCAAAATGATTCATTTGCTTTTACATGACAAATGTGACATTAAGGAATTCATTATTGTTATTATCTAGAATTACGTTAAAATGAAACTAAGCAGAAGATGGATTTTAAACATTAAAGTGATAAATAAGCCACATGTTAAGTGAGCATGCATGAAGAGTCCTGTCTGACACTTCTCATTTTGCTGTCAATCTTAAATTGGTAATTAATTCTGCTTGATGCTGAGTTATAAGCATATATTGCTCAAATCATTTATCTACAAAATTCTCCCAGAATTGCAGATTTTAATCTAAATTAGTGCTGCAAGTGATTGTTTTGTAAAGCTGTTCTAGAACCTCTGAGAGAGAGAGAGAGAGAGGGTGCAGACTTTTACTTATTTCATTAAAAAGTCTGCTCTACATGACATTACAGCATGAATTCAGATCAACAAACTTCATTGAAACCAAACATTTTTTTTAAATGAATTGTTTCCCAAAATGATTGCTACAACAGTCAGTATTTTTTTCAAGATGGTGGCTTCTAAAACAGCTTTAAAGTTAAATCTTCTCACTTACACTGTAATTTCCAGGCGAGGGAGATGAGTAACTCATCTACATAGAGAAGAAAAACAGATACCATGTTAGTGCAATCAACAGCCATTCTGATTAATTTTTTATTACTGGCCACTGGATGTTAAAATCATCTCCCCATATCTTACATGGGTCACAGTTACAGGTTTTTGTGTAAGGTCCAACACAAACATGGAAACAAAAAATTACAAAAATTCCCAACAAAAGAACACCTGTTTTTTCAAACATGCAGCATATAAAATCCAATGGCCACTGTGTATAAAGTTATATTATCAATCATAGAGTTTCCTTCAAATATTAGTGAAAATATACCCGTGTCAATCACAGTGCTAAGGACTTGAGTGACGTTACAGAAATGTTAAGGTCAGGATCTTCTTGCCACTAACATTGTGAGACTAATTGTGATATAATGATCATATTCAACTACTGCCTCTAATCAACCTCATTAATACATATCTATAGATATTATGCTAGGGAGAATGTTAAGGTGAATTTTACAATAAAATCTTTAGATCATGAAAGCCCAGCTACTTCAATCCTGTATAATTAGAACAATTAGTACACATAGACATGGATGTTAAATATAAAAAGGAAAGTTTTGCTCCATTCAGTTGTTTTAAACTATTTTGTCTCATACTGGACCGAATGTTACATGTCTATTTCAACGCACGATCCAGTACGAGTGAGAACAAATCCATGTTTATTTTAGAAGTTGTTACTCACTGGTTGAGATGAGGGGGGCCAGGGGCGGGTCATCTGTCCAGGTCTGGAAGGCAGAAATAACAGTCATATATAGGACAAAAAATTTCTGACCAAATATTATGCATTACCAACAGTATAAATATTACGAATATTAAAATATGTACAACACGTATAGATTTACAGCAAAATGTACAAAACAGCAAATGCGAGAACGGCAGCACTAATTTTGAACTAATTTAGGTAAATATGCATACAACTCAACATTATTTCTGACTTCTGAACATAGTTAACCATAAATATAACAGGAGCACTACAAAAACATGTGCATGCATTTAATTTGTATTAATTCTAATATCTTTTCATTAAAGATAATGATGGCAAACCTTGTTTTGTGTACTCACATTGACATAGGTGGCATGCCTGGTCCTGGTCCTCCAGGTCCCGGCCCTCCTGGTACCATACCATTGGGTGCAGGGCCACGCATTGGACCATAGTTCTGAAACAGGGCCATGTTAGCATAAAACTAGAGCCTTTGAAGTAATTAATATTTGAAACTCCAACTCGTCATTGTCAGTATAACATTACTGTAAAAAAGGTTCTAGCCCTCCCAACTGATTTCTTTTTTTTTTTTTTTCAAAATTTATCGTGAGAAATCTTCCAAGACCTGTCTTAGTGTTTAGTTTCATTTTTCTTTCATTTCTCTCATATCTCTACTCAATTTACTTTTGTTAGCAATAAAACATACGGATAAATATCAATGAAGCAACAGAGACTGAGAGAAAGCAGCTGACTTACAGGATTCATAGGACCTGGCATTCTTCCTGGCATTCGCTGCATGTGAGCCATAGGAGGACCTGGAAGTATGGACATATTGCAATCAATTACATGCAAGTAGAACAAAGGAGTGAATTACTTAACAACTTGTGAGCTCAGGAAAGTTGTAATAGTTTTCTTGTTGACTCACTGGAACCATTATTGTCTTTCTTTGAGTGGCAGGCAATACAGGTCTTCCCATATCTCATTTAAAGTTGAATTTTATCATTCATCAATTTTGCCTCAGTTCAAGATATTATTCTAATTGCAATGTTGCCTTAAGTAGCAGGAAAACTATTGCCACCAAAGAGATAGCTAGGAAATTGGTTTTTTATTTCACACCAGTCATCCTTTATTCCCAACTTGCATCACGATGTGAATAACTATGAGGATAAAATCTACTTTGAATCATTTTTGTATTTATTATGCAGACAAAAAATGCACCATCACATGTAGTGCAGTAAGAGAACTGCTCAATGCTTCACTTTTAAGTGATGAATGGTGGTAGTAATAAAAGGTCAAGTACTCTCACTATGCTAGTTATAACATTGTGGAGATCTTGTGCACAGGAAATATTTCATTTCAGTCTTTTCTTTTCATTAATTCTGTGTATCCATCTTATTATCTATCTCCTTCATCAGCACAGACTTATTTTTAAAAATCTGATGACCCACAACTTGACCATCTCTCTCTCACCACTGTAAACTAAGGTAAAGTAACCTTGTAAACAATGTGGAAGGTGTTGGTACACAGGCAAGGTCAGTAAGAGCCCTGGCATTACTGAATGCAACAGCTTAAATAATTCAAAATAACTATTAAAAAAAATCATCACAATAATGATGATGTACCAGCACAAAAAGGTCATGTAGTACAAGTCTCAATTACGCACTTCAGAAAAAAATGCTAAGATGAACTTCAATATAACAAACTATTTCAACTGTTTATCCTACCTGCTGGTTCGTGGGTTTTCTTTCTCAACACATTACATCCTGTGACAAGGCCTTTCAAACTCTGTTATGAAACAAGGGCCCAGCAAACACTTATTGGGTACTTGTATGAGAATACAGTAAAATTCAAAATCTTGACAGCCACTAAATTTGTAGTTTCCCTCAGAGAAAAATATTTTTAAAAGTCACTACTTTCTGAGTAAAAAAATGTGTTATCACCCCGAGTTATATCAACTTTTTATACCTGGCACGTGAATTACATCAGTCTACCTTAGTTTCGTGTCTAAGATCTACCTTAGTTTCGTGTCTAAGAGAGACTAGAAACAAATACAGCAGAGTTTGAAGCACTACTGCTATAACCAGAGCCAGTTATTGCATTGAATATCCCCACTGATCAAAGCCACTGCTTTAATAACTGTGTCCTAAGCCCACGGCTCTAGGATATTATGACAAATGTTCTCATTCAAACAAGATTATCTTTTTATTAAGAAAGCAAGGTAAGTCAACTGAGAAATTAAAACTGAACTGGCTTGGATTGTATCAGGACTTCCTAAGTGTATACAGTGGCAGCTGAGCTGAACTGTGTGAAAGGCCATCGCACAGGACAGGCTGAAAGTTCAAGCTGCGGAATAGGTGAGTGGAGTATGGGAGATTACTGTAGTTGGAGGAAAGATACGCAATTGTCCTAATCTAAGTATGTGTGTGTGTGTGTGTGTGTGTGTGTGTGTGTGTAGCATATGTATCTCTTTATAAAAGGATAAAATGTTATCTCCTCAAAAGTTGTCTATCAACTCATTAAAGATATTAGTGTAAAGTTCATAGGAGAAGAATGATGTTATCACATTGGTCTTATTTTGACCACACATTGTTCATTGTTTGTCTGCAGAATAGCTTAACACCATAGCAGAGATAGCTAAAGAAGAATGGGCCAAATATTTGAATATGGGCATAAGTAAAGCTTTATATTGTCATTTCTGTCTTCAAACAATCTGTATCCTTATTTCTTTTTAAATTTCATTAAAACTTTGGCAATCTTTATTTTCATTTTTTTTGTTTTCAATGAATAGCTGCCATTAATACTAAAAAAGACAGCCCCCCCCCCAACTACAGTCAATCCCATCATCATTATACATCCAAAAAGTGTTTGAAAAATGTGCTGCACCTGTCAAAATATTTAGTGCTGATCAACTTGGTGAACAACACTTGGCACAAACTGAAGAACTGAAATTAATGAGAAGAAAACCTCACACATGAACACACAGGCAAACAAACAAAGACTATGTGTTCTACCTGTGTTCTTTCAAAAATATTTAATGTAGATTATTTAATATTACACCCTCTTTTTTAATCCAAAGGACTAGCATTTTAGACATGCATTAACCATAGTATTACGGTAAAATATATACTATAATATATACAATGTTATTTTGCTCATAGCAATTTTCAAATCTATTATTCCTATTGCACATCTTAAACATGTCTTATTGCAGAATCTCATCCAGCTAAATTTTCAGGTCAAATCAAAATGTCTTGTCACAGTGCACAAGTCCAAGTCACTTCTCAAAGGAAAAGATAACACATTACTTGAAAGGGAAAATGAATTTATTGGGCACTTATTGTTAACTAAAATGTAAACCATACAGGCATCGTGAAGCCATAAAATCTAAAGTATTCTTTGAAGTCAAAAGGGAAAACTTCCGAAACAAAATGGCTAACTGTTCCCAGCTGACCTTCATGGACTGGTAGGTTAAAAGAACCAGCACATTTAATGGCATGAAAAGGCACTGACACTTCAGACATAAGACATGCAACGTTTCTGCTGCAGATTATATGAATGGTACAACCCAGATGCTCTTCACCAGCCCTGGTATATAGTATTCCTTCCCTAGCGCAAGACAAGAAAAGGCTTTTTGAGAGATACTAAGTAAGAAAAGGCTTTTTGTGAAATACTAGGTAAGTTATGCACTTTACTTGATCACGAATTGTCTTACAATATCATCCTCCCGGCAGAATCTTGTTTTATGTATTTTTCATGTCATATCACAGTGGAGTGCTTTTTCAAGTTAAGTAAAGCACTCACTTACAGAGCAATTTCTAAGTGCAATTTTTTCAGACGCAATTACTATAATAGGTACATTTTATCTCAAGCACTGATTGCTGCTTATGGTACTTCTTACCTTTTTAATTGAAGAAAAAATCACAATGAATCTGATATGCCTAGTGTGCTTGACAGAAAAGTTGCGTAGGCAGAACAAGATCCAAGTCTTTCAATGACATGAGGACACAAAGATGAACACAATTTGATCAGTTTACCTAGTAATTCACTTGGAAAATATCCTCAAATTTCCTTAAGCTTGAGTTTGTTCCTAGAAGGTTTTGTAGACAGAGACTGAGGAATCACATTCATTGGTTTGTATCAAATACGTGAAATGTCAAGCACTATTTGAGAGGTGTGCATGTGAAAGAAATCTAGTCAGGCTCATGCATAAAGACGTTTTCTTTTTGAACAAATGTGGAAAATCTAATACAACACTTCATGCATAAATTCCTACTGATATTTCAACACTTTCTTTTTTATACCATGCTCCTAAAGCGGTTGTCTGTAACTTTACTATAATAATACCCCATTACAATATTCTAGTAAGCAGCTCAATCAATAGATGAAGAGTTGAAAAAGTTATCCTAATTACTTTGTTGGCAAGCAGTTTATCATCAAGTAAAGCAAGGGTGGCGCATTATCAGCTCTTGACAGCAACAGAGCAAAGTGATGAACCCAGGTAAATGCCGCAGTTATTTCTTTCCTGATACCCAAGGAGGGCCTCAGCTTACAATGAGAACAAGCTCAGTGTGAATAGTAGTACCCATCAATAATCAACTCTCACAAGGGGAACCAAAACCCTGCCTTCTAACACCTGAACTGGAATATTGAAGTTCTTCAGAGAAAGGGTTAGGAGCTGTCAGTATTTCAATTGCCACAGTGGAATGACAAGGAAGACTTTTTAATTTCCAGCCAAGACGTTATCGTGGCCTGCGATCCAATCATGATGAAAAAACCCTATGCATTTTCATCATTACCTAAAGGATTGTCTTGTCTCTTCCAGAAAAAAAATGTAGCCAGCTAACTCTGATCTCAATGTAATGAGATTTTGCAGTAAGTTGCAAGCTAATAAAAATAACGCTCTCCATAGGATTCATTATTGTGTTTCATGTTCTATTTCATGGTCATGTCAAAGCCAAGGTGCCTAATCTTAAGATATTAATAAGAAGAGAAGAGATATGGGAAGGTATTAAATAGGAGCTCCACTGCTGTGGGAATTAATGAAAAATTGGAAGTGAGTGCGATAAAGCCCTAGCCTGACATATTGCAGGAGCTGGATAGAAAATTAGTAAGGCATTACTTCCAAAGAGACTGGATTCCGACTAAGCCCCACAGACCAGTGTGTTTTCTAGGAAGGCAGCTGAAAGGCACTGGTGATTTGAACCAGAATGGGATATCCTTTCCCCCCAACATCACAAACATTGATTGATGTGATGTCTTCCTGATAAGACATGGGATAACGCACACCACAGTCGCAGAGAATACCAACGAAGACAGAAGTCTTCCTGTCCTCTTGAAAACCCAGGCAAGACAGCTCAGATCAGGTAAGGTGTTCCCAACTTTACACATACACTGTTAATCATTCATCAGAAGACATAGAGTAACACCCTTATGACCTTGTTTAACTTGGGTCTCTTCAGGTTACTTTACATCACATGGATATTCTACATTAGACTATTTCTCTTTAGGGTTCATTCACAATGAAACTATTGTTCTGCAGAGATCAATACAATTTGTGGGGACTCTTGCTGAATATAATCAGTTAAAGAGATTAACAAGCCTCAACTTGTTTTGAACATGCTCAACCAGCTACTCAACGCCAGGAGGTGTGTTAGTCTGTTAATCTGATTGCATTCAGCAAGTCACCACAAAATTGGATCGATCTACACAGAACCATAGCCTCATTGGGAATGAGCCTTTAGATGTGTCTTAGGCAGGTGAGGTATTGATTGACATCTGCTAAATTCTTTCAGATATGCTCTCATTGCAAAAGCAAATGTGTACATCTAAACTTATCCCCACCCCTCCCAACACACACACACACACACACACACACACACACACACACACACACACATTGCAGAACCATAGAGGTAAAACACTCATTGAACAGCAATGTTCCCCAAGTTTTGTGACAAAGGCAGCAGCTGATGTGGGTTCACCCCAAAGCCCTGGTATGTGTTCTATTATTTACTGCATGTGTTGCCATCCATAACGAACCAGGCAGGTGGTTGGCTGGTTGGTACAGGACCAGGAGGCTAATTTCTCCAGCAGTGGAAATGTCCAATCATCTCCCCCCCCCCTCCCCTTCAGATCCCAGACATCCATCAGTTTGCCCTGAGAAATCCCAGTAATCACTTCCCACTGCTTACAGAAATTGCATGTTATTAGAGAACAATCTGCTTTGAGCTGGGTGTTTTGCTAGGTGATTAATGATAACAAAGCCTATGAAAGCATGATCTATTAGCAATCTTACACAGCTCTGGGACAACTCAATGTGTAAAACAACTGTGAGGAAGAGTTGGTTCTTTCCATTCTAGGAAAGTTCAGCCATTATATCTGCGCTTGCCACTTGGGCCTCAGGCAGATGTGATTTCCAAGCTCGTAGAGGTCACACGAATGTGGACAACACACAGAGATTACCTAACAACAGGAGAAATAGTAGAACAAATCACGGCCCAATGGGAGAAAAGCATATCCTGTGGAATGCAATACTCTGTTTTTTTCCTTAATGTAGAGAAACACAGAAAGAAGTGCAGAAACATTTTTTCCATTTCTTCATTTATTTGTAAACGATATCACAAGATGTCTTCTTACTCCTGCTGCTAGGCAGATGGTTCAGTGATGGATTCTAGCGGAAACAAGAGTGCACAGTGCTTCATAATACAAGTTATTATTTCCTGGATATCAATATGTATACATTGGAGTATGCTGTAACATTACAAGAACCACAGGAGAGAATGAACTAATCCACAAGTCAGTGTTGTTATATCATTTCAAGCAATTACAACAGGAAAAGCACTTGTCAATTTAAAACATTGATTTGCACTATGAAAAACAACCATCAGTAATATTTCTTTCTTTTTCAAACTGCAATTCCAACAACTTGCAGCTTGGCTGCCTCAGTAGGAATCAAAAGAAGATCCAGTATATTCAGGAGACTTCAAACAAAAACCAACTGAGAACTTCATATATTCATTAGTTGGCCTGCTCTAAAGAGATTAGGAGCCACAATTGGAGGAAAAGGAAACAATATGCTAGACACAATCACGACACATATATAGGGACAGAGATATAAGCTGATCATTTCCAGATAATACAATGGAGGGATGCCGTTTTGGGGTCCTTGTTTCTTGTGCAGGTGAGTTTGAGTATTTTTTCCTTTGTAAACACATAGCTTTTTGACACACCTAACTTAATATCTCACATAGGAAGTTTTATATTTGAAAATAAAAACCACCTAATACAGAGACCAGAAAAGAAAACTTATCCCCAGGTGTAACAAAACATTCAGTTTGTTGAGGGCGACGTGACGTGACGTGACGTGAGGAGGTAGTGTATAGATAAGCTTTCCCTACCGCTGAAGTACATGTAATCCCCATCAATATAACAGCATTAGTGCCTTCCCTAAATGAGGGCCACACATGTACAAACTGTTCAGCCAATTATTTCTAAAAGCTCTACTCCACAGACAGCCGGCACACTTCATGAGATCCGTGCAGTTGTGGACTTTTTGTTGCATTTAGGTTTGCTCAAGAGTGATACTGTGTATTACATCTAAATGGAATATCACGAAGTTTGCCATTTGGAAATACCAGCATTTCTACTTAACTCAATCAAGTCTAATTTGCCAGTGAATAACAACCCAGCATGAGGACAATTCCATGCTGTACATCAAAAGCAATCAACACTTCCCCCGGCGTACATACACTGTCACTGAACACACACACACACTGAAAGCCCTGGATGGAGACATATACATAGATACGTGTACAGCTCTTTGTATACCAGCACTAGCACTGACTGCTATGCAGTTGAAGGGTTTCATTCTTGTGATGTTGTATATGAGCAGACTTGGTTGGATTGGTGGCATTTAAACTGCCTAAGTGGTGCGTTGCACACCGCTGACACGTTACATGATTAGATCTGGTGTGAGGTCACGATGGGAAATGCGGCTAGAGCAGCACTTGGAGAAAATCACCTAGACTGAAAAAAAAAATGACTCCATGGATGTAGATGTGGCCATTTAAGGTAAGAATTCTAAGGAAATTTGGTCTTTATGAAGTAATAGGAAGAGGAATATGAATCAATCAAGATAGAGTTCAATTCATAAATAAGTATAAATCAAATGTCAAAGAGAGAACAAATTTCCCATACCATCCTTACTACCCCATCCATCTTCATATGGAGTATGGTAAGCCACCATGATGGTTATAGAGCATGCTGCTTTCTATCAACCAACCAGTACATTCATATGCAAACTGAAAGCTAGATTCCAGGATATATGATAAAATATACACTATTTCTTCAATGACGTGCTCATTGGCAGACAGCAACAAACAGATCCACTGTTTACTTCAACATGTCAATTGTGGTAGGTGATCCTGTTAGAGTATTTCTCAATTAAATCCAAACTCACTGGGGACTTTTTACTTTTATTATTAACCCAATGGATATTTGTATGCCCATATACTTTTTTAAAATTCAGCAGTGAAAATGTAACCCATCTTCTGTCAAGACTTGCTTTTGTATATGGCACTATTACATGACAGGGTTATTATTTTTTTCTCTGGTAATGTTCAAAGTTTCTCATTTTAGATCAAAGAACAATGCTTTTCATTTTTGTATTCTGTTATGTGTGATGTGAAGGTTTAACCAGGGCAGTATAATATTCACACCATGCTTACTTGACAGTAGCATGACCATGCTCCTCCCCCCCCCCCCTCCTCCAACCCCTGGTCCATCTGACAAAAGAAACCCACAGAATCCTCTCTGGCCATGATTAAAGTGCAACTGTGTAATGTTGAAGCCTTCCATTTAAATGCAAGAAAGCACTCTCAATTAAGCATTATCTGGGCTTTAGGATGCAATCACTCACAACTTGTCAAATTAGAAATTTGCTCTTCATCAATAAAATGCATTGCATGAAAAAGCTGTCTCCGAGCTTCCTAATCTTTGCACGAACAACCAAAATCCATTTGCTGTAGATGTCTTCGTTTCAGAAAACTTGCCAACCATACTGAGCAGCCACTGAATTAACCATGACAACATCATTAGCCAGTCCCTCATTATAGTCCAATCTAAAATAATGCTCTAAGCAGGCCTTTTGAAATGAAAAAACTCAGGTGGGAATACCCAACTAGATTCAGGCACAGGCACTATGGGATTTCCCCCTTCCTCAGCCTCCCAATCATTATAAATATAAAGATATGTCCTGCAGGATGTAAGATTTCCCATTTCCTACTTTTCTTTAAAACTATTTCTTAAGATATAACTTAAACATGGTCATTGTTAATTTCATTAATAAGGTTAGTTTCTTGGGAATGGCTTGCTTGGCCACTTTTGTATCCGTTTTCTTTAACTTTTTTTCCTTGTAGACTGCTACTTAACATATCTTACTCTTTGTGAATTACATGACACTCTGACATTTTCCTACAAAGCATTTTATCTCTTACACATGTTAACTCAGACAACAAAGGGTTTTATGTTTGTCAGCTCTCTGGCAATAACAAAATTATTGATCAGGCTGAGGCATAAAGTTGTTCCTTCATGTAACTATCACAGCGTTCTACTAGTTAACACATCACAAATGTCACCAAAAGTTTCAAACTACACGAATCCAGTAATTTGACCATGCTGACACTGAAAACACCCTAACTCTACTGAAGGAGCACTGGTTTTCAAAGGAGAAAACACACACACACACATGCACTACAAACATACATGCAAGTTGTTCTACACTACATTTCAGTGACAATTTCCGAGACAGTGAGCAACTCATGACAGAATACAGAGTCATGCAACACTGCTTAACAAAGTCACCGCAAGCAAACTAAACTTAATGTTTCCTTAACACATACATCACTGAATAATGAGTCGGGCCATGTACTACAATACAAAACTGTTGTCGGAAACGGAGTATTAAGCTAAGATTATGTATGTGACAGCTCCCTAGTACAACATGAAACATGCGTGAGGAGGTCGTTGATACATGTACTCCCAGCTTGTTGATTTATGTAAGTGCTGTCTTCCTCCTCCATGTTAACTATGGAAGAGACATGCAGACCCCCATTGCCATACAAGTCATAGGTACAGCTAACAGCCTGTGACACTTGTACCAACATGTACTTGAGGTATAAATTGGTTCTGATCATACTCACATTTCTCGGGTGGTAAGACATTCACAGTTTTGCAACCAGACGTAGCTGCATGTTTAGACCACACCGTCAAGATGTAAGTAGAGTAAATGACGAAGCGATAACGGCAGTGTTCCATGTACTACTACAACACCATGCAGAGGGTAAGAGGCTGACACTGTGCTGAACAGTGCTATATGTATTACTGGCTTGCCTCACCTATCAGCTTGTAAAACTATTGGTTTACCAAAAAGAGCAGGATCTTTAAGTACACATCTGTTAATTTATCTTTGGTTTTGGCTTCAAACAAAAGCTGATCGGACTGATTTTCCACTTCTACTTGGCTAAAGCAGGCTGATGCACATTGCTGAGAGCGGAGAGGAACCTGTGGTTAGGTATCAGGCTGAGGACAATGTCAACTATATATTTTTAACTGTTACTTTTCAGCTTTATCATTATGCCATATCAGCAAAATGAATTCTACAACATTAGCGCAACATAATTATTCTTAACTTCCTTTTAAATTTCCAGGCAACTAACAATTTTGAAGGGAAGGGTGTTCTTTTTTGAACAAGTGGACCTTTTTATCAATTATTTGACCCTATTTCAAAAATGACACATAACCTAAGTCAACTTCTGATTCACCACAGACCTTTTCCAGCCAAAAGGACCATTCTTTGGAACCACCTAAAACCCTTCCTGCCTCAAGCTCTGACCTGACTTTGAAGTTTCTAAAAGAATTTAATATCAATGATACTGCTGTATTGTTAATGAAGGACCAACATTACAACTGTAAGACCAACACTATTGGACCATTCCCAGACCCTATTATACTAACTGTGGATCGATCTATCTCCTAGGGGATTCTCGCTAAATTGCAATCAACTAAAACGGCTTAGATATCTGTCATGCCTACTGAAGCTGCTAGTGGGTAATTAACTATCATTTAGTGGTTTCAGTAGGTGTGCCAGATATCTAAGCCGCTTAAGCTGAAAGCAATTTAGCGAGAAACCCTTTGGAGATAGTCCAGATCAATCCTGTTAGATCAACCTAGGTATGAGAACCCAGTCCATGATAAAACTGTCAGTAGGACCAACACTGATAGGGCAGCAAAAAGACATCTTGTTTTCATACTCCACCAGATGTGTGTGAGACTGTTAGTGGTACTTTTTCTTGTTGTTTGATAAATATCACCAGCCATGCATTTTATAAACCGCTGCAATGGCTCATCTTATACAATTACATTTTCTTAACTTCTGACAGCCTGTTTATAAAGAAAATAAACTTATGTTATTTGTTAGGGGTTCATAGCATTCCCCTTGCTCTCCAACAACCAATATGTTATTATCTGCTTCAGTAGATTTGTTCCTCAGTTCAGAAGCACTACAATGAGGATGACAGAAAACCTTCTACATTTTTCAGATTCAGGGACAAAAAAACTGCCCTCCATCAAAGCAGAAGTGGAACTAGCCATACAACAGGATAAAAGGACCTTCACTTCATAGCTGTCGGGACAGGTTGATTGAGGATGTATTGAAGGATCTCAGGGATCACAGCTTGCAATTCTTGGTACAACTGAAGCAGAAAATGACTGAGATTGAGCTGTCAGCGGAGGATGCTGGTTATCTGGCCTTCACCTCCATATACCCACCACTAAACCAGGAGAAAAACTGAAGTGAACTGACGGGATTGCAGGTAAGAGGGCTCAGAGCAAAATTTTCACCTAAATTATCTGCTTTTCAAAGACAGAAACCAACTTGAATGTTTTGCTACTTTATCCTATAAGCAGATTGTGTCATATTACAATCCTTTTAGTGAGGTAAAAACAGCTGCATTTTAAGTAGACTTTATAGGCTAACACACTGCAGGCACTATACAGTGCACTGTGGCATGTGGTAGAAGTAGGAATGAGAGGGTTGTCTTGGACATAACATGTACACTGTAGAATACATTTTTTTTATTAAATATCTGGTAGAGTTAGTCCCTTAAAGTGTTGCACATTTTTGTAAATGCATAGCTCTGTCTGTAGAAGTAGTGCAGCCACTTTGGTTCTCATTTGTCCCTCAGTTCTCACCCGTATCTCCAAGTAGTTGTCTGTATGTGACAATGGTGACACCCGCTACATTATGTGTGGAACTCTAACATAGATTTTTTTAACATGGATACCTTACCAATGTAGTATGTTCTCTTGAATAATTATTACACAGGTTTTTTTCTAAAAATGAGTCAATATATATTTGTTCCTGCATACACCTGTGCAATGAAATCTAAATTGCCCCTATCATGCTACTAAATCATAGAACATCTAAATAGCCTCTATCACTCTACTAAATCATAGAACAATTTCTTTAAATTTCTGAACATCCATTGGACAATCCAAACAAGGCCAGGGCATTTTGTGTGGAATCTGCATGCATTTCTATAAGCATAAATCAATTCCCATGTTACAGAGATTTTTCAAGTGCATCTTAATGTCTCTGACAATAATGCGCATTCATTGATGATACTGTCAACTTAAGAACATCACTTCTTATCATCTGACATCTTGTGTTCACATCATCAAAATGGTTTTCTCACCTCATGCAAATTAGCTCTGCTTTTAAGTTCAGACAGTCCTGTCCAATATGTCAAAATAAACATTTTGATTTCAAAGAACTTCCAGAAATTATCAACTTATCTGCTTTTTCATCATACTTCAGGATGCTTTGAAATTCTTTTATGAATAGTAATAACTGACAAGATTGCCCATAGCCTAAATCAATAGCTCTTGAGAAAATATAATACAGTTGTAACAAAATGAACACAAATCAATAGCTTTCTACCACACTGGTCTGCATTGGTCTCCTGGTGGTGGGGGATAAAAATACACACCAGTCTACAGGATTATGAAGAGACTCTTTTATTGGTAAAGACTACTGCAAAATATTCTATATGTTTAGTTCTCGATGAAAAAAAAAATCTTGCATTTTTCTTTGAAGTTCAGCACAAAATGTTCTAGGATAGACAATATACACGACCAGTTCACTGTGACAAATATAAATATCCATGCTGTTAATTACAAATTTATTCAACTCTCTTGTAAGAGGCGTCTGTTGGAACCCTTGTTGCAGTGAACATAGTGAAGAAACTGCCTTTTTTAAAAGATATTTGATGGACAGACTGTTAGAATTATTGAATTGTTCATTTGACAGCTAATGACCACATAAAAAAAGACTTACTAAAATACTGATTAAATCCTTTACTTCATACATCATGTTACCTTGGAGCAAGTGGTAAAGATACATTTGGTCTAAATTGTTCAAGTTTTTCTTAAAATAAATATCAGACTAGAGGATGAGAGAGGCGATACAACCCCAGGATATTGTACCACCAGCTACAGTAAGTGCATTTATATGGAAAAAAAAGGGACACCACCTCTAGTGTTGTGCTTGACAAGTTCTACAAAATGCAATAAAATAGAGTTATCAATTTTTTGGTAGAAAATTACAATTTATAATGGAATCGCGGGGAAAAGTAAACAGTCAAATCCAAAGTTACAGTCGATTGTGAATACGAGTTCCTGTTCAAGTTCAATAGTAACTATGGGCATATCTCTTCCAGTTTTGTATATGTAAGGACTGGAAAATTTGCAAAGTGCAATGCATCATGAAAAGTAGGTTCAATATCAATTTCAAGGAAACAGTAAGATTGCCATTAAATGACTTCCTATTGAAGTTCAGTAGTAACATTGGGTATCTCTGCTAATTTTGAAGTATTTTTCTTTTTATTTTCACCACTGAATATTGTGATGTTGTACTTTTGATATATAGCAACTCCTAAACCACATGAAAAAAAAAAAAAAAAAAAAAAACCCGGACACCAACTTCAGTATTGTGCTTGACAAGCTCTACAAAATGCAACAAACCAGAGGTCCAGAATAAGAGAGAGGTTTTGGTTTCGGCATCTAATGGCTGCTACTTCTGTGATAATGCACTGATTTACCCCAAACTCACGAAGATGAAAGATGAAAGTGTAAATCCTGCCCAAAATATTATAGATTAAGTCTGTGTAGTTTCTGAAAATCAGCACAAATAATTTTTTTTTTTGAAAAACACTCCCATTTTTTGAAACATTTTGGCCCATTCAACCTTGCGCGCTGGTGGTACAAATATAGAATCCTTTCACCGGCAGGAAAACTGGTGTGAAATAAAAAGTCGTTTTTGCTTTGAAAACATGATAACCTTGTTTTCACAATACATAGATTGCTTTCATAATTTTTCACACATAGCTACATTATTAAAACAAGAGCAAGCTGAAGTAAATCTACTAGATGCAGGTTCCACTTACCAGGCCGTACATCCATACTGTTTGGCATCGGCATCTGACAACCACCCATCGTGCCTGGTGGCTGGAAGAGACAGACAGCCCATAAATAAATAGCAATTTTAAAATGAAGCATACAATATTATTACATAGACTCAATTAAAATATTGGGTTAGATTCTTCAATTTTTGAAGTTATACTGCCCAAGACCATTATGATTCAATAGATTTAATGACCAACATCAGAGAGAGAGAGAGAGAGAGAGAGAGAGAGAGAGAGAGAGAGAGAGAGAGAGAGAGAGAGATGCACAATTTCAAGAGTATGATCATTCTTCTGAACAGCAACAACATCTAAATGAAACTGAAGAAACGATCCATCAGCATAAAGCACAGAACAGCAAACAGTGTCAATGTTACTTACAAAATCGTTAGGCATCCTTACTGGTCCCCTGGGGCCGCCTGGATACCTGGGTGACATGAATGGCTGGAGACAAACAAGAAAACACACTTAGACATGGTACTTAGAACTCTGCTCTATGGTTTGATTGTTGTATCTTTTAGCCACAGTGGCAGTTTACTCTAGGCATGATCCATTGCAATGTGCATGTGAACATCTGGTTTTATCTGACTGTAGAGAAACTGTCATACAGACTAATGTCACAGCCTGTGTATGTTATCAATTTTCTTTCATGTTTTGATTATTCAGAATCATGCTTATTCAGTGACAAAATACACCGAGGAAGAGTAACAGTCTTTAAATATCCTAAGTCTCCCTATAACATTTGCAAGCTTTTATTAAGATTCCGTTTCAACAATTACAAGCATGGACATTATCTTGTTTAAACATAATTTTTTATTTTTTGTACAACTGTTGACTTAACTTAAACATCATATTCTACATTCTACCACTCAATAAACGTGTTGTGTAAGTGACAATCCTCCTCATGCTTTTGAGGTGATTTTTCAGTTATTCAACTGAACCATATCTTTTCAATCCTAATACATGTAATAACTGAGCAGTTATCAACATTTCAGTTTGGTCACAATTTCTGATTGTGTCTGTTGAGATCCCACATCTACCACACTCCTGGCACAATTTATCACAGATTGGTAGAAAAATCCCTTTTCATGAACATCACACTCTTAAGTTATCCTTGAATAGATTATATATCTAAGCATTTAGTTTATAAGTCTAAAAATACAATAATCCTTCACTAACTACAAATAAAACATCAGATAAGCTTGAAAATAAATCATAAATACATAATACACACTGAAACAAAAAAGGATTAAATCTACCACTTTTCTACTCCACAGCTTCTATCCACGAAGAAACAAGACACACATGCAACATTCAGCAGTGCAGTTAAATCTGTCCTGGAGAGCAGTTTCACCTAGGCAATGGTTAGAGCTCCAAACAACACCAATCCCAGAGCGTCATGGAGGTAAGTTGATATCCCCTTTCTTTGTGTAAACTAATGTTAGATCACAGTTACATAGCTAGTGTAGAGACGGCCAGTTTAGTAACAGACATTTTTCATGGCCATAGACTTACTTTGCTGTGATGACAGTTGAAGCTAGTTCTTTTGAGAAAATCATCAAAATCAAAATTTAAAATTAAGCAAGTGCGAAACAATACTAAACATTTAATTTAGGAAAAATGTTTAATTGTTTCTCTCAAGTTTTGAAAGATTTTCTGGTATCTTGGTAAAATATTTCACAGCAATGATGAAGTCTATTTGGTTAGCGTTATGACTGAGTGAGTGGTGGGTGCAATGTGCAATGGTGATTGAAAGGTGACAAAATGACAATATCAAATCCACAAATGTACAGAAGGGAGGGACAAGTGGACCAAGAGAAGACAACAACTAGCCATTTTAGAGATCACATTCCAAGTTCTGACAGAAACCAATTTCCCTTTCAATGTTTGATTTTTTTTAATATCCCCTTGCAAAAAATTAACTTCATTGCCATATGCTTTATGTTAATAACTCAAAAACATTTCAGACAAAATAATCTACTTGTTATTTTAAGTGGAGCAATACTTCACCCAATTTTCTTGACTATTTTGAAAGTGACCCTCATTAAATGGCCAGTTCTGTCAGGTCCATCTAGGAGTTTGCTGGGGGCAATATTGGCCACAATCAACTACTTACTTGTCCTTGCCCCATCATAGGATTGTGTGGCGGCTGTGGGTGGGGGGACGGCTGTGACGCTGGCGGTGAAGGACGCATGTGGGCGTTCTGTAGCAGAGCAACGATGGCGCTAATTCAGCAATATGTTCAACAAATGTACAGAAAGATGGAGGTCTAATAAGGGCAAAATAGGCCCATAACCATGATAGCTTTGTATCAATCTTCCATCAGAGATAAACAAACAGTGCTGTTTTCTCAAATAAGACAAGCCTCTTTTGTTTATTTCATATAAGTATACCCCCCCCCCCCCCGCAAAACCATGTAATTATCCTTATTCTTTAGCAATGAAAGCAAAATGTGAAGAAAAATAGTCAAACCCAATTTAAAGAAAATTACTGAACCGTTGTATTTTCTGCTAAAGCATATACTAAGTTGGGCTAATTGATACTCATCTATAACGTGGAAGATGCACCTGTTTTTTCACTTTGCTCATTCAATGCCAAAAGACATACAATTTTAGGACTAGTGAGGACAATTATATTATCTTATAAAAAAAACCCTTGACTTTATTACCAATTTTTATCATTATTACACCAAGTACCAAACACTGGAATCCTTTCAAATATATAAACTGTACATATTTCTAAAGACAATTTTTGATTAAAAATTATCATATGCTATTTTTTCATTACCAAATTTGCTCCCAATTTCATTAAAAAAATTACGGAATATCTTTCATTTTACTTATTCAGTTGACACCAGTGTTGGTAGGAAGTCATATATGTGAACTGGATAAAATACATATTTAAATATCTACGTAGCTATCACCTCTGAAATACAAAAGGGGATATACTTCACATTTAGCTTAAAAGTAAATAATCAAACTATTTAGTCTACACATTTTTCTTCAGTGCTCTAATCGTGTGACACAGGCTGTGTTACAGTGGAGGTGCTGTTGGTCTCTGGTCCTCTTTTATTTAGTAAAATTATGATTGTGTTGATGAGAAAGATCTGGTGCCACTGCAACCACCAACACAAACACATCTTCAACCAACAAATACTTGTGAAAAAGAGAGAGAGAAAAACAATTGATACCCCACATACATAAAAACACACCCATTCCAACACTGTTCAATGATAGCCCAAAACACCAACAAACGGAATATAATTCAACAGCACACGCATACATACAGCCCACATATCAGGAGTTCCTGCTCTACCCATTGTGTTTTGTCTCACCAAACACATTGCACCATTCAGGCAGTGATTGTGTTTTTCACAATATAGACATACAACACAGACTTCTCAAAAGCATTTCTATGTTGAAGCTGTCTAGATTTAGACATAATTGAGGCTAACTAAATAACTGGATTTACTCTGGAACTGAATTACTGTTTGAGAATTCCACAATATTTTGACTTGCATGTCAATATATCTGGAGTCCAATCTTCCCTTTTGGAATTATGTTCACAAACATGAACATCTTAACAACTGAACATAACCAAGCTAAACATCCTTTTATTTCAGATTGATTGTGAATGTGAAATCAGATTATTCCTAAAGCCTCTTTTTCACATCCTCTAGCTACAAATGATAACTGGTTTATATAGTCCTATATTTTTGAATGCTTTCTATAAATTCAAGGTTTTTTAGTAAGTTTTAAGTCAAATACATCTCTTATCATATTTTTCCAGGAAGCCCAATCTTTCGATATCAGTGCTAAGTGGTACTAATTCTAACCCTTGCATAAATCCCGAATGGTTTTAGATATATAACATAGCTATGTCAATTATTTAAGACTGTCATTTCTCTGCTGTCACCAGACAAAGACTTGACTACGGACATGGCAGCAGAGTATCAAAACACACAATAGTCCTAGGGTTTCCTAAAATTCATTTTACACATTTATTTCTGTTTAGTCACCAATTTATTATGGAATCTAAACATTTCACTGGCTCTTTTACAAAACAAACCATCCCAGTGCATAATCAAAGGACTTGTCAAGCTAATTGTTTTTGTTTTTGATAATCATTTAAATATTAGTCATATTTCTCAAAAATTGATATATAGTTGAAGCTGTTACTTAAAATACTTGTTTCAAGAGGTAATTCTACTATACTTTATTCAATGTAAGTAGAATCTCATGCATGAAAAACTGAGCAAACTATTGTTTAGTCCCTCTCTTCAATAATTAATAACATGACTGTTCATGAATAATTAACTAGTTACTGTTTGGGAAGTCCAATTACATCATAAGCATACAATTTGTTACTGATACCAAAAGTAACTTTGGTACAGAATTTTAAAAAAATATCTTTTTAAATGAACCACTAGCACATGTTAGCGATGACCAGACTTTTTTAGCCATGACCAGACTTTTGGGAGAGTTGTAAAAGATCAGTTCTTGTCAGGTTCCTTTGTCTAAATCAAAACCTTTCAAGCACATTCTGGACTGTTATGAGGTGAGATTATACTTACAGGGAAGAACCCTGGAGGCATGGGTCCCCCAGGCATGCCATCTTGTGGCGGCATTTGACCTAACGGACTGGGTGCTGTATTCTGAAACAGACAATCACAAATTAATACACATCGCAAACTGAAAATTAATTTTCATTCGGAAGGTTTATGCAAAAATTTTCCCAGTTTACTCATTGACTGTTGACTTCCAGTTCCTAGTTCCTTGACTGTAGGATTTTATTTTCTGAGAAGTTTCTTTTCATAAATGTTATTTTCACTTTCTGGAAACTTTCAGACAACAATGAATTAACTATTAAATTAGGCATGGCAATAATAGATGAATAACAAAAATATTAAAAACATTAAATAAATTTTAACTTTTCCAGAATATCAAGAACATCATACAGTTAGAAGCATAATCAAATATAACAAGTAGGCAGATCAATTCATTATGGACTAATTGCCTGTGTGTGTGGGTGGAGAAAACAACCATTATATAGTGTAGAACTAGCTCTGAAGTACAGTACTATTCATCATCATCTGGTCATTGAACTTTTCTTCTTGTTTTATATTAGATAACACATTTTCAGACTCCTGTCCTAATACCTTACTTGACATTCTAAAAACAATACAAAGCCTGTATGGCAGCAGCCCATAAATTTATATCTATATCTACCTGTTGTCTTTCTGAGGTTGTCTGATATTAAAAATATTCCTGTTAAGAGACACTTATCACAAGTTCAGGACCATTTCACATGGAGTGGTACAGTTTTCTGTAGCTCTCTCTGGTTTGAAAGATGGAATAGTCTGGCTGTTATGTAAGAGAGTCACCAACATGGAGCCAGTGCACTCAACAGGGACAGTTAACCAAAGTAATTATGATTGGTACATGAGACATGTGAAAGAGAGTAACCCCCCCCCCCCCCACCCCCAGTGGCATGATTACAAACTGGTGGGGTAAAAAACATTTTGCCTCTCAACGTGGAAAGGACCTATGATACATTATCCCTCTGTCTCAAGATTTTAGTGACCTTCCCTACTCATCTTCCTTCTTTCTGGGCTATGTGGTAACACATAGTCCTACCAGTCCCTACTGAAAAAATTTTTTTTCAAAGACTGGGAGAAAAGGGTGTACATATAGTCCGAGGGACCAGCAACTGTTTTTCGAGCTGCCATTTTGAATTCACAGTCAATCCTGCCTAGTTTTTTTTTTTTGACCTAGTACATTTTTCATAACTCCAAGTCTGGCTGGCTTTTTTTATTTTTAAGCTTTCACTATATCTGCAGTATCCTCTGCAGTATCCATGCAAAAATTATCTGTGGGGTTCTAAAGGTTCATTGATCCAAAATTTAAAAGCAAAATATTCGAACAATTCTTTGGTCTGAACTTTCCAAAGATTTATTGGAGTACAGGCTCCAGGCATGCAGACATGGGGAGTTTGGGGTTTGAAAGCACCATCCTTTTGCCAGGAAAAGGTCTGCTTTGGGTAAAACTTGATCCAGGTGCACAAAAGTTTCGTGGTTAAAGGTCCACTTTTTCAGAAAAAGAACCCCATCCTTTGAAAACACTGGCTACGGTCCTGGGCTCATTACTACTACCAGTACTCCAGTAGTAGTAATCCTAGTAGCCCTAGACAGACATATCTTATGAATGAGTCCTAACATGACATGTAGAAACACTTTGCTTGCACTGATAGAATACCAACATGTGGGCTATCAGTTAAGGTGAAGAGGCTACTAAATGGGTCAATAAGAAACGTACCATCATCGTTCTGTGGCTGATTGAAAGAACTCTCAAAGGTTTGGCTTAGAGTTTAGTCAAGAACTCTTTGGAAAAAATCAGCTTCGGATTACATATTTATGTAGCAGATAGTAAATATGAGGACAAACGACACCAATGCATTTTTATACATGGATTTTTGGCAATATATAATTTGCACAGAGTAGAGTCAGATTAGTTGAGGGCCAAAACCCTCCTTATAAATGGTTATATTTGAGTACTCATACACCCAGGGGATAGGGCCAGTGTTACTCTCAAGGCCAATATCTTCTCTCTGCTGGCAATCCAAGATAACTGCCAAGTTGACATTACTTATGCATGAATACAGACTAGGGACTATAAATTCAGAGAAAAGATGTCATGAAGAGGAACATTCCTTACACCTTCAATCCTATCACTGAGGGAAGGTAGGAGTGAAAGTGAGGGGGGAGGGGAGGCTTTATACGGAATGGTTAGTAAATTAAGTTTCTGCCTCCATGTAGTATACAATCATCCTTGTTCATTTTTCTTCATGCCAGCACCAGCTTGTGGTTCATTTTCCTTGTTTACAGTTAAACCCGAGGTGCATGTAGTTGTCTCTTTACACTGGGCAACAAGACGCATGCTCATACTGTTCAATTCCCTTTAACTCGGCTCTGCCCTCAGTTTAACTCTACACACTGCATAAACAAGTAATAACACTTACATAGTGAGGAGAAGAGAAGTGCGAGGGAGACGTTATTTTTCATGTGATTCTTTTTTTAAATCTTTTTTTACGAATTGTTGATTTCAGCAGTCCTGGTTATATACATTTATAAATAAATATATCAGTTAACAAATTTCTGTACTACATATAGATTGTTTTATCCTTGTTTAGCATTTATAGCTTGGATTACAATGTTGTTTGCATAATTATGGATGACCTATCATGACTTTTATTATTAAATTTTTGTTCAGTGTAGAATCCAAATAATGAATTAAAGATATCACTTAAACATATTACCAAGAAAATGTTTAATCTTGGAGGTTATGTTAGGAAAAATGACAAACACCACTTCCTTTATGAGTTTTATACCAGTTCAATCAACCTTATATTTTCAATTTTGCTGTATATACATATACATTACAGATTTTAATTACAGGTTAGGCCCAAATGTAAGGACAGCCTTCACACAATTAATTAATATCATTTAAACATGGGAATTGAGTCCTTCTGTAGATAAATGTGGAATTACTTTAAAAAGTGGTGAACATAGCCTACACTTGTAGAGTAAAACTGCGTTGGTATAAAACTTTGACACAAAGTAGCTTTGTTCTTTTGCTAAGCAGTCCATCCTTGATATCCATTCAATCATCATCATAGGCAAACAATAGTGTATAGAGAATATTAGCAAAGGGGAGGAGGGGTGCACTCATCATTGCTGGAACAGCACCACATATTGATTTCTGGTTTCTGACCTATGTATAGAAAGTGTGCTAAATAAATTTCTGCTTTCCTACCAAGACAGAAAGACTGAAATTATGTAACTTTCCTTGTTTGTTTTCAAATCTCTTGTATAAGTCAGGGGCCCAAGAGGATTCTGCGGGGGTTTTCACTGTAGCTAAGAGTGTTACCTGTAAGATTCTCGGCTCCACAGGCCCATGTATTTCAATAGGTTAAATGATGTGTGAAGTGCGTAATGTGTAAATAAATAAACTAGGACCACAGATAGTATCAGCACTGAAGTTCTTCTGCTTTGAAATAGTTACATCCATTGGTTCTGTCTGATGACAGGGTGTCCCCTGTTCCACCACCCCCAGTCACAAGGTGTTCCATGCAGTGGGGGGGGGGGGGGGGGGGGCATACTGGGGGGCTTCTTTCTAAACCCAACTTTTAAAGTTAAATATGAACTGTTTACTTTACTTGCATCTTTTATTCTAAAATATACTGAGGTGATTGTAACAAAATTCTGGCTGGTAATGACAGCCCATCTCTCATGTAATCACGTACAAAACACATCTTTTCAGAAATGAAGCTAGACCACGCTCTGTCTCTTAGTAGCTTCTTGTAGACATGATAGGCATTGTTTGAAAACATGAGAACAATTTAATGTTCATTACAATGTTTGGTGGGTAATTATCAAAGGTGAGGGGTCACCTGCAAGGTCAATAGGTCAAAACAATAGTCAACCTCTACTTTCTCTTCGTCTTTAAGCTTCAATAATTTGAGATTGATAAGTAATCTTCAGACAGAAAATAATTTGTGAAGATCTAAAACTGCTTTCATTTCTTTTTGGGAGGCCTAGCTAGGCCTGATTTTGTAAAATATATTTTGAATAGATGTCCAAGTATCAATTATATTCATATAAATCAACTTCCTCTATATTTCAGTCAAATATATTTTTCAAAATATTATTGATAACAAATCAACTTAATTCAGATATTGACAAAGTAAATTTTTATCTGCTAACAATCCCTTCCTGGCTGTAGGAAAAGGTGTGTGAGGATGTCAGGGTGAGACAACAGGCTGGGTTGATAATCAAGGCAAAGGGAAGTGCTTCTAAGCTCTAGAATCCATTTTTATACACCAACCTGATCTAACCCCTTCAGAACAAAAGTTTCTCAACAAGTTAAATTCCCAAAGTATTCAAAGTAAAAACTTCAGAAAGGTCATATTATGATAAAGATATCCCTTCTCAAAAATCAACAGTTATGTGTTAATAAATTTTAATACATATCATAGTTAGGATCTACAATTAAGGTCAAGAATGTGCCCCTATTACATGGAGATCAGAGATAAGACGGGAGCAACTCTCTACCTACTCAGTAAACTTGGTATCTTAAGCACATGAATCTTCCCAGCTTTGTCATAATGCCTATTTATCAAAGAGGGCATCAGGGCTTCAGGATTTTCGGCTTTACTGAACTACTTAACGCTGCACCAAAACATTCATCATTTAGTCAAAAATTTAATTTTCTTACTCAAATTAAACCTCTCAAAACCTTATAAATTGTTTCCTTATTTAACATTCACATGCAGAATCAGTGAAGTTTTTTTTTCTAGAGACAGTGATATTGATTCTTCATCAGGATTATAGCTGACCTGGAAAGGCCGAGTTGATCAGGCAAATACAATTGGAGAAGAACCCCATTCTTTCAAAGCCTTCTCCTGAAACTTTCATGCAACCTGTTCTCAAACCAATAGCCATTTATTTTGCAGTGTTGTTCTGCTTATTACTATACAGTTCATACACACGTGTTACTGTTACTTGGGTTACAATAAATTATTTTTCAATATGATAGATACCTCACAATGGAGCAATGCGTTGTATCATAGCCAGAATATGAGCTCTGGCGAGACACAAAAATAAGCTGAATACAGACAACAGTATTAAATTTTCTATCAACTGCTGACAAATGAATACTTGACTTTCACTTTAAAAGTTTGCAGGTTAACAACAGGTTCAAATAGATGTACATGTACAACAGAGATATAAAAGTGAAAATCTGGACAAACAAATTTATCAACACACGCACACACTTTTTTTTGTCAATTTGGTACAAATAGAGTATTACACAATTCTGAATTGGCTGATGCAACTGAAACATTGTGTCAAACAGCAATTCAAATACATCCCACATTTCCTCCTACACTGATATTTTACTGCTGGTCCACTAACAAGAGTGTGTTTGCTGTGACTTGCAATAATGGATTGGTTGAAGAGAACTCCAGAGGGCTGTATCAAAAATCTAACTAGGTTAATGCCCTCCATAGTCAAGATAGTAAGCTTATTAGGATCATAATCACTGCACTAGCACAAGTCCAATATCTGAAGCACAATAACTGCAGAATGGATGGACCATGATTTGGGCATGGGTTGTTTCAACTCCCAAGTTTACATTATTATTTCTCATCCCCACACAATAATGTGTAAAGTCAATTCCTTACATTCAATTTGGTTTTTCACATATAAATTAATATATGCTTAGAAATATTTAGATTTGTATGGGATATAACTGCTAACTTTTCCAGTTAGCTGCTGGTTATATCAAGCAGAAAGGACTTGGTATCCTTCTCCAGTATTATGTACTGATCCCCGTTCCCCATTTTTCCTTTTAGTGCTTTAATAAGTACAAAATTTGAAAGTTTTTTCTTGACCCAGGTTAAGAGTAATCAACAACATGACAAAGTGAGTCCCTGATTAAAATACAAATGTTCATCAATAATGATGGTCTTTATTTTTATTATCAGTACTGCATTCAGATTCACACATTGCACTAAGCTGGGTGGGTCCAACTCTGCGGGGGATTCTTGCCAAAGTGCAATCAGTGGAATCAGCTTAATTGTCTCACACCTCCTCAAGGGGTAATTAACTATCATGTGCTGATTAACCAGATTTTACTGAAGGCACTTTACCAAGAATCCCCTGCAGAATTGAACCGACCCAGCTAGTAGGGCGTGTGAATTTGAGTGTGCCCTAAACAATATTGATGTTAAAACAAATAGCCATTTTGATTTCAACATTTAAATCAATTAATATGAAGTTGTAGTCACCAGCAGTTTGGATTAATATGTTCAAAAGATAAGTTTTAGGAGTAAGAGAGATCAGGTACTGCTGTTATTCATGTTACTTAACTTTTTCTGTGTCTGCAATACCACAGACTTGAGTGCAACATCACCTGAGTATGTCACAAAAACACAATTTTCAATTTCTTGCATAATCTTTAATAATAGGTATCTTTAAACTGATTATTTTTCTCTAAAAATAACCATTCAAAAATGTTCATTATCCTCTTATTATTGGAATGAAATGAGTTAGACTGATCAGAAGATAAGTACTAGAGCACTGTCACCAATACTGCTGAGAGCTCCTCTCAGGGAGGCAAACGCTGACGCACAAAACTCTAAATAACATAGTTACAAGTAGTACATAAGATCTGGTTTCGAACCAAATTAAGGTGTTAAGACACTGATAATTATTGACTTGAAGGAGGGAGTCACACTATATTTTTATTACTTTTAGTCACACTATATTTTTGTTTTATTTTTCAAAAGCCAGACATTTTTTATTTCTTTTTTCATTGCGATGCAATCTTTTTTTGGAGGTTGTTTTAATTCTATTTGTTGCCTTTATATGCTAAACTTTATGCTTAATATAAGATATATGGTGAACTTTTTTTTTTTTTTTTTGGGGGGGGTATTCAAGCAATGTTTAACTGTCAGTGGGGGGGTCAGCACTGTGGACTCATATTAATATATTATTAACAACAGATTGTTTAACTCCTATGATTATGTATGGAAGATAGAAGAATAGTTTGATGAGATGAACACTGGGAATATGCTTGATCAATGCTCTCACTTCCATAAATTAATAAAGTGCTTGCAATACTATCTACTTGTCTGTAAAATTTTTCATAGAAAAACATTTCTAAGTTCTGTAAGAAATAAGGACCTTGTCACTGTCCCATGGATATCAGGGGTAGATACTGAATTATTTGAAGGGGGGGGGTCCATTTTTTAAGAATGATAGGCTGCGGCTGAGGAGCTGACTCTTAGCGTGCCCCGAAAATTTTGGAATTTTGGAGGGACAATGGTGCCATATGGTATGGTTCAGAATTATGATTCAGCTAGTCAAAATTCTAAACAGGGGTGGGGGTGGGGGGTGGACACCCCCCTAAATCTACCACTGGATGACCAAGTCAAAATAAGAAAATATGCTAGAATTGGTGTGAGGTAGGGCTGACTTTTAAACAATTAGGATAAAACTATGTGGTGGGAACATGGTATTCAAAGGAATATAAAAACGACATTTTGCATTTGTACTGCTGTGCTAAAGACTGTAATTCTACAGAATTTAAGAAAAAACATCACTAAAATATCCATGGATAAATTATGTCATGTTTTATTTATTGTCACAATGCACAGGGTGGTCTGCCATTATTTCATCCACTCTCCTCCAAATCCTACTTGCTTGATTTTCTCATCAAGAGACAGGGCATCTCCAAGATTCCCATTCAACTAAAAATGGTGCTGATAACTGATTTCTTTTCAAATAGTTGTAAATTGGGGGAAAATCGGTATTTTGAAATAAAGTGATACATCTAAGTCAAAGAAATCACAATAAAGTTAATATCAGGCCCGTAGCCAGGGGGTTCGGGAGGTTCAGGGGATGGCCTTTTTGCTGATAAAGGTCCCCTGTAGGTAATATTTAATCAAGGTACATGAAGGTTTCATGGTAAAATATTCACTTTTTCAGAAAAGAACCCCCCTTTTGAAATTGCAGGCTACGGACCTGAATTTTAAAAGTTTCTTGATATTTTCAAACAAGCTGGTTAGGTTGTAATCACAGGACCAGGCTGCCATATAACATTTAGTCTTCTGCAAATTACCAATCATTAACTACACTTCTATGCATGGATGACAAATTGCTTATAAAAATTCCACAATATCTTAAAACTTTTGAACCCACAGAAAACGGCTGAAGCACCGAAACTCCACTGCAGATACTTAGGTTTGGTATTTTCTGATAGGATCGTAATTTATAATTTAGCCAACAGGTTTTTAGAGAAAGATATCCTTTGGCATTCTTTACAATGAGAACTTTCAAGAAAATATGACAGAAGAAAACTTAATACTTATAACATACTAACTGAATCAGATAGATTAAAATAAAATAAAATAAAACTATACTTACATGTGTTAAACCATTTGCAACATAACCTGAATTTACAAAACCCTGAAAAGAAAAAGAACAACCAAGCATTACAAACAAGCAACAAAATAATATCAAATACACATAAATCACTGTCATTGACTTAATATATAATAACATTAATATCCAGACCACTATATGTTTATGAGCCTGACAACCAGGCAAGCCATACCAAATTGGTTCCAAAGTGTATTAGCTTGAACCATCTATAACATAGATGAAACAAAAGCACATTGATCTAAAAAGACTGGACTCCATAGCATATTTTTTAAAACCATAAGTCAGTCAGTGATATTGTTATAAATATGGTTATGAATACATGACAGTTAATGGTTAAAGCTGAACCAAATAACCCTTCACCAGTACATAAGAATATAATATCAGCGATAGAATAGTGGAGATTTTTAATCAGGGAAAGAAATTTCATTCAAAGAAGGTAGATAACCCATCAAATTGGCCATGCTTGAAAAAAAAAAATAAACATTTTGGATAAATTGTAATTTAGTTTGCTTACAATACAATGTAGTAAAGCAAAAACAGACAATATGTTATCAAACAACATAAATTCGAACATGCAAACTTTCATACCAACAATATCACAAAGCACATTCTTTATATTACACTATATTGCTTAAAGTGACACTGTCCTTTAGTCATCATTATTCTTATAAATTTATAACCAAATTTGTTCACGATTTCTTCTATATTCTACTTAGAGCTTATGTACAGTGATGGCAAACCCTCACACCCCTAAATACCTTAGAAACTGGCATCAATTATCTACTTCAGTTTCATACAGTGATTGATTTCATATTTATATTTCAGAAGCAAGCTCACATAAACTACAGAAGTACATGTATTTTTTCCCCAAAAATTTAATCAATATTTAACAATTTGGGGAGGGAAAAAAAACTTCCCATGAAACCCAAGTCCCCCGACCTCCTGCTTTCCCGTTATAACCCGTGAGAGTGCCCATGTCCCAGGTCCTCCGTGCCGGTTGTCTTTGCTCCAGTCAAAAAATCAATATTCTCGGTACTGTTTGCAGTCATTGTGTTCCACAGAAAATCAATACCAGGAAAGGTCTTTGTGTGGAAACGATGGCAAACGTGGGTGAAAATGCCCTTGCTAAGGCTCAGCAAGGGAGGTGGACCTATGTGCTGGATCTTTATACCTAGATATAAATGTCCTAGAACATCTGCTATTGTATCACTTCTCTAAAATGTGCTTTATGAAACTACTGATAGAACTATTTCAACCTAAATTCCATCACTCATTCTACTCTTCGTTTTTTTTTTTAGCTGGCTCATAAACACTATGGCTAACCAACTCTGCTAAGTCCGCAACTGTGCAAAGGTTAGGAATCCCATCTCAACCAAGTGTGGGCAAAAACTCTGGGTGTCTCGTGATGAATTTCCCCTTCCAGAGCGGAGCACGCCCAATATGACAAGATATGCAGGACCAGCATCGCCTAGGCATAGTCATATAAGTGAAACAAACATACGCAGATGGTAATTTGGTTATTTATTTTTTCATTTTGGTCATTACATCTCAAGTATTTTCCTCACTTCTCTTTCTCACTGACTTCATGCTCTCTACGTGGGGGCATATAAGATAAAGGCAATTCCATATCTGTTTGAAAACAAATTTTTCTCTTAACAACCATACAACCTACTGCTTCATTAGACACATCTTTAGCAAATCTGTGTGACACTCTTTTTATTGATTTAACACTGATTTTACACTGGAACTTTTGACTGTATCACAAAAGGTGTTTTACGCTAAATAAGGTAAACAGCTCTGAAACATAAGCTGTCACAACATCAAGAACTTGTGGGACCCAAGACTTTTAAATCTGCACAACCCACAGGAATATATTTTGTCCTGTCATGATTCTGGCAGACCTTCAAGGCAAAAATGAATTAAGAGCTTTATATTGTTTTGTTTTGCACCTTACTCTCTATCAGTACTAAACAACAACAGGCTTCTCTGCAACAACATCAGCCATTTTGAACAGCACACAGTGTGTTTATTACAAGTGCCCTATCACCTTGACTCTTTATTTCTCCTAGGTCAACTATGGCTCTGTCTGTATGTATTTACCACACAGTATACTGCTGGTGTTGAAACCAAGGTTTATTTACATATGAAACTTACTTGAATATGATTCAAGTAAAGCAGGGAGTGCACATATTGATTTCCAGTGCAATTCATTGATTAGCTGGTCAGTTTAGAGCACGGGCCATTATCTATTGTTTTCAGCATATGCAATGGCTTACAACAGTTTGAGTTTGCTTAAAGAGAAAAATGATCCACATTTATTGATATTTAAAATACATATAAGTAAATATGACTTCAGTGATTAAAAGTGCTTATTTGGTGGTGAAGTGGTGCTTTTTGCTGAGAGTAAAAGAACGAGTGGAAAGGAAGGCTGGGATTAACATTTGTCAGTAGAGTATGGGATGAGTCTATAAACAATATTATTGGATGCTTTGTTAGAGAGAGTAGTGAAGTATCACCTACTGTATGGTTTTCTGGTGATTGTATCTGAGATTGGTTCAGAGGTAAACTCTTTGTGCTGTCCTGCATAAGAAGAAAGGGAGACATTACTAACAACACAATCATATCAAAAGGCAATTATAACTGTTTGGTACTTTAATGTACACTTATGTCATTTCCATCAGAATTTATTCTTCTGCAAGAAAATACAAATATTACGTAAAGTCACTTAAAAAATTGTTTGCATTTTTTTCTTTAATATTTATGACATAACTTTTTACTGAATCTTCTTTTTTATTTGGTTCTAGGATTTCAGATATGATTTCCAGACTGAAAGGCAAAGATGAACCCAGAAACCGCATTAAAATGAATTCAGCAACTTGAACACTCAATAAGAAAATAGAAAACAATAACAGCACTAAACAGGAGATGTTTGTGGGAGTGGAAACTGATGCTCTTGTGTGCAAAGTATGACAACATTCAATCATTTCAATAAGATTCTTCCAGTTGCAAAGCACTTAGTTAAAAACCCTTTACAGATTGACAAATATGGCCCCACATGTACAATCTAAGTTGTAAGTATTTTGTTGCTGTTGTTGTTGTTTTAATTCACAAGCAGACATTTAACCTGCCTAAAAGCAGCTTGTTCAATCATGCTAGAACACCAAAGCAAATGTGTTGGAAGATGTAGCTTTTAATGTATGTCACATATGCTGTATGAATTAAAACGACAATGCTTCTACAGATGTTAACAGCATATATTTGTCAAGGCATTTCAGATGTATATTATTTCATGGATAAACCAAAATTGTAAACGGTTCAACATTTAGCAAGCTGACTTATCACCAAATTAATATCTTTGCATCATTCTTGTTAAGGATAGTTTTATTCAAAAGTTTTTATGTGGAAATATGTCATGAAGGATTTTTATGTTGAAGATACTGGCAATATTTACAACATAATACTGCCAGCAAAATGCAGTTTTTTTTCAACAAACTAACTGCAGAATATCAAACTATGACTGATATTTTTACAGGTAATGTAATCACCAGCAGAAAGCCAGATTAACTGAACTACAACAAATATATGTCTAATACTAACAAACTTGCTTATGGAAAATTATTCAAGTGCAGAGGATGGAATTTAGTATTTCTTCATTTAAAGAAAGCACCGGCCTATTATCAATAATTTTGTGGACTTTTTTGTTGCCTTTTTTATATATTACAGGTGGCAAACCATATATTTTTTAATGACAAAAGTTGTTGAAGAAAAATCTGTGGGGGAAGTATTTCATAGAACTGGTAAATGATGAAACTATTGGAGAACAATGCACCTCAGGCTATACATTCAACATATTTGACACCACCACAAGACAGGCAAGTAAACATTCAAAAAGCTGGTTGAAAAGGGCAAATCTTCAACAAACACTGATACTTAGTACGACTTCTGACTACTTTTCATTGGGCCTTTTGAGATTGGAGTAGATTGGTTCAGACAAGCAACAGGTGATAAGGTTGAGAGCAGAAGGAGCTAGGATGGCTGCTGTAGAATTGCACAGACTTGAGGAGTAGGAAAGTCATGGTGTAACTACTCAGTATGGTTCAGCACACAGTATTCAAAACCTCACTTGTCAGATAAATCAAGAATCCTTTAATCTAAATACGACATTCCCCTTTCAACATAATATACCTAATCAAGTGTTTAAATATCATTTAAATTCATTATCAGTGAAAAAAGTTATTTTACGATAAAAAGATTTTTTTGTTCATTTTGAGTATTTTATGCTTTTGAATTTCTCACAGTAACTTATATAATTATTGTTACCTGTATGTTTTATAATAATAAACCATATATCAGCTTTGAAATTTAGTGTATGGACTTGTCTATTCTGCATGGCAGTTGTTTTCTTTCAAATATTCCTAAAAAGATTTTATCTTTATTTTTCATATATAAATGCTGCTCTAGCTATTTTCCAATTTTTCCTTCAGATAACTTTGGTCTACAATAGAAGTGTCCGGCTGTGAAACAAATTGAAAATTTTATAGAATATACTGTAATGCAGTAAACTGTTTTGCAAATAAAGCGCATATCCTTAACTATTCCATTTTGCTTTAAATATTTTTTATCAAAGGGTTTTTTTTTTAAAGACTCAAAGTCAACTCTTTCTTTGCAAACAACATTCTCTTTTCTGCCATGTTCTTATCTTACACCTAGGTTGCCATAGACAATAATTTCCCCTGAACTCTTAAAGGAAATTTACAAGTCACCCCATGCTGCTGCCCTATATTTTGTTGTTTTCCTCTCCATCCAGACAGACAGATATATACCCAGGTAGAACTTGCTCTTTGCATGCATAATGCAACCTCCCAGCTCCCAATTTGCCAAATAAGGCCCGTTAGAGGATTTTCATCCGATGTTTGTTTCCTTGGTTAAATTTTCAAAAAGTGATAACAAATAAGTGCAGGATACATGTATATGTAAGGTGTCAACAGAGAGGAGGACTGTATTTTCTTGTTGCTTAACTATACAATTCAACGAAAAAAGAAAAAAGACTAGAATATGTCAACAGGAAAGTAGGATGCAGTATGACTGCACAGGTTTGGGCATATCTAGATGTGGTATAAATTATGAAGATAGTTTTGTGTTGAAAAAGTCAGCATTTCAACAAAATATTATGGTGAAGGGAGTCCTACGCATTCTTCCTGAACTAAGGTTTGTCCACAGTTCTCCACGTGTAAAATGGCAGTCCATTTTCTGAATGAGGAGTCTTCCTTATCTCTCCCGGGTACACAATAGCCCAGCAATATAAAGGTAAATATGGTCCCAGCAGAGGGACAGTTGTAATGGGGCAACAAACTCTGATGGTTATCAGAATGCCTGATATTGGAGGGGCCTTCTAAGGAGGTGGCCTACACTGCCTGATGAGGGTTTAAAACTAATCACTGCCTTCCAGATAATATGGCAATATTCTCAATATTATACCACAAAACATAGTCCCAGTGCTGCCTGTCATAATATAGAGCACCTTAATCCCTTTACGTGACATTATTACTATAACATGGACATTCTTTTACTCAAAATGTTACATAAGGATCCAGCCTAGAGGCAGTTTGGTTGAAAAAGTTGCTACATGAGATGCAGTAAACAAGCAAATTTTGAAACCAAAACAACAAACACCCCGATAGGTCCCCCATGTGCTGCATGCCACCTGACTGTACACCCCATACTAAAACACAGTGCAAATATCCTTATATATGGCCACTTCGGTTACTGCAACCCCCCCCCCCCCCCGTAAGTTTCTTAAAGAAAGGTGGGGGGGGGAGTAAAAAAACTTCCATGCTCAGCTCTTTTATAGTGTATAGGAAGATAAAAATTGGCAAAAAGTTTGATGGGGGACTGAAAATGTTACAATAATATAGAAATCATTGTGGCATTGTCTAGACAATTTATGCTGTTTTCACACCCTCCCACAAATTTACACCTAGATCAAAATATAAGGAGATCACTATGGCAGAGCTACTGCCTGGGCACTTCCCTTCCAACCAATTCAAACACTGAATTACCTACTTTCTGTGACAAAAACATGACACATTTTAGGCCAAGGGGTAATATTAGTTTATATATAATGCTGTGTGTATCATTCTGACAGCCGGCTCACCACAAAAAGACAAGCAGGTCTGTTAGTTCATTTACACTGTTCCAACATAAGCAAATTAAATGATGAAAAATGTCCACCAAAAAAATCTTGGGTGAAACAGATGGTTCCAAGCTTCCAATTCAGTAAGTAAAATAAATTAATTGACAGTACTCACTTTTTGGATTTTTTTTTAATTCAAAGCAAAATAACAATAAAACCTATAAAATCCCCAAGTTAAAAGTACCATCTTTCAGAACAGCCAGGGTTAGAAAAGCCAATCATATTTACTGACACATATACAACAATCCCAGAAAGCATCAGTGTCAATACCAGCACCTTATTACAGAACTATTTCTGTGCCACCAAGCTGTCCTGAAAGCCATTGTATGGTAAATAACAACTTACATAATCATGAAATGCTTTAGCTTCACTAGAATGATCACACGTGTCCCTTCTCTCTGGTGCTGCACAGTAAAGATCCCAGAAAACACTGAAAAAGAGAAAAAATATGTACAAAATATGATATACGATCAGTTACAGAGATGTTAGAAAGTGAAGATAGATTTCTTGGTCATTTGCTCACATTAATGCTGATAAATTGGGACATAAGTATGATTTCAGTAATCCAAAATGAACATAATATGAAAAGCTATATGTGAATGTCATTTTTGTATGCATGTTATGGGATGGCTCCACAGTCAAGTTTTATCAAAACTTCTTAACTGTCATAGGCAATTGCCATCAGCTTTTTATTTTGCTGAAAAGAATTTTCTGATGTATTTTTAATAGATATATATAACTTTCATCAAATTGTCTAGACTATCCTAGATATAAACTTTTCACACTTCACAAAATATTGAATCATCAGAGGAAAAAGAAAAATTTTTTAAGGTGATTCCTACTCTGGCCTTGCTTTTCTTACTGGGTGGGATAGAAAACAAGTGGACTGGTATGGTGTCTCCGGTCCATCTGCTTTTTGCACTGGGCGGGATACTAAACAAGTGGACTGGTATGGTGTCTCCGGTCCATCCAGTTGTCCAAAGCTAAAGGGGCTCTGAAGCTTTGACCCCTGTATCTACTGACTGCACAGACAGCAAAAGCCAGGTAAACAGCCATCTGCGCATGAGTTACTTTCAATACACGTTCTCCTCAGCAGGAAGAAAGTAAAACCCAAAACCAAAGCCTGTTCTGTTGACTAATGGAGGGGGGTTCAACAGCAAGGTAAATCATTGAAAGAGAATTTACAGTAAACAAATGAATGCAAATATGTGCCCCAGTGTGTTGCTACTCTAGTGGGAGACTGTGCCATGTATTAGGCCTGGGGTGACCCCACCTCCCTCTGTCTCCCACTAGTCAACCTAAACCTATGGCTAGAATATAGTATCTGCTGGGCATACCAGGACACACTACTGTCTTGACTTCTGGGTGAAGATAACTCGGGACAAAAACTAGTCACAGAAAAACAAGTTAATTAAATATCCACCACAACTATGCTCCTTTCAGCAGGAGAAATCTGCAGTACACTTGCTTACAACTTCTGTAATTTGTGGAACTTTGCTGGTGCAATATTTGATAAAAACCCCATTCAGAGAAATCATAAAACACTCAATTCTCTATGAAACATTGATCCATCCACACACATCCTACTGTTTCTTTTTTTTTTTTTGAAGTTGAGTTGTATCATTTGTAGATGCAGGACAACTGTATAATGTTTCAAGCTGCAATGGTGGCAGGATAGAGTATTACAATAAATCTCACAATTATTGACTTCTTACAACAAGTGTGTACAGGCAGCAGAGATATTGGAATGAATTAATTACCCAAGTATTGTATTTTACCTTCATCCTGTTCTATTACATCTAATTACCCTGCTGACTTAAATACAGCTTAAATGAATAAATGCCTCATCAAATGACTGAGATCCTGAACTAGGTTGAAAAAAATAACACACAAAAAGCTAAAAAAAATTATCTTTGGCAGACTGATATTGGACTTTGTACATGTAACAACCCATACAGGATATTCCATATGCAGATTATTTAGTTGTTTTTTTTTTTCACTTAAACTGTTGACTTAGGTTGCAGCATATTTTAAATTAAAAAAAAAATTAAAGGGCTGGAAAAGAGTTGTCACTAAATGAATAATAGATGGAGTAACTTGATAAATTCTAAACTGGTAAAGTCAGTAAAAGAATCACAAAAATGTCTGATCATCATCATCATTTTTCATGAGGTCTAGCCTTCCAACAAGAGGTGCAGGTTTTCTCAGTATTCCTGTCTATACCTTCACATATCCAAACAACTTTCTTTCACCTACAGTATTTTAATATGCATCTATATTACTGTAGTTTAGCTTTGTCTCACTTAGCACCACATTTTACTGACCCAGCATGCATATGTTCACTGTTAAACTGGTGGCAAACACCAGTGACATCACAAAGATGCCTGAAAACTGAGAGGCTCTAAAGGGGGCAAAGTTCAAACTTCTCTCTTAAAAATATTGAAATCAATCAGCATTAATCTACTATTTTTCATTAATATAGACATATTTGAAATAAGTAACCGACAATACAACAATCCGTACTGAATTGTAAAACTTATATATCTTATGTTTCATTATAATTTTATATTCTAAAAAAAATAAAAATGGAAATGGCATATAAAGAGTAATATATCAATTTGCTTTCAATGTATAACATGGCAAATTTACTTGAACTATATTTGTGGAGTCATAAACCATGCCAAAAATCCCATTTCACACTGAGTGATGATGTCACAAAATTTTCACCTGGGATTTATATCTACTTTAGGCTGGAAGTTGCTTACATCAGGACTGCAAAACCTAGCATTTTTCTCCAGAATTAACATCCAAACCCATTCTTCTCTCTTGTCCCTAATAACTGTCTGTGTGCTATGTTACACACGCATTTTGTCAGCAACATGCAATCATGCTGCATGCCTTTCCTATTGCTTTAATTGTTGGTTTTAACTACAACAAAACACCAGGTCACTGATCAATAAATTTACAGTAATACACTATTCTAGGTCTCACTACAAGGTAGTGAGGTCTCTGTTGCCTCAAATATAACCACAGATAGCAATGAGCTAGACTCAACTTTGAGTAAGATTCTTATCTTTAGGAAAGAAATTCAAAATAAGTGATTTTCATCAAAATGTAAAAATAACCAGTATCTACCTTGACGCATGACAATATTCACACGAAACCAGAAAGCTTGCAAAATCTCCCTTAAATTTCCTTAACAACTGTTATTTCGACTGGGCAACAAGAAAGATATATTTACACAACTCTTCTGATGATTACTTCTCACAAAATCACTGTAACAAACAGGATCTTTTCTGCCAAAGTGGAGCACAATGACCCAAACTACAACAGACAGATTCACATCTCAGACTTGTCTCATAAAAACTCCTCTGGTGTAGGGTAGAATTTAAAATAATTACACAGAAACCTGTCATGTCCTGTAAATTGTCTTGTTACAAAAAGAACATAAGGCTATACAGAGACAAACAAGAAGAAGCAAATAACATAATTATAAGATGATATACTTTACACTGAGGCATTTGATGACAAAATATTTTCCAAGTTGCATCTGTACACCTTGGCAGTGTTCCGTTAAAAAACCCTCCCACAAGCATCCATTGTGACAACCTATCCTGTGCCAGAACAAACTCTGTTGTCTAATAACATAATCAATGAAGTAACACTGTTCCCTTTCTGTACTGCATGTAGCATATTTTACATATATGCACCTTTAGTATTACGATCTAGATTCAAGATGTCCACAAAATCTTATCTGGCAGCATGTTAAACTTGAACGTTTCTTAATATCGTTTTGCTATGAAAATAATCCCTAACTATTCAAATTCCAACTTTAAACCATGCTGTAAGATCCATCTGACTTGAATAGATATTTGCCCATGTACCATCTCACCCCTGCTGTAAGTTTTTTTGTCAACTACTCTACATACCTACAAATACGCGAGGTGCAATATTGTTTTGGTCTTTTTCACTGACATTCCATGGAAATGGTACACAGGAATAAACTGCCATTATTGAGTATGCCATATTGTACCCAAATCCACTAGCCGATTCTAAAACATGTGACTTAGGCACATTAATTAATGAGGACAATGGTATAATAAAGTGAATGACACTTTGAGCATTAATTACTATGAAAGACTTCATATAATTTTAACAAATTATTACAGGTGCAGGTAACAGTAACCAGCACAAACTTGTACCTGAATGGTTTTGATAGACAACCCATGTACTGATAAGGTAACAATGATGGTGGCGTCCTAAAATTCTTATAAATATTTGTAGGCGGTCTTATACATTTTAACAAATCTCATATTTTTTCTCTTTATTCATTACAATAAAGCTTGAACAAATCCAAAAGTATTTTGGTGGACTTAAGAAAAAGACTGACATGCTTTCAAAAAAGTTGACAGAATCCTACAACTACAGCTATAATATCATTGCACATGTGGTCAAAAGCAGCAATTTGACATGGCTGGTAGGCAAAAAGAGTCAGTGTGTCAAGAAATAATATGTCATCCAATGTGTATCTGGGACGAGATGGGTACAGTAAGTAACTGCTCCACCATTCTGGTTGCTTTCTTTGTTTTTCAAGCAGTGATCATGGTTGGACCAACACTTCCAACAGTAAAGGTCCAATACAACATTTACATTGTTCACTGCTCCACATCTTACAAACCCTTACATTTCTCTCTACAAACAATCTAGCAGCATGACAAATTATTTTAGAGAAATTGAGAATGAACAAGTTGCTGAACAGGAATCCATTAAATTCAAAATGGGGAGAAATCGTGAATTTTACAGATACTGTATTTTTTTAAAGTTAAATTCTAAAAAATTAGAACATTTTCATTGAGTGGTAGTAATAAAATTTTAGAGCAGGCTTCCTTAAAGTTCCACTCTATACAGTAAAAGCCCCACAAATGCTTCACTGAAATACATTTTTATCATTCCAAAATTATGTATCTGAAAGAATGATAATTTTCCCCATTGTATTGAAAAGATCCAAGTCATTACCACAGACGGGTAAATGTATAACATCCTTATATTTGAACATAGCATCCTTATCAGCTTAATATCTACTTAATATCTACTTAATGTTTATCATTTTTTCTAATTATACATTCATTGTAAATTTCCCTGGTAAAGTTAAGATTAATTTTCATCATACGGAATCTCACTATTCACCTTCTACCCATTTTCTCCCCTTTTTGAACTTAATTGGTTCACTGGTAAATAATTAAGCCAATCCACCTTATAGCATGGTTAAAAGGAACCCAGAAAGACAATACAACCCACAGCTTCGACACCATATCCTCAGTTATATAGCCTTCCTCATTAAACCCACCAACACGAATAAATGGTTCTAATTATCTACTGGGCATTTGGAGCTCATGCACCTCCTCTGATTTCTAAATGGCTTAATTTTACAAAGAAAAAATGTCACATTTTTTCCGGTAAGTCATTAGGTGGTAAAATAAGATACAGATAATAAAATGGATAATAGAGATTACAATCACAGGAAAAAACAAAAACACACCAATTTGTATGTACTTAATTAGGTGGTGTACTTAATTATGCTGGTCTCAAAAATGAAGCAGTGACACCTATGCACTGACACTAGTATGTGGTAAGGCCCATCTTTTGACAAAGAGAAAATCTTACATATCACTAAAGTTGACTTGAAAAATGATGAATACGGGCACTTTTATTTTATTTTCTATCGCAATAATTACTTTTCATTCCAATGTCATTAATTAAAGAAAATCAGCTTATTAATTTTAACTACATCTACTTTTAACGTAAAATGTAATTTCTTCATTGGCACCGCTTTGTATAAACTGTGCATTGTATTCCAAGTGTAAACCTGATCCCTTCTGAACCACCCGTTACATCTATCTACCCATTATGCATACTTATGTTGTACATTATTCACAGATTAACTTACAATTCATCACTTGATGTTTTATCAGGCAACTACCATATTACAACCTGCCTCCATGTAAGTACTCCTTATCTAACTCCTGCTAAAGCTCCTCACTCACAGCAAACATCAGGTACAAGTATACATGGGCACATTCACACCTGGCCTAAGACTGAACCAAGTCTTTTTGACATCACTAAGCCACCAGATAACAAGAGAACCCTCCTCATGGCTTGAAAAAACGATCCTATGCCAAGTCCCCCCATGGTGACCTCCCTTGCACTATCCCCAATGGTGACCTCCCTTGCACTATCCCCAATGGTGACCTCCCTTGCACTATCCCCAATGGTAACATCCCTTACACTATGCCCAATGGTGACATCCCTTGCATTATCCCCAATGGTTACATCTATCCCCAATGGTGACATCCCTTGCACTATCCCCAATGGTGACATCCCTTACACTATTCCCAATGGTGACATCCCTTGCACTATCCCCAATGGTGACATCCCTTGCACTATCCCCAGCATAAATGAGCATTTCTAGTCCAGCTGAGCTGATCTAACTAAATACTGCCATTTCAAGAGATCATCTGACTACAGTTTTATAGCAAAGGAAGCCAATCTCGTGGATTATGCATTACTTTGATTACAATGGCGGCAGTGAGACATGAGAGATAAGATCTACTCCCTAAGGTGAACTAATCGTAATCAAATGTCCTGCTGAAATAGCATACACTAAGGTAGGTCAACCAATTTGACAGAAAATGGACCATAATCAAGCATGGAAGGGAACATGCCAACCTAAATTGACAGATAATGGATGTTAAGTTTGTCCAGTAGTGAACATGCCCTAGAACAATTCTGTCACAATATGCAGAAGACACACATGCATAGGAGGCACTATGCTAGCCAAGTACTGGGTGAAGGAAGGTGGGTTCCCGGTCAATCATTAGGGTCCACCTTACTTGGTAAGAGCCAACTCAGATGGCAGTCCCATTATGATAAGTACATCCTACTAACAAAATCAAATATGTCTCTTCTCCCCCTTCTGCACACACACACACACACACACACACACACACATGTAAATGAGGTAAAGTTGCATGCTATCAGAGTAGCTTCCTATAGTCGGCTAATAGCTATCAGACACCAACTTTATTAGAAACACAACTTATACCAAAATCTTCCTTCCTACTGCATAGAATATAACAAAGGAATTCAAGCATAATCCTATTCTACTGGAGCTACCACAATATGGTACAACAATGTGACCTTCTACATAATACATATAAATATGGCAGTCAATTTCAGACTTTTAATATATTTTACGTACAGTTCAAAAACAACACCGCCATGATTGGACTCCACACCCACATCTCACCGTATATCTGCCCACTTAAAAAACCTACCCACACTTAAAACCTAAACATTTCTACTCCATTTATGAAAACTCAGCTCTGAAGCTGATGTCACCGATCCCTAGCAATCCCAGGCCAGACCAAAACTCCTACACAAGGCCAGACCAAGACTCCTACACAAGACCAGACCAAGACTCCTACACAAGGCCAGACCAAGACGCCTACACAAGGCCCAACCAAGACTCCTACACAAGACCAGACCAAGACTCCTACACAAGACCAGACCAAGACTCCTACACAAGGCCCAACCAAGACTCCTACACAGTTTCTATCAAACTTATGGAGAGCAATATACTGCAACCCTTCTATAGTTAACTCTACTAAATACTGATTCAAACCTTGCAGAGGATATGATGGCCTGACAGTAATATGAAAGTGAAGGTAAAAGGTATGCAATTTAAAAAAGTTATCTCTCCCCAACTCAAAGAATTCCTTTAACTTCTGATGGGTATATTTAGGAAGGAAATGTCATCTTTCAGAACAATAATTCATTCAGTCTTGCTATGATTTTTCACAATAATATTAAAATTATGCATCATTATGAAGTAAAATATATTTCTTTTTTATCACAAAATTATAAAATGAAGTACTACTGGTACAAGGTAATGTGTTATCTCAAACCAAAAACTGGTCTTGACACAGATCCCCAGATAAACAAATTGTGTAAAATGGGTTGCAAAATTCTGAAGTGTGACAGGGTTTTTCTTATCTTGTTGTCTGATGACAGCTATTAGATTACTCTAAGTTCAAGTAAGACTAGATCTAAATGCACCTTTAAAAAGCAACCTAAAAATACAGTCCACAAAAGGACAATATACTATTCTTAATTTAACTTTGTCAAACATAATTTTTTTTCATTTTAACTTGGTACAAATGGGTACACCGTTGTCAACTAATTTAAAATATTTATACTTTTAGTGACAATATTTTTTTAAAAATTGTCATCAAATCGATGACAAATTGTCAAAACTAATGGAACATCATTGTCTTTTCTTAAAGGCTAAGTAACCTACAAGAAAGAGACCAGTCATTTAACAAGAAATGGTCCGGAGGCATACCAGGTTTAGTATACCTGCTTGACCTCTTTCATTTAACCAGTCCAAAATAATATCATTTTGACATGTCTAACATACAGTTTAGGACCAATAACTTGTTGAATTCTGATATTCACTTTTATTATAAATAAAGTCACTGAGAGCTTTATCATTATTTTATTTTAAAATATTAACTAAATTTTAAAGACAAATCTTATCTCATTCTATCAAATGTCAATGGAAATGGAAAAGAGGGCAGGTTGACCATTATCTTCTAGAAAAACAAATCTATACATAGCAGGGTTTATTGAGACATGTTTTGAAATAGCACTTCAAAATACCTAATTCAAAATAACAGGAAATATGAATAAAATTTACTTACCACCACCATGAATGTAAAAACCCTGGAGGCTCGCCTAATGTTATATTCTTTTCCCATCTTATCTGTAAAACAAAAAAGCACAGAATAAATTTACAACTTTTTTTTAAAATCTCAAAAGGCATGTTATCGTTTATGAACAGCAATTCAATTTTCATAATTTTTAGCAAATCAGTTCCAGGTGGGTCTTTTACTGTTGAAAAAAACACTACAAAAATTATGAAATCACTGCTTCCATCAGTCTGAGCCACTAGGCCCTAGCTCGAGGCTATTGCCCACCTAGAGAGGCACCAGGCTGGGAAAATAGTTTAAATTTTATATAACACTAGCCCACTTTTGAACCTTGATTGCCCAGAATGTGGAAGGTCTAGAGTTTTTGGCACAAACTGTTTCATTATTCTCTATAATGTTTCTGTAGGGTAAGAAACAGGAACTTGAGATAACATCAGAATAAAAGGATGCAGATTCAAGCAAACTTACAAGTAAAAACTTTGGAGATGACAGGGCAATACTATTTCTGAATAAAACAATTTGTGATAAATATCAATTCTTTTACTTCATTTATCTCTAACTCACTGGCATCTTCTTAGAATATGTAAAATAAACAGTTATATATAAATAACTCTCATTCTGTATGATGTTGGCTACTGAAAAATGAAATACAATGTCATCCAATTTCTTTATTTTAAGGTTGAAAAATGTTGACAAATAACTCTCCCCCTACGCACTAATTTCATTAAATTTAATATAAAGAACAATTTTTAAAAAATTGACAGATATCAAATTCAAACATGTGCTTTTTGCACATCATGATAGCAAGCAACAAAAACTATTGACAAGTACCTGGTGTTAATGTGCATGTACAATATAAATATATATATATATTCTATTTCCTTTATCCTTATAAAAATTAAAAATCATACTGCTTTTCTGTCATAATTTACACATAATTTATGTAACCAATCTGAATAACAAAGAAACCACAAGAAGAACATAAATCATGTATGGTTAAGGAAGTTATTTAACTGTTGTACAGAACCCCCCTTTGGAGCCTCTTGAGTTTACCAAAGAGGTCAGATAAAGGCACTCTTCAGTTAAAGCATAGACACAAAAAAGTAAAACCAGAATCGTATTTGAAAATGAATTCAGTTTCATAAAGCACAATACAGAGACAAAGTCAATAACCCCTTTATCCACAAAATTCCAAAAATTTATCAAAACACAAAGTGTGTGCACATGTAGGAATTTGAATGTTATATACAAAGCCGGTCACCGGCGAACATAACAAAGATCGAAATACTTACCTCTGATAAAAATGTCTGTGCGCTTTTTTGAGCCCCTACGTGTAATAAGTATTCATATACATAAAGTGCAAGCCTGAAAACAAAGAAATATCATTGCATTACGATTATTTACTTGTGTGTTTATTATTCAGAAATGGCGGCCATTCTGATTTTAAATGTGTGTAGCTGCCGCATTACAAAGCTCTGTAACTTCGGTTTCCCTTCAAATATTTTGATCATATTTTAAGGTCATTTTCTTACATATTTGACTGTTAACACTCTTTGATAGTTTCGCGTAAAACACTCTTATTCTTAAGATTGCAGAAAATATATTTAGCACGTATATCTCAAACGGAAGGCGCAATTGATAGAACAGCCATTTACACATATGAAAGGGGCATCCCTCTATTACAGGTGGAAATACGTCCCAGGTCGAACAAAGATCCCCGCTCCAAAATTAAATAAGCAAATTCAAAGAATGCACAGAATTGTCGAAGCATATAAAGCAACTTACTTTTCCCTTGCTTGTGCATCGGAGGGAACCGTCGATCCTTTCCCTTTAGCGTACATGCTGGGAGCTGACTGTCACGCACCTGTCAAACCATGATCAAGGACGACACTGACCTCGTCGTCATAGAGACGTCACAAGGACCTGTCAAATAGCAATCTTGGATTGGGCGAGTTATTACGGAGGATTGGTGAGCCTTGAAACTGTCGTGTTCAAACATCACACGGCCCAGCTGATAAGCGAGGTTGGCTGCCAGCCAGCTATCAATATATAGTGCCATATATTCAACATCGCTGACTTGTTCAACGTACCTTCACGTTTTTGTGCAGTAATATGATATGTTAAATGTCTAAATACCACTGTTTTTTTTAATGGAAGCATTTATTTATTTGATGCTACGTTTTGAGTGCGTTAATTTACACTGATAAATAATTGATGTGTACAACAATTTAATTTATTACAATCCTTGTAAAATACATAGAAGCTTGGTTAACATCAAAATATGATTGAAACTGATTTTCGAGCATAAGGTAATTATCAGTTGTCCTGGGATGAACGTAGTCGTAATACCTTTTCACTATGATAAGTAAATATTTTTATTATCATCAACGAACCTCAGTGACCCAAATAATCTAAACTGAGCCTTAATTTTACTTATAATAGCTATAACCCGCTAACCGGAAGTCGCTTATTAAAATATTTAGTAATTTTCATAATAAACAGGTCGTTTTAATCAGAGCCTTGGTCAAAAGAAATATAATAGCAGGATATGACAGTGGATTGAATCTGTTTGGAAATTTAGGCATGCACTTACACTGTAAGGTCTTTAAGGTCCACGTTTAACAGTAGATGAGGGGACCCGGTGGAAGCTACTAGCTGTCAGCTAGATCCAGCTAGACCAGTGCTTGAATGTCGTTGTTTGTCGTCTATTTGTTTTATCAAATTGCATTTACGAAGTGAACGTTATTCTGACTTGCATAGATACTGCATCACAGTCACAATGGCACACAATCTGAACAGTTCAATTTTACAGACATACATATTATGGAGGGAAAGCACGTGGGCCAGTGGTAGTGTAGTGCCGACCCCCCCCCCCCCCCACCCCCTAAAAAAATTAAAAGGAAGGAGTGGGGTTCTTAATTGGTGCCTTTGTCTGTGGAATTGTCTGATGAATTTTTAACCAGGTATTCTGCTTATCAAATGTCAGACTATATTTAGCATTTTTACCCTATGATGTCACGATTTTTTTTTTTTTTTTTTTTTTTTTTGAGATGCTGATCTATAGACTGAATGATGCCATGCAGTGGGCTGAACAACTTGAAATGCAAACACCGTTTCGTCCCTCCGTGCATGAACTTGGGAGTTATGTAACATTATATATGCTTACCTACTTCCTGTCTACGTCATACAGTTTTGCCCCGTCTCCCTTTGCGCCAGCGCTTAAAATTCACGAGAATTATAATGGGACACAAACTATTGATTAAGGCCAAGTCGATTCAGGTTTATGTATTGCATTTATTGCTGTGTTAAAATAGAATATTGTAAACAATGTTTTCGAAAATCAAAACTGACTAAATGTGAATGTCAGATTTTGTCACCGTGTGAATGTTTTTTTTTTCTTTTTCTTTTTTTTTTTTTTTTTTTTTGTGTGAAAAAAGGGGAGACGCCCCGGTAACTCTTCTACATATGTATGTACGTACCACTGATTCAGTATTTTCAAGAATACAGCAGATATTACTTTGTTCAGAGGTATATTTGGCCTGTAAATCAACAACAAAAAACTTACAAATTATCCAGTGAGTACATCATTCAAGTTGTTGAAATATACCAAGTGGAAAAATCTCGATTTTGTGTAATGAAAGCAACAGTATATAATATAGTCGTGGACACGTCGCCTACAATGGTGTATTAATATACAGGGACTAAATATTTAACCAAAACCTAGAATTTATGGGACACAAGATATCAACAATTATCCAAGAAATTCAACAGCAAAAATTACAAGGACCTGTATGTGACAGAGTTCATGGTCATCATCAATATTTGCATGCCGAAATAACGCCGATTGTACTATTTGGTACAGATAAAAGCGGTTGCTCCACTTTTCAGGTTTCTCAATGCATTGGAGATCTTGAAACTTCTATTTGCTGAAATATAGGTCATCTAAACAACGATGTTGGCGAGGGGCCGGAGGTTTGCAGTTTGCAGTGAAATAATTGGAGGTACTAAGCAACGTCATTCTTTTAAAATTAAAGAAATTTTGCATTCTTATTTTTTGCTTGTTACAAGTAAAAATGTTGAGTGCAAATGATCACGTAAGCACAAAGCACATGTCTTGGAGCCAAGGCTTGGACTTGTCCAGCTTGCATCCGCTGTTCCAACAACACCCCTTCTTCCGTATACTGAAGTTTAAAATCAAGCTTTGCAAGTGGAAAAAATAGAAAGTTATTTTTGCTATGTATTTTAATTTTGACATTTGTAATGTACTACTTAAAATGAAGTTAAGCAAAATTGCAGACGTGGATAAAAAATAGAGGCCATATTTATGGCGAGTCAAAATTTTTATCATATTATAAAGATAAATCAAAAAGCTGCACTTTAAATTAAAGTTTAATGTTTAAAACAATTAGGCAAATGATCACTGAGGCAAGCATTTGTCTTATGTCAAATACAGTTACAAGTTATTAACAACCAATTTTGAAAGAAAGAGTGCAAAACTTCCGATAAAGTTCAATAATAAAAGAAGTGCAATTCTGCGCGCAAGAGCAGCTAGTTTACTTCTAAACTAAAGCAATTGTCCCAGTGGTGTAACTTTGAAGTACATGTAAATTGACAGTGAGAAGTGTGTTAGTGAACATTTAATCCTTTAAAGGGGCAGTTCTTCCTGTCACACTTTTTTTAATACTACAAGAATGCCTGCGTAATACTAACTTCGGTTATCCGAATCTTTGCATTCTACTGTCAAAACATAAAGGAAACAAGCATGGTCGATGGGACGATATCCGCCTCCGTATTTGCAGACGAACTCCATGCATTTGTTGAGCTTTCTGCGACACTGAAAGATACGTGGCAGTTAGCAATGGTATTTTGGGGCTAGTATTCCTATTTTCAAAAATAAAATATTAAAAGTTATTTTAGTACTGAATTAAAGACCCAATTGGGGGGGGGGGGGGGGACAAGATGGTAGTTTACGACTGGGTTCCCACACCTAGATCGTTCTAACAGGATCGACCCATCTCCAAGGGGTTTCTCGCTAAATTACACTCAACTTAGATGTCTGCCACGCCTGCTGAACCTGCAAAACGATAATTTAATTACCCCCTAGCAGCTTCAGCAGTTAGTATGATAGGGTCTGGGGATGGCCCCTTAAATATCAAGCCCTTGTCAGGGATATACTGGGCAGTGCAGCTCCAGAGTCCATTAGAGCATTATTTCTTACCCTTCTACAATGTAATGATTTTGATATAACAAAATGCACAACAGACTTTGAAGATGCCTGTTTTAAAGTAAGGGATGTGAAAATTGCATCCATGCTGTATAAACGTAGACACACTAATGATGCATTTTTCAACACTCTCCTCCCCCTTTAAATAGTAGATATAAGATATGGCAAGTAGAGTTAAAGTATACGTTTTCATGTAGTGATCCATATATTGTTTAGTACTAATACATTTTTACATTAGTTTAAATACTACAATGTATATCAAGTTGTTTATGGAAATCACTCTGAACTACTTCATGTGTTTGTATTTGATCATGTCCGGATTTAGGGAGATTGTCAGTAAACCTCTGATTCTGATTAAATTAAATAATTCGTTTAAACAACTGGCCAAGTATTCTGAAATATTTACAATGCTAGAAAAATAGATTTCAGGGGATTTTTTTTTTTTTTTTTTTTTTTTTTGACTTTAACTAATTAGCCAGCTGGATATGTCCTTCTTATTTATACCAAATACAGCAACCAAATATTGACATTCAGGTTATAATTTATTCGCCTAAAATGTCTTAGTTCTAATGTAGAGGATTCATCTTCAGGCAAATGATTCCAAGTGTGGCTATATATCAAAAAGACAACTCTTAAAGTTAGACCAACACTTAGCAGATGTGTCTAGTGGCATGGTGGAATCCAGTTTGGAGGTTGACGAACTTACAGAGCAAGAAGTTGAAGATGAGGTAGATATGTTTAAATTTATATTCTTCATTGAATTAAGATTTTTATGCCATACATGACAGTTATGAGTGTATCATTATTATTGATCATTAAGGGTTGGGGCTTTCCCCATAAAGCCATCCAGTTGTTATTTGGACAGCCATTAGCATCAATAGACGGCTGGGCAGCTTACAAAATCTTTGGGAAATCACGGGTTGGTTGGTTGGGCTTGCTTGGGTTGGACTCCCTGTAAAGCATTGACCAAATCAAAGATTTATGTTTTGGACTCCTTGTCCCCCAACCCCTGTGGAACCTCCCGTTTAGGATGTCCCAATATTATATTTTATGTGGAAGAAAATCTCTCTCCATGAAATCTTAGAAAATTTTGGATCTTAATAACAGCATTTCTCATTTGATATAGGAATCAAATACTATCCAGGTAAAGCCTCAGACCAGGGTGATATCATGTGAATACCATGTAGTGTACAGTGACAGCTATAGTGTACCAGTCCTGTATTTTAACATGTATCATGACAGTAAGTATAACTTTAACTTAATGATGCAGCTTGCATTTAAACAATATGCTTAGGGTACAACAATTGAGAACACATTCTATTTGATGTTATCTTCTAGACTAACAAATAATAGAAAGAAAAAAAGAATTATTCAACATTTTTATGCTAAATTTATTGTAGCTAAATAGTGTCCCAAGAATTTTTGCTAAAAAATTTTATTAAATTTTTATGTTGGATATTGAAGAGTTTTTGAAACATTTGAGAAGAATAATGAAAGGTATTTCTAATGAAATTAACTTTTTATGTTACAGGTGGGAAACTCCTGACCCTGGATGAAATATGGTCCTTAGTACCTCAAATTTACCAAAGCAGACTTAGCCAAGAAAGGTGGACATTCCTTACGCAGCAGGTAAGTAGAAAATAGATTAAAAATTCAGTGAAGTAAAATCATTCCTGTGGGATCATGAAATGATATTCATCCTTGGGTCTTGGTGAGATTTTTATTTTTTTATTTATTCTGTTTTCTATCATTTAAACTATTTTTAAGTTGATGGAAAAATGTATATTGAGTGCCAATTTTGTGGAAAACTTCACTGTAACATTGTCAATTATTGTACACAAGTTTGGCTTAAAAATGTCGTATTTAATGAATTTCAGGAACATCCTATATTGGGCAGGCCATATTTCCAGCTTCACCCTTGCCATACAGCCAGTCTCATGAAGCATAGCGTCCTCTCAAGAGCCACCAAACCAGAGATATCCACAGATACTGCACAGGGTTTAGCAGGGGTCAGTGCCACAAGCCATACGCCCAGCATGAGAAGAAAAGGGTGGGTGCTAATAGCAATTATATATAGATAGATAGATAGATAGATAGATATAATATTTTTACGTATGCATTCAATATGTGTTTTATATATTGCAAAGAGTACAATAACCCTAATGAAAAGTGAACATAACAATCATAACCAGTGTTAGATAGATTTTGAACCCTGTTTGACTGTCCACATGGTGTAGTTGCCATAAACCAAGGATGTATACATAAACATACCCTCTTGGTTCAACCTTTGTGACAAAAAAGAACTGATATTATTTTCCTTTACTGTCTGTCAAATTTACTTGCATACTGAAGACACACATTGTCAGTTGTCAGTTTGTTGAAGTGTAAGAAATATGGGAAGTTCAAGTGCTCACCAGCAAGCAGGCTATTACAAGTTTAGTGTACTATTATCAAGTGAAACAAATTTTTTGGTACAACTGAACATGCTTGTTCAACATCTGACATTAACAAGCATATAATTTAAAGAAAATGTAATATAAGAAAATGTTTATATCTATTATTACTCCAGAAGCTATTTAGTCCAGTGGCTGAGTTCAGTTGCACCAGTGGTGAGACTTGGAATGTCTTTAGAGTACGGGTTGATAGGGAATAATTGAGGCAACAGGTGTGAACCATACCTACAAGCCAGGGGTGTTGCCTACTATGCCTGTGCTACATAAGGGAAAGGTAAGAAAGTTTGAGTGAAGTAGTAAATTATGCTTCAAGCTCACCTTGGTATTATGATTAAATTCAGCAGAACATTACCTGAGCTTTAATTTTGCAAATAGGAATGTATTGGTTTTCAACCAGTATTTTAAAGTAGAAAGTACATACATTTAGGTTGCGTCAGTTTTTCAGTAACAAAGGGAAACCATTCCATTTAATGTAAATATTATCACTGGCGTACATCTGCATTCTTTTAAGATTGACTTGTACACTTTTTGCAGCTTGGCAGTTGGAGAACACAGATGAGACAAACCTGGGTTTGGATTTTCTGAACAGGATTCCAATGACATCTTTGACTGAAGTAGTCACATAAATCTTTTCTATTCATGATGGGCCTCAGCCTGCACTTTCTCAATTCAATAGGTCTAATCCTAAGAAAGTTACGACTGGTTGCAAGGAAAATTACCAAGGATTAAAAAAGTGCAGTTGTCAGTATATGTAAAACTTTTAATAGTTATTTTACATTAGTATGGGAATATCTGTCTTAAACAGCAGGTGAAGTTCAGAGTTGTGTTAACATGTATTCACTGTTTAAGTGCTGAGGCAACATGCCTTTTAATGATAAAAAACGAAGATTTATGCAAGAACATATTTTGCAAACTTTCTCTTTATTTTTTTCAAAAGTTGGATCATTTAAATACTGTGATCATAAGATATTTAATTTGTACATTGGTGACAAATATGCTTTCTTTTTAAAAATCATCTAACAAAGTAAAATAAAAGAAAATGGTCCTTATTATATATTTCTTCATAATGTCTTACATTTTCTAGTCTTGTAAAAAGTTTTAATGAATAAAAACATTTACAAAGAAGCCCATCCAAATGGAATTATATTACATTCACATCACAAACAGTTTCCTGCTTACAAATTGGCTTGACCATAAGAACTGACCAAATCATCCCAGAAAGAGTTCAACAGACTGTGCATATAAAAGAAACATTTATTGAAACTGCTGATACTGTGCACTAAAAGGTTGACCGTAAGGGTGTCCATATTGTGTCAGATGCTGCTGATCGTAAGGGTGTCCGTATTGTGGCACATGCTGCTGACCATAAGGCTGTCCATATCCCTGGGGATTTCTCAAGCTTTGGTCGGTGGCTTGAACTGGGTAGGTGTCTTGACCATCTGTAATAAACCAAGAGGACGTATTTACTGATGTTTTAGTGATAGTAATCACTTATAGTTGCTCTGGAACACCATTAGCAGCATAACAGCTATGTTTTGCTCTTGTCATGAGCATTCAGCCTGATACTGCTCAAGTGACAACAGTGAAACATAGCTGTTTCACTTCCATCTTTGTTCCAACATAAGTGATTACTGTCTCTAAAACATCATTGAATATAATTCCTTGGAACCGTGAACAATCTATTGATAAGGTGTATACAGTAATAGAGTAAATGTGCCAAGTTAAGAAGATATACACGTAAATGTGACTGCTAAATCGTGGTACCATTCAAGGCATTGTCAGTGAATGATATTTGTGTACATCCTAAACTGTGACTGGCTACATAGCATAGCTGTTGCCTATAAGGACTTGCCATAAAGGCAAGATGCAATGGAAGATCCTGATCACAACTAAAATGTAACTGTCTTCACTTGCAAAGTGTCTTCCACAGGAAAAAAAAAACATTACAAGAGGAATGTCAGTGGCCAGTCATGGACTCCTCTTGAGCACTCTGGTTTTGATTAAAAATATAGAACTTAAAATATAAAAAGGAAAATAACCTTGAAGCAGAGCAGCTAAGTGTTCCTGGCCACCCTCGCACAGAGCATAGCGGAATATCTCAAAAGCACTTTCTCCTTTTCCTGGCAGGAGGTCTAACAGTTTTTCAGCTCTAGCATAACATGTCCTTTCTGCTCTCACTGTCTCATTGTCTCTCTGAGTGAAGACACCTTCTTGCAGCAAATGGTTCAGGATAAACTTGGTATCAGAATCTGTCATGTCGTTTGTTAAAGCCATTCTATTGCGCCTAAGAAGATCCTTATGATGGTTACTCATCATCATGACTCCAGGCATGCTTTCAACTTTAAAGATAAAATTAAAAATTCCATGTTATATTTATAACAGATTACTGTTTAGTACATTATGAATATATCAATGAAATAATTTTCAATGAATGTCAAACTCATTTTGATGATTCCACAGGGATTTAACTGTTTTTTTTTTTTTAATAATCTATTGAAGGAACTGGCTTCTGTGACAGAAAAGGTACAATCTGAATCAAAACTTGACATAAGTTCTGTTCCATGTTTTAAACTGGGGCAAAGAAGGGGGTGGGGACCCACTTTAAAAAAACTTGAAATTGCTGGCCAAATGCCTTGTGTATTATACTTAAAAAAAGAAAAAGAAAATCCAGATGGAAGATGCTCTCCACTGCACACCTGCGTCTCCTCCTGCCCCTGATCCACCCTGGAGCTGGCTGACAACATGATGCATTCCTTCCTCCCATAAGGCTTCCAGAAAGACATAATAACCTACATCACTCTTCCCAATAAGGATGTCCAAAAACTCTTCATTCATATCATGTTTGATTCGCTTGGATTTGATGTATTCATACTCCCTGTCACTTAAAACTGATTTGGAATACATGAAATTAAGAATGCTTAGCAGTGACGGCTCTGTTATGTCATTAACTAGAGTAAGACGGTTCTTGATCAGGGCAGCTCTGTGTTCTCTTGTCATGCCTAAAGGAAAAAAAAATTAAAACAGACAGCAAAATATCAAAATAAACTTAAGAAATATCTCAATTTCTATTCTTTCTATCCCATTTTACATGTAACTTACCACAAGAAAGTGTATGTGTTAGGTACTGCTAATATAGGCACCTATGGCGATCAAAAAGAATAAAAAGCAACATGTACATTGTACCTTGCTCAAAGAAAGTGTTTAATTCTGAGAAGCGTATACATTGCTGGTTTTCATTCTTCAGGCCTTATCCTATATTTAAATCTTACCCCGTGGAGCTGCCATATCTTGAAGTATTGGTGTTTCTGCGTTCTCACGAATATGAGTAGAATCGTAGATCTGCAGTTATCAAAGGTTTTGAATACAAAATTGAACGTACATGTATAAAAGTATATTTTGAATAAATGCAAGTGATTATTCTCTCCAAAGACTGCCATTTAAAGAACATGGCATAGCACTTTACTATTTACTCTTACAGTATTTCTTCCTTTGTAACAATTTTTTTTATTTTCCACGGTTTTTGCCACATCTTTGTAACCACTGGCAAACATTCAACGAGAGGTACTCGTGAATTTGTAATTGTGTTACAATACTGTAGCCCTACATGTATTGGTTAACAAAAATATTGTCCTCTTTCGTATTACTGAAAACTGTGCAAAGTAATAAAATATTAAAAATCTAAAAAAAAAATAGATCCATTAATTGACTGAAGATTACAGGCTGAGATTTAATGTGACTAAGAGAGCAGATAACTCCACTTTTCAAAGAATTAACTTACATAAGAGGTAAGGCAAAACAGCGTAATATAACCAGGACAAAATCCTATTTCATCTTGCAGGTAAAGTTAAGAAACCAACCAACAAACAAGGCAGTACTTCCGTAAGAACTCTTCTAATGAAGGAGAGTCATTTAGGGCAACGCTTCCGCTTTACATTGAAAACGTGTTTGGTTCACGACTGTGTAAAGTACCGTGTCACTATTTTGTAGAAAAACCTCTTCTCCAAGAGGAGCAACTAGGTACGCTATCAAGATGCCAAAAGTTAAGTCGGCGAAGAAATCCAGAGTCCACCAAGAAGTCCAGAAACAAGGTAACAATATGATGACATGGATCGTCAAGTCTGTCAGGCTTTTATTATTATTACTATTATTTCCTATATTAAACCCATATTCCACTGATGCACAGTGTTAGTATATTAGAAATACACTGTTCAGTTGGCTATGAAGGTCATTTTTTGTTTTGGATTTATCTTTTTAAAGAAAATGTTCTGTTTTAATAAGTGATGTCCTACTTTACATCCCAGATAGCNAATAAGTGATGTCCTACTTTACATTTATACCCACTGTTTTTTCTAGGACTAAACTTTAATACAGGGCTTGGACAGCATATATTGAAAAACCCCTTGATCATCACAAGCATGGTAGAGAAGGTATGTTTGCTTTGCTCATAAGCTGCACACCATTTTAATGAGAAAGTGTATGAAGTTCATTCCATAAGTTATTTTTTAATAATAATAATAATATTTATTTAGAGTAAAAAATCCAATTATGTTCAATACATTATGAACAAAGAAATTAAAAAGCTAGCGAAAGAAAAATGACTGAAACAAATTGATTTAGATAATGCCAAATTAACTTTTTAAGTCTTTAATAAAAATTCTAGTCATAAAATTTTGCTTCAACAATGACAGACAAATGGCAGTAATGAACCTGTAAGCTACAAGCCACTGTGCAGAAATAGATAACATATATTGTCCATTTATGGAAACTATTTTTTCTATCAGTCAGCCCTAAGACCCACGGATGTGGTCCTTGAGGTAGGCCCTGGCACAGGAAACATGACAGTCAAGCTTTTAGAGAAGTCAAAAAAGGTATGAAAAAATTTTCAACAGTTGCAGATTTTTAGATCTTGTCCTGAATTTTCTTGAAATATGTAATATAGCTAAAGAATTTAATGATTCCATCACAATGTTATCAGTGTCATAATTATATTTGTTATATTTCAGGTTATAGCATGTGAGATTGATCCAAGAATGGCTGCAGAATTACAGAAAAGGGTGCAGTGCACGTAAGTGTAAATTTTTAGTTAATTATAATTTCATTTTGCCAGATTAATTTAGGAGGAGATTGTTGAGTATGTTCTCACATTGTTGAAAGAGTATATTAAAGCACAATCAACGTGGTACTGGTGGAGCCCATATCTGAATTGTTGTCAAATCAATCAAGTGATTGAAAAACTTTTGTAGTCTTATGTGAACCCATGTTTACGAGGTACTTAAATGATACATACATACAACTGAACACAACACAAGAACTAAGTCTTTATAAACTTTGACACGATACATTTTCTTGAGCTCTGTGGATGTTATCATCTATGATATCAATGACCCATTGCAGGACCACAAAACTTAGGCTTGAACTTAAAAGTTGTTATATTTTTGTGACTTTATGCTCCCTGCCATCACACAGAACATTTACATAAGAGGCCTAGACCTATCAGAATGAAAAGATTTTATTCATAAGATTATAAATGTAGATATGCAAAGTTTAAGAAATTAATTTTATTGCAGGCCTCTATCAAGCAAACTACAAGTGGTTGTTGGTGATGTTTTAAAAACAGATCTACCTTATTTTGATGTATGTGTTGCAAATTTGCCGTATCAGGTGAGCTGGACTCTTAGTTATTTAGATACATGCATTGTGACTGTAAGTGGTTAGTAAAAATGGTGCTAGTGGTTTCCATAATTACACCATTTGAAATACATAAAATTAACTCATTTGAAAATGTTGATTTTGTAAGGTATTCATTTTCAATATGAATTTTAATGGCTAATTAATTTTTTTATTTCAGATTTCCTCCCCATTTGTCTTCAAGCTTCTTTTACATAGACCCTTCTTCAGGTAAACTTAACTACTAGGCTTAAATTTGTAACATGACATGTGGATTAAACTTTTGTATTGAGCAGACTGACCAGATTAGGTAGAAGGCCAAATAATTATATGTCATCCATCTATAAATATTGGAAATATTTATTATAGAGTATTATTATACAACAAATTTTCAGATGTGCAATACTGATGTTTCAAAGAGAGTTTGCTCAGCGTCTGGTGGCTAAGCCAGGGGATAAACTGTACTGTAGACTGTCCATTAACACTCAGCTCCTGGCCAGAGTGGACCATCTGATCAAAGTGAGGGACCACGTTTACCTTACCCTTTAAGTTTTAAAGCTTGATTTTCAGAAAAATTTAAGTAAATAGAAAAAAGATCTTCATTTTGCAAACGATATCTGCTGAATGAAATTTGGAACCTTTAACAAAATTGCTTCTATTTTATGTATTAAGAGTGTTAGGAGTCGATAATGGAAAAGCAATTCTTTGCCTTTCAAAAGCCTGTAGTGAAAAATATGAAAAATATCCAAAATTTGTATGAGAACAGTTTATCTTTAATATATCCAGTGTTAGATGAATGCTACTCTCATTGCAGGTTGGCAAAAACAATTTCAGACCCCCACCTAAAGTAGAATCCAGTGTTGTCAGAATAGAGCCAAAAATACCACCACCACCAATCAACTTCCAGGAATGGGATGGTTTAACCAGGATATGTTTTTCTAGAAAAAATAAAACCATTGGAGCAGCTTTTAGGTACTCAAAATTTTAGGTTATCAAAGTGTGTGATATATTTGTGAAATTCACTCAGTGTCTATATTTTTGTGGTGATAAAAAAGTTTTGAATGGAAGAATACATTTATTATCTGCACACTTGTAAATCAATTATTGTTTTAATGTGTAGTTTCGATTACAAATTAATAATTAATTTATTACTTTTTCTTTCCCATAGGTTCTCAACAGTATTAGAAATGCTAGAGAAAAATTACAAGATACATTGTTCTGTAAAAAATATTGTAAGTAGCAAATTTTTATGTATGAATGTTTTTATTTAAGGTGGAGAACATAGAATTTTCAAGATATAATTGCTTTTTAAATTTTATAAAAATAATTTTGCCATTGTTTTCATCCTGCTGACCATTCAACTTGTCAGTATTTTTTATATCATTTATGAAATTGGCTATTTTAATTATCCAGGTGTGTCCTCTTTTTAGTCACTCCCTTATTATTGACCTAATTGTCTTTTCTTTTCAAGCCTCTTCCTCAAAATTTTGATATAAAAGAAAAAGTGGAAAATATAATTATACAAAACGATTATGAGAAAAAGAGAGCAAGGACTATGGACATGGATGATTTCTTGGGGTAAGTGTCTTGACTGCAGCTTATTTTCCCCATTAGAGACAAGCACGAGTTCACTTTTCAAATATATTTTTCATGTTGTTCCTGGATAAACTTCATGAAGTATCATAAAAACAGAATAAATACATGTTAAAGAACATTTTTAGATTTGCCTTGTTTATTCCTTCAGGTTGCTTCATGCCTTCAATGCAGAGGGGATTCATTTTGCGTAACAAAAAGAAAAATAAAGAAAAAAGAGGAAAACACTGCAGAATTAGGCCTGACATCACCAAGATGTATTGTGATGAAGTAAGATTTGACAATATGTACCTTCATGATGAAAGTACATTTCAAATAGGCCTGCTTTCCTTCAAACTTTGTACTGTAATTAGTACTGAAGTTGGCATCAGTACCATGTATGGGTATCCTTACGTTACGGGTATCCTTGCATTCTGTTCAATTTGAATGATTTTCCATGCACAAGTTCTTCAGAGGACAAAGTTATAAAACAGTTGCTGACCATGTTACTATCCTGGTAGTTAGCAAGTTAAATTCAACTGACAGGGCTGGTTCATGGGGCAGTGACAAGTGCCTGTCAGCAATAATGAAGGAACAAAGGATACACTCGTGACAAAAGACTTAAAATTTCAACTGAGCCAACTTGATGAGAATCATCCAAGGCAGCAGTCTTGTGAGTTAGTGTATAATGAAGAGAGATTTCGTGGAGTTTGGAGGAGAGTGGGGTCAGAAATAATGGCAGACTAGCTAGTTCAATATTCAGCAACAAATAAAAGCTGACAGAATTTATCCACGTTTTTTTTTTTTTAATCTCCAAGGTTCAGCAACAAATAAAAGCTGACAGAATTTATCCACAGTTATTTTTCAGTTTGTTTTCTCCAAAGGTCTTTAGAATTACAGTCTTATGTATCTATTGGCCATACTTCTCTGATTACTTTTGTATTGCTTTCTAAGATCACATCCTTGGTGCATAGTTCCACCTATACATTATGTTACATCCGGTGAATCAAAACTGAGGGTCCGTGTAACAGCAAGTCCGCCCTCCATTTACTTATAATGGTTGGGTTTAGCCTGACCTAAGTGTCAAAATCTAGGCTTACCTGTTCAAATGAATGGGAAGCTGACTCTCTATCATGGGGGACTCTGTCACACCAGCAGTGATTGTACAATTAACATTCAGATGCCAATTTCAACAAAGACATACATTCAATGTGATTGTAATAGTTAAGGTTGCTTTGAAGGAAACCTATGTAAATATGGAAATGAAGTTCTTGTCTTGGTTATTTATCAACTATATGTTAAAATGTATTGTAATAAATGTTACGAAAACAACATACAGAATTTAATGTGAATTAGTGTAAATATTCCAAAATTATTTATGTAACTTTTCTAAAGATTCTAAAGAAGATTTTGAAAAAACATTTTCATTATTCTTTTCTTCAGTTTATTGATTTAAAATAATCATCAAAATTGATTGAAATTTTTTAGGGGATGGACGGAAATCATTACACTTAGCCCACATCTAATTTCAAAATTTACCTTTTTTCTTGCCCATCAAAAAAATAATTAATAGTAATACTAATAAGACGGCATATTGAAGTAATTATCCTGAGCAGTTTCAACAATGTCATTCCCATGCACAACTTAAAACATGCTAAAAAGTAATGACTGCGTAGCTTCACGAGCAAACTGGCTTTATTTTCATTCAGACAATACACAAAAATAAATCAATGAATTTTTGGGATAAACATGATGTATAACTCTTTGGTTGCAACTGGGTAAAAGCTTTTCCCATGATCATAATGTGGGACCTAGTTTGGTCTTGGAACAGGGACATGCGCTACAATATCAATCAAATAGTGAAAAGTGCAATTTACCAATGTTATTTTTGACCATTTTCATGGAAGAAAGTCATGTACAAGAAATGCACCGTTTCTTTTTTTGTTAGACTTAAAGCATCTTGATAGTGGAAACAAAATATGTTGTATTTCTTATAAAAATATATTGATATAAGTATGCTACCCAATACCTGGGATTTTTTTTTTACATAGTCATTCAGTTTTTGATTAATTTTTTTAATAAACTGGCTGCCCAGTAGCCAGATTTTCCATTTAAAAATTAGTACAACTAGCTATCTTACAAAAATTGACATTTTTCTATGCCATGTTACTGTTACCATGGCCAGAAAGTCTAGAAAGGTGACTGGTATATAATATATTTTTTAATGTTGAATAAATCAAGCATTTTTCTAATTCATATTGGCTCAATTGGCTACAATCACAAATAATACAATCTGACAACAAAAGAACTGTATTGGTCAACATGCAGTTTCTTTTTTGTAATGAATATTACAAAATGTCTACCCATGTGGCTTTTTTTTTTTTTGTCTTTTCTTTTAATGTATTACAAAACATATATTCCTCTTATTTTTAATCTGTCAGCTGAAATATAATATTGTTGCCTTATTATCCTACTTTACACTGTTGAAAGGCAACCTACATTTAAAAAATATCCCCATATCCTTCAAAATTGCAGTTTCTTATTTACAATTTTTCCTTAGTATGAATTAATGTAAACTTGCCCCAAAATAACCATTTTTATTGTATTTTGTATTGAGAAACCAACATTTTTACAATTGACTGTTGGCATGAAAACCCTGCACTCTCACTGCCACAATACAAGAAATCAATTTACTAGACTTATTAAAATACATGGAATCCAAATATGTAAAATCTATTACCTTGGACATAATTTTAATTAAGAGTGATACCTCAACTAATACCTATGTAAGTAGTCTTTCTCAATTGATCACCTGAATATCAGGCACAGCTGCAATTTATCATTACACTGCAATTGGACAATTTTCTTTCACAGGAGTCCACCATTCACCAAGATTGTCATAAGTCTTATCTCAACAAATTCCTGTAAGATGGTAATATTATGCTGCTTTCTTCTGCTTTTCTTGTTCTCTCTTTCTCATTGGTTCAATCTTGACTGGAGGTTCCTTGAGCACTGTGGCATTCCACTTCTGCCCTAGCATTTCAACCAGGACTTGGGTGCCTGGCACGGAAAGTTCCAGAGGAACATACGCCATGGCGATGCTTTTCTTCACCTCATAACCATAGGTACCTGAGGTAGTGTTACCTACCACCTGAAATAAAATGTCACATACTTCGTGAATTACATGATATTTTCATATAACATGATACATAACACAAAAAAAAGGTTGTTACACCTTTAAAATATTCCATTTGTCTTTTATTTCTTGTCCTTTTAGAAAATAGTGTATGTTAGTTGATACAATGACAATTTCTACACCTTTGTTAACAATCACAACCATTGGTTGTTTTTATTTGGTTAACAATTTCTATCTGTACTATTCACAACATGATAGCATTTAAATCATTTTCATACAAAATTTTTGGTAAAGGGGGTGGGGTTAAAGGGGCTTCTGACCTTGCCATTGTACCACAGAGTTTCGTTGCCCTCTGGATCCACATCTTCTGTGTCAACCGTGATGAACACCAGCGTCCTGCGGAGACCCTCCTGTTTTATTTTCTGTAAAGCTTGTTTGCCAATGAAGTCAGCAGGCTGAAGAACAATGTGCATGGGTAAAAACAAATGGGTGTTTTTTTTTTTTTTTGTCCTTTTTGTTCAACTTGGAAAAACTATAATTGTTAAGTAGATGATAACTATATTACAATTCAAGTCAAACACCAGTCAGTAGCCTAAACATACCTTCTTCAGTTTCACAAAGAATCCAAGTCCTGCTTCTAATGGATTATTGTCAACAGTCATCTGGAAAGATGCCAAATACGGGTTTTACCAGTCCATTTTCAAATAAGTTTGTTTCTTTCTAAAAAATTTCATTAAAAGTGTCACAAAAAAATCTTGTTTAATTTTATGCAGCAGTTAAGATTATTAACTATCACCTGAGATAAGCAGACAGTAAAATTTAGAACCAAAGGCAGACAATCACCTCTGCTCCCCACATTCTGAATCCTTTCTCCAGCCTCAGAGAGTTCAAGGCATACGTTCCAAAATCCCCAACACCAAACTCCTCCCCAGCAGCCAGCAAAGCTTGGTATAACTTGAGGGTATCTTGTCTGGCATGGTAGAATTCCCAGCCAAGTTCTCCTGAAATGTTAAGGGGTTCAAAATAAAATTATTTTCTTACCCAGATTCTATGTATTAAATTTGTTCAATTATGTTGGTGCAAAATACACATATTACAAATTATCCATTTATCTTTTGAAGATATTTCTCTTTTTGAACATGATCACATAAACAAGTTTCCAACCGATTTTAGAAAGACAACCAACCTAAAAACTGCTTTCAGCAAGATAACTGACAACCTTGAGGAATCCTGCAACTCCTTTACCTGTGTAGGAAATCCTCATGGCCCTGACAGGTACCCCTGCCACTTCCATCTGCCTGTAGGTGAGGAAGGGGAAACCTTCATGGCTGATGTCCTCTGTGGTCAGCTTGCTCAAGATGTCCCTGGACAGAGGGCCTGCAAGACTCAGGGCAGCCATGGAGTCTGTGACATTGACCAGCTCTACGTCATAATTTCCAATGATTTTCTGCTCTTCCATCCACCTAGGGAGTGGAAAATGTTGTGTTATTTATGGGGAAATCTTTTGGGGATATAGAGGACCTTCAACTGACAAATCAATTGAGAAACCTTTGCTACCTATTTTTCCAACCTCAGTGGGGAAAATATGCCCATTTACTGGCTTATATTGTACTTGCACAACTTAAGTTTTTCTATTGAAAAACAAGTGACTGTAGTTCCACATTCCATCTATCTAATTTTACCAGTTGTTGAAAACGTATCAATCACATTTAATGTTGTTTTGTCATTCAAAACCTGGTGGCAAATTCAAAGATTTCATAGATTTCAAACCTGGTTAATCCGAGCAAACAGTGAATGTCCATTACCAATGTAATGTCCAATATGAATAGAGGAAGGTTTCCCCTGTATATTTGTATTGAACAGATACCTGAGATCATGCAGCTCTGACCCAGAGCCTGTTATACAGAAGAAATGGTTTGGTGCTAGCGTGGTCACAGTCAGTTCAGCATATACTCTACCACTTGGAGTCAACATGTGACTGATGTTGGTATAGCCAACCTAAAATGGGACAAAAAAAATTAATGTAAACTTTGGTTTTTTTTTTATCATAATTATTATAAGGTTAAATAAGATCAAAAATTTGCTGCAGTAATTTCATAATGTTTTTGTCTTCTACCAAAAACATGCAGCTAGCATACTTTTGCTCATTTATTGCAATAGAAGTATTTCAAGAATTACACAATAATATATATGTTTACTATAAAGTGTATTGTAGACATGTAGCCTTCGTATGTAAACATACCAAAAATACGATACCTTTGGGACTGCATTGGCACACAGGTGATCGATGTATTTGTGAGCATCATTCCCTTTCACTTCAATTTTAGCGAAAGGTGTCAGATCTATTATGCCAGCCTTGGTTCTTACGAGCTCACTTTCTCTGCCAACTGGATCAAACCAATTTGTCCTTCTAAAGCTGGGATAGTACCCAGCTGTGTCCCCAGGCAGGGCAAACCAGTGTGGTTGTTCCCAACCTTAGATAATGAAAATACTTGTCAGAAAGTGCTCTTTATAATAAACTGCTTTCGATAGAAACACATTTTACAATTAATGCACCACAAAGTTTCAATGCTTACCTACCAGAATACATACAAACATACCGTGCCATACATACCTGCATGAAATCCCATCTCTNTTCTTGTCCTTTTAGAAAATAGTGTATGTTAGTTGATACAATGACAATTTCTACACCTTTGTTAACAATTGCAACCATTGGTTGTTTTTACCTGGTTAACAATTTCTATCTGTACTATTCACAACATGATAGCATTTAAATCATTTTCATACAAAATTTTTGGTAAAGGGGGTGGGATTAAAGGGGCTTCTGACCTTGCCATTGTACCACAGAGTTTCATTGCCCTCTGGATCCACATCTTCTGTGTCAACCGTGAGGAACACCAGCGTCCTGCGGAGACCCTCCTGTTTTATTTTCTGTAAAGCTTGTTTGCCAATGAAGTCAGCAGGCTGAAGAACAATGTGCATGGGTAAAAACAAATGGGTGTTTTTTTTTTTTTTTGTCCTTTTTGTTCAATTTGGAAAAACTATAATTGTAGATGATAACTATATTACAATTCAAGACAAACACCAGTCAGTAGCCTAAACATACCTTCTTCAGTTTCACAAAAAATCCAAGTCCTGCTTCTAATGGATTATTGTCAACAGTCATCTGGAAAGATGCCAAATACAGGTTTTACCAGTCCATTTTCAAATAAGTTTGTTTCTTTCTAAAAGATTTCGTTAAAAGTGTCACAAAACAATCTTGTTTAATTTTATGCAGCAGTTAAGATTATTAACTTTCACCTGAGATAAGCAGACAGTAAAATTTAGAATCAAAGGCAGACAATCACCTCTGCTCCCCACATTCTGAATCCTTTCTCCAGCCTCAGAGAGTTCAAGGCATACGTTCCAAAATCCCCAACACCAAACTCCTCCCCAGCAGCCAGCAAAGCTTGGTATAACTTGAGGGTATCTTGTCTGGCATGGTAGAATTCCCAGCCAAGTTCTCCTGAAATGTTTAGGGGTTCAAAATAAAATTATTTTCTTACCCAGATTCTATGATTCTATAATTTGTTCAATTATGTTGGTGCAAAATACACATATTACAAATTATCCATTTATCTTTTGAAGATATTTCTCTTTTTGAACATGATCACATAAACAAGTTTCCAACCGATTTTAGAAAGACAACCAACCTAAAAACTGCTTTCAGCAAGATAACTGACAACCTCAAGGAATCATACAATTCCTTTACCTGTATAGGAAATCCTCATGGCCCTGACAGGTACCCCTGCCACTTCCATCTGCCTGTAGGTGAGGAAGGGGAAACCTTCATGGCTGATGTCCTCTGTGGTCAGCTTGCTCAAGATGTCCCTGGACAGAGGGCCTGCAAGACTCAGGGCAGCCATGGAGTCTGTGACATTGATCAGCTCTACGTCGTAATTTCCAGTGATTTTCTGCTCTTCCATCCACCTAGGGAGTGGAAAATGTCTTATTTATGGGGATATTACTTGGGGATATAAAGGACCTTCAACTGACAAATCAATTGAGAAACCTTTGCCACCTATTTTTCCAACCTCAGTGGGGAAAATATGCCCATTTACTGGCCTATATTGTACTTGCACAACTTAAGTTTTTCTATTGAAAAACAAGTGACTGTAGTTCCACATTCCATCTATCTAATTTTACCAGTTGTTGAAAACGTATCAATCACATTTAATGTTTTTTTGTCACTCAAAACCTGGTGGCAAATTCAAAGATTTCATAGATTTCAAACCTGGTTAATCCGAGCAAACAGTGAATGTCCATTACCAATGTAATGTTCACCCAGAACCATGGTGTCCAATATGAATAGAGGTAGGTTTTCCTATATATTTGTAATGAAAAGATACCTGAGATCATGCAGCTCTGACCCAGAGCCTGTTATACAGAAGAAATGGTTTGGTGCTAGCGTGGTCACAGTCAGTTCAGCATATACTCTTCCAGTGTGAGTCAACATGTGACTGATGTTGGTATAGCCAACCTAAAATGGGACAAAAAAATGAATGTAAACTTTGGTTCTTTTTTTTCTTAATTAAGGTTAAATAAGATCGAAAATTTGCTGCAGTAATTTCATTATGTTTTTGTCTTCTACCAAAAACATGCAGCTAGCATACTTTTGTTCATTTATTGTATTTCAGAAATTACACAATAATATATCTGTTTACTACAAGTGTATTGCAGACATGTAGCCTTTGTATGTAAACATACCAAAATATTTTACCTTTGGGACTGCATTGGCACACAGGTGATCAATGTACTTGTGAGCATCATTCCCTTTCACTTCAATTTTTGCAAAAGGCGTCAGATCTATTATGCCAGCCTTGGTTCTTACAAGCTCACTTTCTCTGCCAACTGGATCAAACCAATTAGTCCTTCTAAAGCTGGGATAGTACCCAGCTGTGTCCCCAGGCAGGGCAAACCAGTGTGGTTGTTCCCAACCTTAGATAATGAAAATGAAAAGTGCTCTATAATAAACTGCTTTCGATAGAAACACATTTTACAATTAATGCACCACAAAGTTTCAATGCTTACCTACCAGAATACATACAAACATCCCGTGCCATACATACCTGCATGAAATCCCATCTCTGCTCCCCTTTCCTTCATCAGTTCATATGCCCCCGACACTCTCTCAGTGGGACGCCCAGCAAAACGCTCCTCTTTTGGATGTCCTATCACATTATTAAAGCCATAGGACTCTCTGGCCTTTTTGAATAAATAATCTCTGAAAAAGTGGAAATAACCCGTCAACATAGTAAGAAAAGACATAAAAGACTTGATAGCAAAATCTGATGCACATTTTTTCAATTTCTTAGCATATTGAAGTAAATGCTCCACTCAGATCTGTTTAAAAACACCCTCACCCTCCCAAAAATCTTGTCTAAAATATTACTTTTATTATTACAAAAGTGCTAACATAGTTAATTCAGGAACAAAATTAAGGAATTAATGTAGCTTACTTGGTTGTCCATTTTCCATATCTATTAGGATCCAGCTCTATGAGATCATATGGTGGTTCTCCATTCAATATCCAGTCACTCAAGTATTTCCCCACACCTCCAGCATGAACAATGCCGTAGCTGAAATAAAAATTTGAAACATCTATGAATTTTTACAACTAACAAGGAGTGTCCTTACATGAAAAATATGCATTTCTAATTTAAAGTCATATAAAAAAATAATATTTCAATGTAGCTCTACGCACCCAAATCCTACTGCACACCAGTAATTGCTGATGCCCTGATGTGGCCCCACCATAGGGAGTATATCTGGGGAGTAGGTGATGGGTCCACACACCACACTCTGTATGCTGGCATTCTGGACCACAGGCACCAAATCCATGGCCCTCTCCAGGTGATCATTGATACGATCCAAGTCACCATCAAAGAGCTCTTTGCCAAAACCTGAAAATATTCAATTTACATTCTTTCATCTAGCACCAAGATGCGTGATTATCAGACCCAAGTTGTTGTTAAAATAACTCTTTCATTGATGTTGCTGCTGCATATCATACACTAATATTATATGCTCACATTTATCACAATCTTAAGTTCTGAACATTATTATCACATTTTACATGTAGCAAAATTCAAATAAACTACAGCTCAAAATAAAAACCAAGATCTGCTATAATCAGTCATGAAGTAGCTTGTCAACTCACCAGGTGGCACTCTATCATTCACCCAATCATCACACATTCTCATCTTCTCCGCACTCTCATATGGTCCAATCAGCAGCCCTGTCCTCTCCTGGCGGAGGTAGTAGGAGCCCTCCAGGTCCCTGATCACTGGAAGTTCTTCCTTCAGTGCAGCAACTTCAGGAATGGTGGAAGTAACAACATACTGGTGGTGGATGGGAACAAGGGGATGCTCCAGACCTGCCAGTGCCCCAATTTCCCTGGCCCAAAACCCTGAAAGATGAGACTAGTAAATTAATTATTCTCTATAAGCATTTTATATAAAAGGACACCGCCAAGTAAAACTGTCTCTTGTTTCAGTAAAAAAAATCATTATGTGTTCAAATCTCAAACATGTTCTATGTAGTTAATCTTGGAAGGCTGTCACATCCAGTCCATCTCAAATGTGTTGTGATGTTATCCAGAGCTCACCTGCTGCATTTATCACCCTCTTGGCTTTGATTGTGCCGTGTGGAGTGTTCACTTCCCAGCCGCCACTGGCCGTCTGTTTCAGTCCAGTCACAGGGGCCGGCATGAAGATCTCTGCCCCATACTTTCTGGCACCAGAGGCTAAAGCTTGGGTCAAGGAATAGGGGTCAATGTGGCCATCTCCGGGGTTGAATAATCCTCCCAAGACCTAATGTAAAAAAGAACTTTCAGTAACACATGTATAAAACAGGAATTTCTTTAAAAAATGTAAAGGACATATTGTACCTTATATACTCATCCAAGTCTCTATTCATTAGGTACAAAAGTTAATTGAGATTCAATCAATTATAAAGTAACCTCTTTAGAAAAAATATGACTAGCCTCTCAGCAAATAAAATCTAAGTATGCAAACAAAATCACTTTTCCTGTTCTGATGGAAATTAATCTGTGTGGTTTTGTTACTCATTTTGAAGAAATTTTCTAGTCTTTTTTCTTCTTACCTTATCCATGTTAAGTAAAGGGTGCATCTTGTGGATCTCATCTGGTGTAAGCAGCCATTGAGGAGCTTTGTTCCATCCCTGCCTCTGCATCTGATACTTGACCTCATCCATACGCTCTGGGGTGCTGGCGATACGAATACTGCCCGGGGTATGGAATCCAACCTCCTAGCATAGGGAAAGAAGGAGATCACTATCATTCTTAATGCAAAGGTACAAGATATTATACTACCACTTATTCCTGTCAGTGTCTTGACTCCACATTCAAAAGTTTCATACAGAATTATATACTGGACATTAACTGAAAGAAAACAATTGGGTTACATCAATTTGAAACAAATGTTTCAGATTAAAAATTCAAGTTCATTTTTTAAAAATTTTATTTATTTATTTATTTATTTATTTTACAATGCACCCACCTGTCCCGTTTCTTCTGCGAGTTTTCCATAGAGCTGTATGCTGTAGTAATGGAGATTTTTCACATTGATGCCAGGGTGAAATAAGGTGGTCAGTCCAGCCTAAAACACAAGGATGATTTTCTTATGACTAAATGGCAGACATGCTGAAACTGTCGGTCCGATTGGTCATGACCAGGAAAATTTGTCTAGGGGGGTTAAAAATTGGACTTGGTCGGTCCAAAGGACTGACAAGAGTTTTTAGAGCCACAATTTTGAATTTACAGTCATCATTTGACATACTTCACTAATAAAATTATATAAAACCCAAAGCGGTTTCCCCCTTCCATTTCAAACCTATCACATTCACAAACAAAGTAAGCTACCCTAATCGTACTGGTAGTATCTGTCTCAAACGAATAGGGTGATTTTCGGTCCGACAAAAATCCATTCGGTCCGGCAAATTTTTCATTACTGCTGGTCAAAATGTCCAGCCATTCTGAAAAGTTTTCAGCATGCCTGAAATGGTGATCCAAAATAATAAAGTGGAAGGTACGCACTAAAAAAAATAATACATTTTGCAACAGTTCTACATTACCTTTGATGCAATAAAATAAAGAATTGTTATTTTGAAATTCACTACGTCCCATAGGTATGGCTACCATAAATGAGTCGGACACAGTTACATCTCATAATGTCATTTTCTCATCACTCTACACTTTGAATTTCAGCAGTCAAAGAGCCTTTACCTTTTATATTATTGAGGATTAATGAAAGACAAAAATATTCCATATCTGAATGAAGGAGTAAAACAAAAGCCTTCATGAATTCTATCTCGTCTAGAGTACTTATGGTATGGAAGGTTATGTGTGTAGTAAATATTGACACAAGCTTTTAAAAAATAACAATGTGTTCAACTTTTGTTATTGTTCTAAAGTTCACTTCTCTTTTTAGTTGTTCTTACTTGCTAAGAAAACATTTGTTCTTGGTCAAAAATTCTTTATGCAGTGACTTAATTAGGTAAACAATGCTTCACCTGAAGTGCACTGTCCTGTAGATGAGGGAATGTTTTAAGTCATCCAGTAGAATAAGAATGAGAAATATGAACAGCTCTGAGACTGGACCTTACATTAGCAACTAAACGGTCTCAACCCAAGCACTCAAACACTTATTGACCTGGATGGACTGGTCACCCGATTTGTTGACAAACAGCTAGGAATAGTCTCCAGTGCCCAGTTCTGTAAATATGTGTGTGTCAACAAATCAGGTGACCAGTCCATCCAGGTCTTTATACCTTGTCCAAGTTCTCAGGTTGAAACTGCAATGTCTGTCAATTGCTAATGTAAGTTTCTCTATCCGAGTTATACATACTTCTTGTTTTGTAGATGTTTAGTTTTTTTTTACAGGTAAGAGTTGTGAATTATGTGCAGGATACCCCTGGCATGGATATGGTTCCATGCCTCATGACTTATGTAACTTGGGTTTTACTTTATAATAAAAGTTTATCATACATAGGAGCTCAATATAAAAGGATGAATTTGACAACAAATCTAATACCTTTACTTTTGGCTGTTTAAAGATCACTTAAGCATACTGGCAATAGATGAACCCAGTATAAGTCTTTACTATACCATGATGTTGTTAAATTTTAATGTTTCTGTTCATCAAAACATGTGGTTTATTTAAATACCATATACACATAGAACTTAATACTGTACTTTACTATAATTGTAGGCTGAAAAGTAATTCACGGATTTATTATTAATAACACAGGAGTGTGGTGATAAGTATGAAGCCTAGACGCAGCCAGTTCTAGCTTGCATACTCACCGGGCAGGCCAGATCACAGATAACACACACATGACCTCACAAAGATGTAATATGCTATAATTGTTTATTTAACTTTAGACCACAAAGGTCTTTCAGTTCTCTCACAAAAATGTAACATTTAAAGCAGAATACATATACAACTACACGACCCCAGTTTTTAAAATTAGTTCTTTTCCTCCATACTTCTAGTGTAATATAAGGTGATAGCTTAAACAAAAATTTCAAAAGAATTTTAGAAGAATTTAGCAAAAGGATCAATTTGAAAAACAGAGGCTTTAGTAAAGAATTAAAGCTAAAGGTGATGTACTAAGGGAATCTTAAAATAAAATTGTAAAGTTAAACAAGACTTACCTGTAAGCTGATGGGGCTCATTTTTCACATCATCAAAACAAACATTTTATAGTGATACCAACCACAAGAATGTAATTACTTCATCTTTAAATAGAAAAAGGGAAATTCTTTAAATTTTGTAACTTACAGCATGCCATGTGGACCCAGCAGTAAGTTCCGATTTTTCAAGAAGCATGACATCTTTTTGTCCAGCTTTAGCGAGGTGATAGGCCAAGCTTGCTCCCACTACACCTCCTCCTATGATCACTGTCTCTGCATTTTCCTTCAAATTCTTTTGCAGTTTAGGGCTTGAGTAACCACTGAAAAATAAAACATATTTCAACATAAGATATAAAAGAAGATCAGAATGCAAGGATCTTTAATTCTTTCAGGCTCGTAAGAAAAAGTAAGAAATGGCTCAGTGGCCTTAATTACCACCAGGAATCTAAGGGTTGTTTAAGGTCATAAAACTCCTTATAAAAAGGTTTCTTATTAATAAGAAGGCTCTCTCATATTTCAGAAACACCATTTTTGCCCTAGCTATTTTGATAAAAATTGTAAGAAAAAATCTTTTCTCCACATGAGTAAGGTATATAAAAAATTTGGGGGTAATCCACTTCATTTTCGAGAGGTCTATAGCATCCCAAAAAAGTCACAAATGGTAAACAAGTTTCAAGTCGCATGTTATATACATCGTGAAAGTCTAAGCATCACTGAGCTTTCTCTGCTAAACACAACATTTTGTAACTTCTATCAAAATAACAACAAAGTTTTCATTAAAGGATGAATTACAAATTTTATTGCATGATATAATTTGATCATTAGTCTGTGTCGTACGATAGTACTTAAGCCTATATGAGAGAGCCTCCTTAAATAGGAAAATGTTATAATTTGTGTTCAACTTAATTTATAATAATAATAATAAGCTTCTTATATGGCGCCTTACATTCTACCTCAAGGCACCTAGCTTACAATAATGGATAATATAACTAAAATCATTAAAATGACTACAATATTTAAATCTAAAACACTCATTGGAAACCACAATACCAATCATGCCTCAGTTATACATTTTTGCATTATTTATGTGCAACTTTTTTAATACACACCCACTCCACCTCCCCTGCACCTTAATCACCATCAGCCTCCTATTTCAGTAAAATGTATAAGTTAGATCTTCTTAACCAACCATAAGGCCACACTTTTTTATTTTTNTCTACTACATGTAGTATGCCCCTTCTCTCTCTCTCACCCCAAGGAAAAAAATATATATATTATAATTATGGCTGCATTCACATGAAAAATCTAAATTCTAAAAACCTAAAAATCTATTGGCGGTATCTAGTGATCACGGTCTGTGCCCTGAATACCCTATGGCGTAATTAACTAGCAGCGCGAACGAGTTGTTTCAAAAGCTGTAATTAATTCTCGGCTGCGCTCAGAGGAGATTCTAACGACTGGACGCATGCACAGTTGTATCTCTAAACTCTGTAGTTTGTCAGTTGCACTTATATCTGTCATGTGTATATGGACCTCATCTTCTTTGTCTTGTTGTTACACAAAATCGACAAACACTTTTCAAAGCAACAGCGACCGTCATTTTCTTTCTCTCTGCGCATGTGTCCAGATATCAGAATTTCCCCCCAAGTGCAACCAAGATTTAATTACAACTTTGGAAGTAACTTGCTCACTGTGCTAGTGAATTATGCCACAGGTATTCAGGGAACAGATCACTAGATACTGCCAATGGATTTTAAGGTTTTTAGAATTTAGATTTTTCATGTGAACGCAGCTTATGTCTTTGATTTTAAAGTCATAATAAGTCTTCGTTTTGGCCAAAAATTAGATTTTCCTGGAAAAAACGGCAATTTTCCCGTACTTACCAATGGCCAACGACCCCATTCCTGCATTCAAAGTTAATCCAGGGTTTTTTTCCTAAACGTACGGTTTTTTGTTAAAATCTCTTAAGAGATTTTAACTGATGGAGCTCTCTCTGACATTGCAAAGTCACTGGTGACCTACTTAAAACCGTNCTCTCTCTCACCCCAAGGAAAAAAATATATATATTATAATTATGGCTGCATTCACATGAAAAATCTAAATTCTAAAAACCTAAAAATCTATTGGCGGTATCTAGTGATTACGGTCTGTGCCCTGAATACCCTATGGCGTAATTAACTAGCAGCGCGAACGAGTTGTTTCAAAAGCTGTAATTAATTCTTGGCTGCGCTCAGAGGAGATTCTAACGACTGGACACATGCACAGTTGTATCTCTAAACTCTGTAGTTTGTCAGTTGCACTTATATCTGTCATGTGTATATGGACCTCATCTTCTTTGTCTTGTTGTTACACAAAATCGACAAACACTTTTCAAAGCAACAGCGACCGTCATTTTCTTTCTCTCTGCGCATGTGTCCAGATATCAGAATTTCCCCCCAAGTGCAACCAAGATTTAATTACAACTTTGGAAGTAACTTGCTCACTGCGCTAGTTAATTATGCCACGGGTATTCAGGGAACAGATCACTAGATACTGCCAATGGATTTTAAGGTTTTTAGAATTTAGATTTTTCATGTGAACGCAGCTTATGTCTTTGATTTTAAATGTCTTTCTAATTCCAGTTATATGGTGCCATTAATTAATGTCTCTGCTATTCAAGTACATCAGTTTGGAAATTTACTTAACGCTTTTCTGGCGTTTTTACAAGTTATCAAGCCCACTCAAATATAATAAGTTGCAGTTCATTTAGAGGTGAACTTTTTTTGTATAGCAGAGACATTGATCAAATCACCTTATAAATAAATTTAGAATAACATCGAACACTGAAAATAAGTTTGGGGACATACTGCATAGGTAACCACTGGGAGTCAATGCGGTGTGTGTGTAGCTTGCCATGCCATGGCTTTGTTTACTATTACATAACTATTTAATATTACGTTCGACGGAGTCAGAGTCAGAACTCTTTCACGGCGTATACCTGGAAGAATCACTGGAGGGACTGGTGCTGCTGGTTGAAATATGTGCTGTGCAGCACTTCGTTAGTCCACAGCGGGAAAAACGTCGACTACCGGCCAACAACATCCTCATCTCTCCTACAAGTTGACCTAGTTCCTGTAACACCTGGCTCTTCCACTTAGCGAAATTACTCCTAGTTTTCGCTTGAACAAAGTAAACAACACAAATAAAAGCAGCAACTTTTTCCTCAAATTACAGAAGAACTAACAACTACACTATTGGTACAGTGTCCAAAACAAAAATTGTACGGGCACTTAGCTTCAATAACCAGAATATAACATTCTTATCTCAACCTCATGTGGCAGCAACTTGAAGAGAGAACGCGATATAAACAAAGCCGCATGCAACCGGATTTGCCTGGCGTTGGCAAGTCTTGTTATTGTCAGAGAACGCGCTGAAACTGCTCAACTGCGACAAGTCGAAGTAACAAAGGGGGTGTGGGTGTCAGAGAATTAATTAAAACTTTAAAAATTACCATTCCCTCACCTAGAACAAGAAAGTAATTAGTCTTTTACCTGGCGAAATATGCTTTTGCACAAACAGACGACAAATAGCCGATAAATTGCCAAAGCAATATTTCTGTTCAACACAGTTGAAAGCAAACAATGTTCCCTCTTAGAAGATGGGTGCGGCTTATCCTTAAATGCCTTTAAAAGCAATTTTACCGCATACATACACACACCTGACCGGAGAAGATCGAAGGAGAGAGAGCATTTTCAAAGAGAAGAACTGTTTAGAAGCGGAGCTAAGAAGCCGTCTTAGACGTAAAAAAAGCAAAATTTCAAATATGGTAAGGTTCTTCTTTTTTGTATGGAAGATAGAATATATAGAAACTATATCGGAAAAAAGACCATCTTGGGCTAAAGCCACGTGTATGTATCCTTTCTAAAACTAAACAATAATAAGGGTACAAGTGGAGTTTTCCATTATTCTGTAAAAATTTTGACTCTCTATTTTTGCTGATGCACAAAACTTAAGTAAATTAACTAATTTGATATTTTCATATAAAAACAAATTTCCAACTAGATACGGTTAGTAATTTTACAGTCTAAAGAGAAAGTGGTTAGGTAAACAAGTATCCGGATGAAACTAGAATTCTGAACAATGCAGTCCGCCGCACCCCGTGAATGAAATTCCTAGTCCCTGGGTTAGGGGCGGTCCATGTATTACATAATTGGCTCAGCCCATTAAGGCACCCTTTTATTTACCTCAGTACCAATTTCTCAGGCCATATTATTCATTTTCCTCATTTTATTACAATTCCCCCCCTTCCCCCACCCAGATTCTTGAAAGCTTACTACCAGTAGAACTAGAATGGATAATTTGTGTGGCGTATACTTGGATTAAAATATGTTAAATGGATATTTGTACATTTATCTCTATAGAGTAAAAGAGGTATCTTAGAGCGCCTGGCAGAGGGAGTGGTGATTGGTGATGGAGGCTTTGTGTTTGCCCTGGAGAAGCGTGGCTATGTGAAGGCGGGACCATGGACTCCTGAGGCCACAGTGGAGCATCCAGAAGCTGGTAAATATGGCCTTCCTTTTTTTAGTGGCCAATCTTCAATTATTGAGGTGTGAAAATTATCAAAAATTTGAAAATTCAAGTTGCTTGAAAGTTGTACTCAATTTCAATTTACTCATTGAGAGATTTTCTTTCTTCCAGTTCGCCAGCTTCATCGAGAATTTCTCCGGGCAGGTTCAGATGTGATGCAAACATTCACATTCTATGCCAGTGATGACAAACTGGACAACAGGGGAAATGAGGCAGCATCAAAACACAGCGTAAGCCTTTGGAGACTAAGAAACAATGTGGCCACAACAACTTATATACTAGCCCTTTTAGCTATTAGTTATAAAAGTTATGTTAGCAGAATGTAGGAATAACCAAATAGAAAGGATTAATAAAATTGGGTTTAAATTCTGTTGGTCTTTTTATATTTTTTATCAAATTTCTTATTTCTTTATTATTTTCATTCCTTAATTTTTTTACAGGGAGCTAAAATAAACCAGGCTGCGTGTGAGATTGCCCGTGAAGTAGCCAATGAGGGGGATGCCCTTGTTGCAGGGGGAATATGCCAAACCCCAAGCTATCTCTCAGGAAAGACCAAAGCAGAAGTTCAGCAAGAATTCAGAAAGCAGCTTGATGTTTTTATCAAAAATGACGTCGATTTCATGATTTGTGAGGTGTGAACATATTCCATTTCATTAAAGCATAAGTAGTTGCCTTACATATTAGCATAAGAAAAAATTGATTTTTTTTTTTTTTTTTTTGCTAAGATTATCATAGAATTCGGCAGAATTTCTCATTCTATTCATTTCAGTATTTTGAACATGTGGAGGAAGCAGAATGGGCAGTAGAGGTGTGTAAGGAAATGGGAAAACCAATAGCTGCCAACCTGTGTATTGGTCCAGAGGGCGACATGCATGGTATATCTACAGGAGAGTGTGCCGTCCGTCTTGCCAAATGTGGGGCAGACATTGTTGGCGTCAATTGTCATTTTGATCCCTTTGTCTCCCTTGAAGCGATTCGTCTGATGAAGGAAGCTCTGGACAAGGAAGGACTGAAGCCCTACCTCATGTGTCAGCCACTAGCCTATCATACACCAGACTGCAACAAGCAGGGTTTCATCGACCTCCCAGAGTTCCCATTTGGTAAGTTCATAATTATGGACATTTTTGTGAATGCACAAGTTGAAAATTTTACCTGCAGCATTGTAATGAAATATTTCAAATCTCAACAGTTTGAAATCTTGCTCTGGAGAAATGCAATGCTGTCAGTAAGCAATATTTTGTGGTAAAAAAAGCCTTTAAACAATTTCAGCATTGGAGCCACGCCTGTCCACAAGATTTGACATGCACAAGTATGCGCGCCAGGCCTATGACCTGGGAGTACGTTACATTGGCGGTTGCTGTGGGTTTGAGCCGTATCACATCAGAGCTGTGGCTGAGGAACTGGCAGAGGAGAGGGGATGTAAACCAAAGGGCTCAGAAAAGCACGGCGTATGGGGCAGCGAATTGCGCATGCACACCAAGCCGTGGGTCCGAGCAAGGTATGTAACATATTTTATGTGGTAAGTGCATGCAAGAATTATAATAACCTAAGAAAATTGCTTTCTAATGTGTGACCAATCGGTATTTAACACACTGAAGGTGTATGGCAGAGTTGGATGTTCTTGCTGCTGTTTCATGTTGATATTGTGTATCCATTTCAGGGCCCGTCGTAACTACTGGGAAAGCTTGAATCCAGCCAGTGGACGGCCATACTGTGCATCCATGTCTAAGCCTGCAGCATGGGGTATCACTCAGGTATGCTTCCATAATGAACTCATAAAGTACTCAGACCACTTCCAAGGCTGCACAGTTATCATTTCTATTGATTAAAGGATCAGCATCAAAAAAAAAAAAATTTATGTACCTGAATTTAAACTCGTCCTGAAAATTTTATCAAACTTAGACCTTAAATTTTGAGAGACTGTTAAATAACAAAAGGGAAGTTTGTACTTGGAAACTGCAATGTGAATGGGTTTAGTTTTAATTTTTCTAATCATTACAACTTTACCATCTTCCTTGCAGGGACACAAGCATTTGACTCAACATACGGAGGCAACCACCACTGATGAGCTCAGTGAACTGTATTCCTTCAAGAGTTGAACATGTTGACATAATAGCACTAAAGTGCACTTTCAGTGTGTAAAAATGAGCACAAAAAGACATTCCAGATGAACCTATGTCTGCAGCACCCCAACTTTTGTTGGTTTTTAAAATACTTTATCTGAAGGTTTTATGGGGGAAGTTTTCTCTTTTAAAAATATGTTGATTGAAATTCAATCATTTTATTTGAAACCAGTAATTATTGACATGTTATTAATGATTGTACATTGTTTCTAATATTATTGATTTTAAAGGACATCAAAATTGATCAGGTTTTACTGTAAAATTTTAACATTAACATTTGCTAATGTATGTAACATATCAATTTTATAATAAACTATTATTTTACTGGACCTCGTTTTGTTAATAAAAGGAACTAGATTTTGTTTCCTAGCATATTTTACAGTGGTATCTTGATTATCTAATATCAACACTTAATGGAAGTAGTCGGAAGTTTTTTTTTTATATTTCATGAAATTTATAACTGGTGAAGGCTGAAAGCAATATTTGAACATTGTGGGATTTTGAAAGTGTAAAAAAAAATTATTTCTACGCTACACTTAAAGTGCAGTCTTCAGCACAATAACTTACCAGATCATACGTACTCCAATACATAAAAAGGTACTTGCACTTAATACGAAAAACATCTGAAACGGTTCAGAGAATTTCACTCGATTGCACTACTCGCAATTTAATGTCCATGTAGCTGCAATAACAATTCATAACCGTCATTAACTTATAAACCAAGGTTACAAGTATAGTATATGGTCTAAGTCATCCCAGGACTATTACCATATTAATTCTTTTTCAACTTAAAAATGGGAGAAATTTGCATCATTTTACAGAACTAGAATCCACAGGTGTTATGATGTATACTATTGTGACACTTAAAATACCAGTAACACTTCTGAAATATGTTCCTTTGAGCTGTGTATGTTTTAGCTTTTACAAAATAAATTACAAAAATGAATTTATACATGCCATTTATATAAATGTAGACTATTTCATTATTGGAAATGTGTATCGCTAACAACAAGCAATAATTTAACACTGACGGCACTGCTGCGAACCAGGCAACATGAATTAGTAACCCTCCAAAGACATATTGGTTATTTTGTTTTAAAAATGTCCAACTTCTGGCACTGCTGGCGCTAAGAATAAGTATGACATAGTCACCAGACAATATTCAGAGAAGCCAATTCTTAAAGTGTGCACAAGGTGCCTGCGTCACCATCAACTGGCAGGCTGTTTATCTGCTATTTCTTCTTCACTTTCCTCCTCCAGTACATTGTAGACATCACTGCAAGCTGAGTATAAAATAAACAAAATAATTTATTTAAAAAAACAATAATAAATTTAATTTTTACAAATGAAATTATTTATTTTATTTCATTCTCTGTTCTTTGGTCCTTTTAGAGATTGTCATTTATAGAAAAATGTAGAATACATCTCTTAATCACAGTACAGTTGATTCTGATCCCAAACCTTCCATAGCTAGAGGAACTGGGTGCAAACACATACTAACCTGCAAATGCATCTGGATACTGCTTACTTAGTTTGGCTTTAAGAGTTCTGGAAAAAAAATTTAAAAAGAACACCTTAAGCAATAGAAACTGTATGAATAAATTTGTTCTGTCAAATCATGTTTATGCAAAAAAAAAAAAAATTATTAATATATATAATAAGGTAAAATTGTCTGATCATTTACGAATGTTTGTATGTCATTATTATTTTTTCTCCATATACTTTAAACATTTTTTCGACTTTTATTAACATTTTACTATCTTTTACCTAATTTTCCTAAAAACTGTGTCCAAATCTTTCTTCATATCATAAAGAAGTGCTGTATTTTTCTTAAATTCCTGGAACATTGCTTCATATCTCTGAGACGACAGTGCATTGAATGTTAACAGCATTTCATTTGTTTTTTCAAATCTGGACAGCCTGAAAAAGAGTTCATAACATGACAAAATTATTCACAGTACCAACAACCATTAAGCGTTCAACAACTCTATAGATTATATCATCACAAATATCATCAATTCGTACAAAACTCCCATTAGTCTTATATTTAGTAACAATTGCTATTATCAATTTCTTACAAGAGATCTATTAGACATTTATCTTAACAGCAGGAGTGCCATGGGGCCACAAAGTACATATTACACTGGATGTGACAGATATACTTACATGTGTCTTTGGGCTTTAATCACAGAATAAATGTCATCTTCTTTCACAACATCAGCCATCGTACTAATAAAAACATCAGTGGCTGGTTGTAATTTGGGTTGAGCAACATCCTTTGAAGTAATCTGCTTTGCCATGGTGAGCACTTATGGAATGTTTTTTATTATTTTAACTGAACATATTTTTGTTGTTCTTGGCTTCGTCTTCAAGTTGAACTCATCTATCCATGAAAATAGAAAAAAATTCTTATTTATATTAATATAGTTGTGATCAAAATTGTACAGCCCCAGGCAGTATCATTTTCAGTTGCACCTTTGAAAGGCACTTATGTATAAATTAAATAAATAATTTAAAATAAAATAAAAAAAGATGGGCTTGTACATGGTAGAAACACTATTTAACCATATATACAGACTGTAACATATATTGGTCATCAAGACATCATCATGTAAAATTTCTGGTATGGTAATTTCATGCCTACCACTGTACAGGTACAGGTAGCTGTAGACTTACATATACATACTTGCAACTACTTTTACATTTAATTTAAAAGGGCTGTGTATTTCCAGAGACTATCAGAGTACGTTCTTAGAGTGAGATAAGTAAAAATGTTTCAAAGTTTGATACACTGAAAGCAAGGTTTTAAATTCCATAATGCCGTAATGCTTAATCATTAATTGATTCTAAAATTAATAAAAACACTGACTCTTCCAAAACGTTTCCAAAACATTTCGTCTTTAACGCTGTATTGGCTGTTTTTAAACTTATTTTAAATTAATTGTCTTGTGTGTCATGAAATATGTTAATTTGCTAATAAATGCGGTATGAATTAAGCGTCTGCAAAGAAGCGTACCTACGAGTACTACTACTACTTAGTGCATCACCGACGAAACTTCTTTTTAAAGCGCATATTCGAATACTCGTTCAGTTTCGTATACTATTTTGAAATATAATTATATAACATAAAAGAAACAATATTTTAGAATATTTGTATTAAATACAACAAGGCTCACATTTGTTATAAAACTGATAATACATACCATTTTATTTGAAAAAAGTGTCACTTTTTATGCGAAAACATACGTCATTGTAAATTCGTCATCATGACAATGACGTCAGACAATAACAAAAACGGACAAGTGCACGGTGTCCGATGTTCACTTGTTTTACAAGGTACTTATTGCGATTTTTAAAAAAAATCTTATTTAATCTAGTGGTTAATGTAAGTTTATAGTTTTTATATATTAAAGATAATTCTGGGTGAAGAAAGGTCCCCAAAATTGTAGTTTAAACTTGGGAAGGGTGGAAAAACCCCGGCGACCTGCAGATAAGATATCGTTAAGGAGTTTTAACCTCTTGATGTAATCTAATCATTTCTCAGCACACAATATATAAATGTGTCTTTAAACTAAACTCTAGACCCTTTTCAAGCTTTAGGTATGTTTAGTTACACTAATTATAGAAAATGAGAAGGATATTTGTGGTTCCAAAAACTGAGGCAAGTTTGCACGTGATGTAATGCTCAGTGATTCATTTGTAAATTTTATAATTTTCTTATGTTTTGTTTCTGTTTTTCTTGTCATTCCTTTAGTTATGTGCCCCTTCATTTACTTTGATTACCTGTTTACATTTTAATGTATAAAAAGAAATAAAATTTTGAAGATTAATTTAAAGGTATTACTGATGCTCAGCTGGCTGGACTCTGGTGTCAACAAATATTGTAACATAGTCTAACATTGAAAAATTATTAGTTGGAAGTTTGGAACAATACTTTTCAATTAAAATCCTTATCCAGTATCTATCTAAAAACTAAGTAATGGCACAGAAAAGCACCAAATCTCGTTTTATGACTTGTATTTCCTACCTCCCAATTTCTTTTCCAGGGTGCTCAGCATAAGGAAAAACCATCTTCTGAAGAAAACCTGTGAGTAGTGGATTTCAACTTTGCAAAATGGAGTCAGACACATTTGAAAGTCTGGATGAATCAGACTGGGTAGCCATCAAAGAAAATCCATTTCCTAAAAAAGAGGCAAAGACAAAGTTGAACTTCCATGTGGCGTGGAATGATGCTTCAGGAAAGCTTGCAGTGACATGCAGATCTCACAGTCGTGTGGTCAGTGACACAGCAACTAATGGGGCCTGGTCTGGACTGTTTTCTTGTACAGAATTGCAAGGTGCCCATGAAGAACTGTCAAGTGTCTATCCCGAGTTGTCCAAATACTTTCCTGAGCTTCCCTACGAACCCAGAGGTCTGTGGGCCTACATCTATCCTCCTGTTGAACTGGAGGAGGCACTTATACAAGACCTGGAAAATTACTTTTCAATGGCAGTTGAAATCTGCCCTGTGGACTTTTTGGTAAACTCCTTGTTTGAAGAACACAGCGTGGAAAAATATTTTGAGAGCATTGGAGACCTCAGGAGACAAAAACTTGAAGAGAAACTAGAAAATGCCAGAGAGGAGCTACAAACTGTTATTGCTAGTAGAAAAGATTCAATAAACTTGCTTGACATGGTACAGGCATACAAATTAGAAGACGAAGCAATGGACAAAGTGTTTGCAGTGTTGGCAAAGCTCTATAATCTGCAACTGCAGCCTTTTTTAGACTTGAGGGAGATGGGCTATTCACATTTAAATGCTGCTAGAATTAAACTGCACAATCCTGATTTAGGAGAGAGAATAAAAGCAGAATGCAGGAAGGTGTTCACAGAATGGCAGGAACAGTATTCTAGTGCCCTGGATAATATTCAAGACCTGTATGAAAAGTACTATAAAACCACTGTCAAGTGTTTTCATGGTAAGCAGAAGTAATAGTTTTGGAGAAGCAATATTTTCTTTTGATAAATAACCAACCTCTCCTCTACATTTTCAAGTTCTACTCTCAAAGATGGTCCAACCTTAAAATATGTCATGTACATACTACCTCTCTGTAAGTAAAGAGAATGGTTGTGTGTACGATTTCATTTCTGAATCAAAGGGATGTTACATATCCTTGGAATATAAACACAGAGCATTATAATAATAATAATAATAATAATAATAATAATAATAATAATAATAGTAATAATAATAATAATTTATTGAGCATTAAAATGTGTACAGTTACATTATACAATTATACAAGACAGTGGTTAACATTGTCTTTAACAGCTAGTTTGGTCAATTTCAGAGATGCAAGAGAGGATGATAGAAGACCAGAAAAGGTTTGGAAAGTCTGGGTTTGAAGACATGGCATTACCACGATTAAACAGGTTTTTGTTTTTCTTACCTCATTGTTTATGATTGATATGCTGTGTGATTTTATGAGTATTTTATGATTTATTTACTAAGAAATCTATGTTATGTATGTTAAAACTTAGAGATAATTAGGAAATTAGTACTAAAATTTACGTGACACAAAGGTGACAAATGTTAGTCTTGTATTTGTGCAGGATTACTGAAGATCTGGCCCAAGAGGAGCTGCAGTTGCTTAGGATGAAGAAAAAGAGAGTAGAACAAGAAAAGGACAAAGTTAAAGAACAGGCAAGATATGGTGCTGTATGCTTTTAGAGGATACGCATAAGGAAAGTGAAAGTTTTCAAACAGCCATGATTCCTTTAAAAATTTATGTAGAAAGTTAAAGGGATAATAACTCTTCTTATGATATCTATATTTCACGATAAAAACATTGTGAACAACTCATAGAAATATAATATATTCTGTTTTACCACAAAAACGGCAGTTATATCTATTATTCTGATATCTGAGCTTGTCTTTAGATCATGTGACCTCCATTGATGGCTATACTCGGTTATAATCTCTTGAGAGGTTTTAACAAAAAACCAAACTTTTAAGAAAAAAAACCAGGGACTAACTTTGAATGTAAAAATGATTCATTAACCATTGGTAAGTAAGAAAAAATTGTTGTTTACTCCAGGAAAATTCATTTTTTGGCCAAAACGAAGAGTCCTTATCCCTTTAAAATAGAGATAGGCGTACAGCTGCTATGCATGAGGATAATTGTTCATCTTTCAAATTCTTCTGTTATTAGATAGCCAGCTTAGAGGAGGGGCCCACGGCAAAACAAGACATCCAGAGGCTAGAAAGAGAAGCATTTGAATGCCAGAAAAACTTATACAAGGCTGAAATGTCCATTTTGGAGAAGGAAGAAGCACTTTACAGAATAAGAATGGATATGCGTAAAAAAGAACTAACAGGTACTGGTTTTCCAGCATAATTGCCAGAGTAAGTCTTCAGAGCGAAGATGTGCTATCCAGCTACACGTGTGTTTCAATAGCACCTAACTAAATTGGTGTGAAAGAGTGAAATGTGTGTGTTACTTTTCTAATATATTAAACTTTCTAATATATTAAACATCTTTTGCTAAATTAGAATTGACATTATGGTTCTTTTTTATTTTTGGTTGGTCTAGATGCTGAGGAAGAGGTGACTTTCTTTGATGCTGTTGAAGACATAGAAGAGATCAGTTCAGATGAAGAAGTGGAACCAAAAAGAAATGAAGACCCACATCTGGCGAGTTTGAGAGAAAAACTGAGCCATATTTTCAAAAAGAGAGCTCAAATTAGAAACAAATTGGTAAGTAATATTCTTATTCTTGTCCTTCAGTATCATGGATTTTTAGTTACATTGTACATAAAAATTATCAAGTAGTTCAAAAATTGCCATTGAAATCATTGCACATTTTGCTACATTTTCTTTTAGAAAAGTATGGACAGGACGAGAGTTAACAAGGAACAGAAAAAAATAGCTGCTGATGCAAAATTCAAGCAGCATCATGCAGTGCAAATGGTAAGTAATATTAATATATTTTCTATTTGAATTATTATTATTATATTTGAGTAATATGCTGCATATTTATTATTGAAATATTAATGCATTAAAATTCTTATTATTGGTTTAAAACAAGCAGTGTCACATTGATAGTTCTCAAACTACATAGCATTCAGTAATTATATGACCTGTATTTATCTAACCATAGATAATATATTACTTGTGTACATATATTTTATATATATATATTTGAAATAAATCTTAGAAAAGAGATCAGAAAAAAGAGGAAGAAGAAAAGAAGCAACAATTTATTGACGAAGAGAGGAAAAAGGCAATCCAAAGACTTAAAAGTTACAAGATGGTAAAGAAAAGCTTTTGTAGTTGTGTGCATTTGCTTTCAAATTTCATCATTATAAGATAAAATAAACCTTTTAAATTATCATGAATGCAAAAGAAAACTGGAACATTATCTTTCGAAAGCATCACTGGAATCTAGGTAATTATAGTAAGTGTCAAACATTTCAGTATAAATTATTTTACTCTATAATTAGTAGTTAATTTCATTCCATGTAAGTGTGTTTTACTCTATTTTAGAAGTACCCGACCCCTGACACAATCAAGCCCCCAAGGTACCAGCCTCCAACAAGGAGAAAAGGTTCACAGTCATCAAATGTAGAAGCCACTCCTCCCAGGTCTAGAAGCAGCAGTCAGAAAACCAGGAAAAGACCTGTGGCACATGCAGGAAAAGAGTCACAAAAGAAAGAAAGGATACCAGCAAGAGTCAGTCCACAATTGAAAACTAGTTCAGTTCAGGAGCCTTCCCCTTCTCTTACTTCACCTGTTCCTCCTCCTGCACCTCCTCCCCCACCCCCCCCCCC